CGGCCGCACGCGCGCCTCTGGGTCAACGACTTCTGGGAGGCGGCCGCGGGCCGCGCCGGCTGCTTCGGCTGCCACCTCGGCCAGGAGGACCTCGCGGCGCTCGCGCCCGCCGACGCCGCGCGGCTCGCGGCCTCGGGCCTCCGCCTCGGCGTCTCGACGCACTGCCTCGCCGAGCTCGCCGTCGCCGCCGCGCTCGCGCCGACGTACGTCGCGCTCGGGCCCGTCTTCGGCACGACGTCCAAGCGCGTCCCCTTCGCGCCGCGCGGCCTCGACCGCGTCGCGGCCTGGCGCCGCCTCGTGCCCGCCGACACGCCGCTCGTCGCCATCGGCGGCGTGGGCCTCGACACCGCGCCGGCCGTCGTCGCCGCGGGTGCCGACGCCGTCGCCGTCATCTCGGCGCTTGGGGGGGAGGCCGGGGAGGCGCTGCGGGCGAGTGTGGGGCGGTGGCGAGGCGTTTGGGGGAAGTCGTAACTTTAGGAGTAACTGTAGAATGGTAGCCGCGGTCACGGTGAGGAAACTTGGTAATTTCAGTGACAGTCTCCGAGGTCGCCTCAGTATAGATACTATCGAAGATGTGAGCGATACTCCGTTTGGCTAAGATAATGCTACAAGCTCGTATCGTGAGGTTAGATACAATTTGGATATGTAACATAACCTCGAGGTACTTTACAAGTCCACTTTAGCCATGGCGCCCTCGAGGGGACATCACGTCGAGGGGACTACGAACGATAATAAAAATACACGTCATGGAGCGCGATGCAGCAGCCGCACGCGTTGCCAGCCCTCAAGCGGCGACGAAGTATGTAGATCACGAGGCGGCCATACCTGTCCAGGAAGAAACGCGCCCGTCAAAGACAGCATCCGCACCACGCCGACCTGTGACGCTGCATCAGCTGTCGTTTCGAGAGCACTCCGAGCAAAATCTCGCGGCTCTCGGGCTCATCGACCGGCTGTGCCTGCGGTTCCTCAATTTTGTTGTGGCACGGCGTGCACTCGCGTTTTGTGTGGTGACGGGGTTCTACGTGGCCCTCGCGGGTGCGGGCATTGCATTCGGGTGTCTGACGCCGTCGCCGCAATACCAGTACGAGTGGATCATCGACGACAAGCGGAGCACGCGGAACATGGACATGCGGCTCGCGGCGGTCGACGCGGTCGACCAACTGGACGCCGGCGACCTGCATGCACGCAAGCAACCTCACCAGTTGATAGGAATTTGGGTCGAATATGCGGGGCCCAGTGGTAACATTTTTACGCCCACGAGATTACAGGAGATATGTGAGATGGAGGCGACCTTCTACCGGCCGGCCAAGTACCAGGACGTCTGCGTCCTCGACAACGATGGCCAATGTGCTATACCACCGCTGTCTATTGTTGGACAATTTTATGGCGTCGAGTGGCTCGCGGGGCTTGTGCAGAATGGGACTGGAACCTGTGATTTGTTGGCGACTGCAGAGGTCGAGGCAACATGGATAAGTATGATATCTGCGGCCAATGCGACCAGGGAGGGGTTCAATGAATATGGCATTTTCATGGAGAAAGGGGCAGTAGCCGTGGGCGCGACGTCAAAGACTCGATCGCTGCTCTCTGTGGGACAGCCACTCGAGGGATTTGCCTCTACGAGAGACCGGACCGAGCGGCAAACAAAGACTTATCTAGCGTACTTTGAGGCCGTTGAACAAGATCTCTGGGATCATTTTGGCGTCGAGTCGACGTTTTTCCAAACTCCTTACTTTGCACCATGGCGGCGCAATGGCCTCAAACTTCGATACTTCTCCTGGCTAATCGCGCGGCTCGAAAATTTGCGCATGCAAGAAATGGATTTATATTTCATAATCTTCACGATAATCTTTGTCGACCTCTGCATTCGCGCCTACACACGCTCGCACGCATTCACAGCAGCGGCGCTGGCACAGATCCAGTTGTCAATTCCCGTGACGGCGTTTTTGTATCGTATCGCGTTTCGAATCGAGTACTTCGGTTCGTTACATCTCTGTAGTATATTTCTAGCCCTTGGTATTGGTGCAGACGACAACTTTGTGCTCTTCGACGCGTGGCGCCAGGCACAGGCTGATGTGCCCAGGGTTGAGAATGCAGACGAGACGACGCTCCGACGACTCTTATACGCGTTTTCACGCACCATGGATACGGTTTTCAACACGTCGCTAACGACTGCCCTTGCGTTTCTCTGCCTAGGCTTATCGCCAATTATGCCGGTCCGGACCTTTGGCATTTTTGCAGCGATGGTCGTGGTCTGCAACTACGTCATGGTCCTAACTATGATTCCTACATGTCTAATTCTTTGCGATGGATGCTACTTTTGGCCACGGCAATGCGCACGAGAAGCTGCCACTAAGAGCTCGGCACCAAAGAGTGAGAGGCGCATCTTCCCGTCAATCAAGCCATTCTTCGAGAAAATTTACTTGCGCTATATGTCTTGGACTTTAAGCTGCGCGAAGGGCATTCCCATTGGAGCCTGGCTCTCGGTCTGGTGCTTCCTCGTGCTTGGCGTCTTCCTCGGTTATCGGGCGTTGCATCTCGAAATGCCGCGCGAACAGGAAGAGCTGTTTCCAAAGAAGCACATGTTCATGGGCTTCCTCAATGACATGGCAAATGACTACGAGGCTGGCGCCGACGACCAGTACTGTCGCGTCTTCTACACGTTCGGCATCAACAACTTGGGTAAGGAGAATTATGACGAATACAAACCAGACTATAAGAGAGGCTACGCCAAGTGGAATCGTGCTTTTGACCTACACGCGCCGGCCGCCCGGCTAGCACTCAAAGGATTTTGCGACACTGTCCGTGCGGTGCCATGCAGTGAGCAGGAGTGTTCCATGGGGCTTCTCCACCTGCCTGAAAGTACCATCTGTTTTTACGAGGAGTTCGAAGCGTGGAAGGTGTTGCACAGTGTGTACTCGAAAGCCTGGGTGAACTTCTAAATTTCAATATTTTGTGCTTCGCGCAGGCTGCGGGCTATGGTAACTCTTCGCTCGGTCTCTCAAATGCAACCGCCGACGAGTTCTACGGAGAGCTCGCTTCATTCAGGGAATCGACATACCCAGGGATGATGCTTGGTCACGAATCTGACGGTAGCACGTGGAATGATTACATCGGTTTTATCGACGGCCATCTCCGATACGTAACCGTGTCGACTTCGCTGACAATGAAACAGTACAGCGCTATTCAAGAGCGGCGCGAGGTCATAAACCGCGTGATTCATTTTGTCGACGGGCAGCAGCCGCCATTACCACCGGAGCTCGGTGACTTAACCTACGATGGCGGTTGGGAGTTCCTCTGGACCGACACTTTTGAGGCGCTCCGTGCATCGCTCTTCGAAGGCCTAGCAATCTGTTTCCCCCTTGCGTTTGCTGTGTTGCTCTTTTCGACGGAGAATCTATTAGTTTCCCTTTATGCCATCTTCGGCATTGCCCTCATCGTCGCTTCGGTGCTTGGCACCATTGAGTACATCTACGGCTGGGACCTTGGAATCGTCGAGTCGCTCATGGGTAATTTGGTCGTGGGCTTTTCAGTAGATTACACCATTCATCTCGGTCACATGTTTGTCGCTGCCGACAAAGAGCACAACTTAAGGCATCGCGTCGACCGCTTCTCATTTGCGATCCGCAAAATGGGCAGTACAGTCGTCGTAGGCGCTGTGACGACACTGGGCGCCGGCCTCTTCCTGCTCCCTTGCCAACTCGTGTCTTTAAACAAGCTCGGTCTCCTCATGATCACCACGATCTTCTTCTCACTACTCTACTCTTTCGGGTTCGTCATGCCGCTCCTTGCTGCCGCGGGGCCCTCGGGGGACCGGTTCGCGTTTCGACCCCTGAGCGCGCTGAAGCGGATGGTCTCCAAGGCCCATGGTCCTGAGCGTGCTGAAGCGGATGGTCTCCAAGGCTCATGGTATCATCGGGGGCCACCGGTGAACCTGCTTTTCGGTGTGGGATCGTCTACTTTGCGCTTGCCGTGAGATGGATGCTGTCCAAACACCCCCCCTCCCCCCCCCCGTAGTCTGATGTAAGTTGTAATTACTAGGGGCATATGATATGTGCAGAAGGAGATATGTGCGGCTTCTCAGATAGAGGCGCTAGCGGCTACAAGCGGCACGGTAGGTCACCGGTATATATACATCATATATATATCTTAGAGATAGATGCATACTACAACAGAGAGTTGGGAGAGAGGCCACTGATCACACGAAACCCGTTTTTATCACCAAAAAATGCCGGCGCCGGGGGCACACATTGCACATATTTCATTCTGCCTCTGGCGCGCTCACTCGTTGCCGCACGAAGGTAGAGTCACCGCGGACGCGTATTGAAAAGCAGCTGTATCTCACCATGTCCTACACCCCCCTCAGCGATCAGTACTACGCCGGAGTGCTGGATTTCGGCGGCGTGCGCATTTTGTTAGACTGCGGATGTGACATAGAGTTCCAGAACCTCGGCGAAAAAATCGCCGCCGTCGCGCCGACGGTCGACTTGGTCCTCCTCTCGCACGCGGAGCTGCGCCACGTCGGCGCGCTGCCCGCGGCCAAGGCCCGCTACGGCCTCGCGGCGCCTGTGTTTGCGACGACGCCAACCATTAAAAACGGCGCCCTCACGCTCTACGAGGCCTGGGGCGGGTTCCGGGCGGCGAAAGGGAGAGCGGCGGCGAAGGAACTGTTCACCTTGGACGACGTCGACGCAGCTTTCGACAAGATACGAGCTCTGAAGTTCGACCAGCCGCTGTCGCTTCGCGGCCGCGGCGCCGGCGTCGTGGTCACCGCGCACCGCGCGGGCCACAGCGTCGGCGGCGCGTACTGGCGCATCTCGCGGGGTGCTGATGAAGTTGTCTATGCCGTCGACGTCCACCACGCGCGGGAACGCCACGTCGACGGAACGGCGCTCGCGGCCCGCGGCCCCGACCGGCGGCCCGCCGTGCTCATCTGCGACGCGGGGCCGCTCCGTGGGCCCGCCGCGCCGGCGCCGCCGCGCCGCGCGGCCGAGGACGCGGCCGTCGACGCGGCGCTCTCCGCGCTGCGGCACGGCGGCCACGCGCTCTTCCCCGCCGAGGGCGCGTCGCGGGCCCTGGAGCTGCTGCTCGTGCTCGACGAGGCGTGGCGCCGGCGGAACCTCGGCGGCGCGTACGACCTCGTCTTCGTGCATGCGACGGCCCGCAGTGTGCTCGACTTTGCGCGGTCGCAGCTCGAGTGGATGGCGCCCGAGGCGCAGGACTCGTTCGACGGCACGACGGGCGCGCGCCGCGGCGGCGGCCACCCGCTCGCGCTGCGCGAGGTCCGCTGCACGTCGTCGGTCCGCCGACCGTGCGGAAATCAAACTTCCCATGCCAAGACACACTGACTAATTTGCACACAGGTCGCGGAGGCGCTCGCGAAGCGGCCCGACGCGCCCAAGTGCGTCGTCGCGGCGCGGCCCGAGCTCGAGACCGGCGCGGCGGCGCGACTCCTCCGCGAGTGGGCTGGCGACGCGCGCAACGTCGTCGTCCTCACGGCGCGGCCCGGCGCGCCGCTCGGCGCCGCGCGCCGCGCCTCCGTCGCCGCCCAACTCGAGGCCGGCACCGACGCGCTCACGGTGACGCGCTGCCTCCGCGCGCCGCTGGCCGGCGCCGCGCTCGCCGCGCACCTCGCCGCGCGCGACGAGGCGCGCCGCGCGGCCGCGGAGGCGGCCGACCGCCGCGCCAAGGCCGACGAGATGGCGCGCAAGGTCCTGCTTATCGACGACGCAGCGGATGCCGCCGCCGCTGCGGGCGACGACGCCGAAGACGACGCGGCCGACGGCGTCGCCGGCGCGGCCGCGGCCGCGACCGACGACGGCGGCCGCCGCGCGCGCCTCGAGGCGAGCCGCGCGCGCCTCGCGACGCTCCGCGAGAACGCGCTCTTCGCGCGCTTCGCGGAGCCGGCGCACGCGACGTTCGCGCCGCTGCCGAAGCGGCCCGCGGCCGACGACTACGGCGCGCCGCTGCCCGCCGAGGTCGAGCGCGCGCGCGTGGCCCGCGTCCTCTCTGTTTTTTCTCTTCTAACGGCCAAACACACAGGTTCCTCGTGGCGCGCCGGAGCCTCCTCGGCCTCGAGACGCGCGACGGCTACGGCCACCTCCGCGACGACGCGGCGCCGGCAACTTCGGCGACGGAGGCGCCCGCGGCCGTCGAAGCGACGCCCGCGGCGCCGGCGGCGCCGGCCGACGTCGCCTACGACGAGGCGCCGAGCGACGACGACGCGGCCGTGTCGTTCGAGGCGCGCGACGAGGCGCTGGCGATCCGGTGCCGCGTCGTCCGCGCGCCGGGCCTCGAGGGTCTCTGCGACGGCCGCTCGCTGCGCGCGCTGCTCGCCACGGTCAAGCCGCGTGCGCTCGTGGCACTGCCGGGCCCCGACGGCGGCGCGGCGGCGGCCGCGCTCGCGGCCTTTGCGCGCGAGCGCCTCGCGCCGCGCGGCGGCGCCGCGCACGTGGCGACGCCAGCGGCCGGCGCCGCCGCGGACCTCGGCGCCTGGCTCGGCCGCGCGCCGCTCGTCGACGCGCGGCTCTCGTGGCGCGTGCTCCAAGCCCAAGCCGCCGGCGCCGTCGCTTTAGGCGACGGCTACGACGTCTGCCGCGTCCGCGACGCGGTCCTCGTCGACGCGGACGGCGACGCGCCGCCGGCGCTCGTCCTCGCGCCCGAGCTGCCCGACGCCGCGCCGCCGGCCGCGGGCCCGCGGCCGCCGCGGCTCTGGCTCTCGGCCAAGGACGTCGTGCTGCCGGCGCTCAAGGCGCGCCTCGCGGCCGAGGGCGTCGCGGCGGCCTTCCGCGCCGGGGCGCTCGTCTGCGCCGGCACGGTCGTCGTCCGCAAGACCGTCGACGACCGCGGCGCCGGCCGCATCGTCGTCGACGGCCCGCTCTGCGACGAGTACTACACCGTGTCTCGCATCGTCCGCGACGCGTTTGCGCTCGTTTAAGTCCGGCCTTTGCTTTACGTCGTCCGAGTCCGAGTCGGCGCCCGAGATTTCGCTCCGACTCGAGTCCGAGGACTTCTCCGAGGCGACGTCCGTGAGTATTTAAAGAGTGAGCTACAACAATTACACAAACCCATTACACAAGAATTCACTAGTTGTGGACGTAGAGCGTCTGCGGGAGCTTGAGCGCCTCGAGGCCGACGCGTGCGAGCTCTTCGAGCACCGCGCGGACGTACGAAAAGTCGGCCGCGTGGTGGCGCCACCCAAAGCCGACGCGGCGCGCCACGTCGGTTCGTACGGCCACGGCGCCGACGTCGAGGCGCCCCGACTCGTCGAGCGTCGCGTCGATGTGGCCCGAGTACGGCGGCAGCGCGCGGGGCCGGCCGCCCCCGATAGCGCCCCCCGAGCCGGGCGGACGCGCGGCTTCCGAGGCCATGTGGCCCGCGAGGAGGTCTGCGACCTGCGTGGATCGACCGGTGAGGCTGGGTAAAGTTCATGTTTCCGCACCGTCCACGACGCATGCGGCATCATCACAGCCGCCGCCACTATTCAGGCCCTCGGCCGCCACAAAATCGCGCGCGACAGCCGCCACGTCGTCGCCGCGCCGGAAGCGGATCTCCGCGACGCGGCCGTCGAGCAGCGGCCGGACGACGACGGCCTCGGGATCTTCTTCAGCCGGAGCGTCACCGTAGGCGCGGAGGGCCGCGTCGTACGCGGCGCCCGCGGCGAGCTCGCCCTTCATGTCCAGCAAAAAGTCGTAGTAGACGAGGCCCGCGTTTGGGTTGGCGCGGATTTTTTCGACCACGGTCTCGACGAAGAGCGGCACGTAGTAGTTGTCGACGCCCGTCAGCACCGTCCACGGGCTCTCGCCGAGGCCGAGGCCCAGCTCGCGCGGCGTGTGGCCGTGGTCGCCGTAGGCGCGGTCCGTCGCCGCGTAGTTTATCCGCGGGTCGGTGTAGCGCCCGACGACCGCCGCGGCGCGCGCATCGTAGCCGTCACCTACCACCGTGAGGGCCCAGTCGCGGCTCGTCTGCGCGAGGAAGCAGTTCAGCATCACTTCTATGCTTGCGTTCGTGATCGCAGCGTGGACTGGTGCGACGACATGCAGCGTCGGTGATTCATTATTTCTAGCATTCGTGGCTGCAATGTACAGGCTCAGCATCAGCAGACCGCGCGGCATTGCACCGCTACTACGTTTTAAGTTTGAGTTGGCCCATTGGGATGCCATCTATGCGCAGCGGTGGCGTCGACGCTGGCTCCTCGAACGAGGGCGAGGATATAGCAGCTCGTATGTTTGCTGCTGCCCGTCGAATTACTAGAGTGCTTTCGTGGGCAGCATGGGCAGCATCATTGCGGGCAGCCCAGATGGTGAGATAAGTATACCGTCAGTACCAGAGGAAGTATGAGATACTAAATTTATCAGTCGTTTAGTGATCAAAGGATTCTGATATTCATCTTTGCTTGCTCTAAGTAGTAGTACAGGGTAGCAGAGGATCGCCATAAAACACGCATACTGCGGATTCAGCTTACCCTAGTTTCCTTGCAATGGAAATACACGTCTAGTAGGATCCCAAGGTTCAACTGAGACGTATCCAAGCACAACCCGTACTTGTATTACCCGCCTAGGCTACTTCCCATCCTAGGGTACTCCGATATCCCCTTAGTAAGGGCAGCCCAGGAATAACCTGGGTTGTGTTTGGTGCCATAATAGACCCTATGGTGCTGGAAGCCAGCGTTGAGAAAATTTCTCAGGCACATGGTGCCTCTTTGTGTAAACGACAAATGTCGCCACAGTGACTTGTCCTTGGGGATGAACATATGTAAATATGGCTAGCAATAAAATGACCAGCTAGCTGAGAAATACCCAGAGGGACCAACAGATCATGGATAGGGCTCCTAGAACACTAGGCCGCTAAATACGTTGATGTGCCCCACATCCTAGCTAATAGTATGTATACCTCGAGGTATACGTATGACTTTTTGCCTAGACACGGCATAGCTCCTTAATTACGCATCGCGTCGTTACGGCATAGCTAACCCTATCGTACTATCTGGCCGCGACAATCGCGTCCTCGCTGTAGCAGCGACGCGGCAGGGGGCTAGCAACCCAGGCCTACAGTAACTATGCTCGCAGCCGACAAGCTCCTGCTCCAGTCCTCAATACGACAAAACTCCATCGCCCTCAAGGAGAAGGAGTTCAACCTGCACCATGGGAATTTCAACGCCGTCGGCACGCAAGCCGCGGTGCTGGCGGGCTTCACCGTGACGGCGTTCATCGAGTTCGACTGCCCGCCGGACACGAACCGCGCGACGAAGTTCGCGTACTACGTGTCGTCGATCGTGTCGCTCGCGGCGAACATCCTGTGCGTCGCGAACACGACGTTCCTGTCCGTCTGGGGCACGGGCCTCGCGATGCGCGGGCCCGACGGCTCGATGGCGCGCGCGGTCGACGGCATGTACCAGCTGCGGCGGAACGTGTTCGCGCTCTTCGGGCTCGGCATGATGGCGCTCCTCGTCACGGCCATCTTCGGCTCGTGGATCCTCATGAACGTCGAGGCGGCGGCCGCGTCGACCTGTGTGGAAATCAAAATTTTACGGCGCGTTCGTGCTGAATCGCCGCGTCGTCCTCCACGCCATCGACGCGACGCCTGCTCGATGGCGTGGCGATGCCGGTTCCTCGCCGCTCGACCGAGCCAGGACAGCCGCGCCATCGCCGCGAGGTGACTTAGTGAAGAATTGTCCGGTGCACCGAACACACTGGTTGATTTCCACACAGGCGTCGACGGCCGTCCTCGCGTACTCGATCTACATGACGTGGAAGTCCTACCGGTCCATCACGAACATGTTCCACTTCAACGAGGACGACGCCGTTTCCTTCGACGACCTCCTCGACGCCACGCAGACGCTCATCCCCAAGGGCGGCGCGGCGGCGCGCGAGTCCGTCGTCGAGAGGCGAGGCTTCGCGGCGAGCGGCGACGGCATGGGGTCGCCGCACCCGTCGGCCACGCGCCTCAACGCCGGCGCCGAAGTCGTCTGAATATATCGTGTGCCCGTTGGCGGATTTTTTTCGCACCCATTTAGTAACAAGCTCTCTCGCTATTCTTTCAAGCACAGATTAGAAAAGCCCCCGAGGCTTGTGCCGCGGCAGGAAGGAGTAAGAAAGCCGAGAGCGTCATCGCCGCTTCTTCTGCCGTGTCGAGCGGCGGCCGCGCTCGAGGATCGCCTCGAGCTGGCGGTCCACGTCTTCATCGCGCGCGGCCTCGACGGCGGCGGGGTCGCAGTAGCCGAGCGCGTCCTCGCACGCGGCGGCCGCGGCCGCGTCGCAGTAGACAACCTCGCGGCGCGGCGCGCCGAGCGTGACGGCGACCTTGCCCGCGCGGCAGTTCGAGGCGCACTTCGTCGCCTGCGTGCGAATTGGTCTGTCACGTGCTCATTTCGCGGCGATCGTAGGACCCTCTCGACAATGCGGTTCGCACAAAAGGCGCCGTTGTGAAAATATGATTCTCGCACGGGCCAAGACGCATCGCACGAGCGGCGCGGGCCGGCCGGCGAGCGCCTCGCCCGCGGCGAGCCGCGCGAGGCGGTCGTGGACGAGCTGGCCGTCGGCCTTGCCGCAGGCGATGGGCGCGGCGCAGACCGTGATCTGCGGCGCGCCCCGGATCCGCGCGGCCAGCTCCTCGTCGGCGTCGGCGAGCCGCTCGAACTCGTCGGCCTGTGCGCATATCGAACAGCGAGTCGGGTGCGCAACTCTTCGCGACTCATCGCGACTCATATCTCGCGACGAAGTGGCCGTGCTAGCCAAGTTGCGCAGTCAGAGAGCCACACCGCCACGCCGTCGAGCAGGCGAAAATATGATTCGTGCACTGCCGCGGACGACGAACGCCCTAGCATCGCGCCGCAGCTCGTCCTCGCGGGCCCACTCGTCGTCCACGAAGCGGAGGGCGCTCTCGCGCAGCGCCTCCTCGCGCGCGCGCGTCTCGCGCCGGAGCGCCTCCTCGCGAGCCCACTCGTCCTTTATGAAGATCAGCGTCGCGTTCCGCACGGCGCGCTCTTTCCTTACCTCCCCTTCGAGAAAGTCCAGCAGCTCGCCGGCCGCGCCCGGCGCCGCGAGGCGCGAGATGCTCTCTTTGATCGCGCGCTGGCCGCGCACGAGCTGTTCTCGTTCCGCGCGGCGGCCAGCGCGGACCACGTCCGAGAAGTCTCTACGATCCTTTAACCAGGACCACTTTGGCTCGAAGGTGTCGCGTTTCGAACGCAGCCAGGCGAGCGGCGACGAGTCCGCGTCGTTCTCGTTTTCCGTCGCGCGGCGCGGCGTCGGCCTTGAAGGCCTTGAAGGCGCTTGCGGGACCCATGCGAATGAGAGGCGCGCGACGATCACGAGACCGACGCAGATCCGCATCGTTGAAGCCAGGCGCTTTTCAAGAGATCGATGCTATCTCACCCATCATGGAGCGCGGAACCACAGCTTCGCAGGACCGAATCGCTTGCTACGGGCTATGGATGTGTGCCAGCAGTCCCAGAGTCAAAGCTTGGTACACAGCCTAGCCGGCCGTAGACCTGGAATCAGGCCAATTTACTATCCAAGCAGTTGGGTTACTGCCCCAACGCGACCGTTCGACGTCCAGCGGAGGACGGCACTGCACGCTCCAGATCGAGCTGCCACAAGCTCACAAGGTATGCTGCCTCATGAGCCCGAAGTAGGAGGTTTCGTAGAGGAAAGACGCGTGTGACTTGTTCTTGTGAATTTTGGCGTGCAGGAAAGACAAACGTGACGGGTTTTGGGGCTTTACGACATATTCACCAATAAAACCGGCCAGAGCTGTCGCATTGATCGGCTGGAAGGCAAACAGGCAAGCTTTCTCCAGTGTGTCGTTGCTGTGGGAACGGACGACAAGCAGAGAACCGCCTGAAGAGACTCACTGCATAAGCAAGGAAGGCTAGGCAATTGACACTCGAATAAATGCCATGATCACCGCGCAACAAGAGCACAAAAGCCGCTGGCGCGGCCGCTACTGGCGACGAGTAGAACTCGAATTCGTCGAAGGTGGAGCAGTAAAACTAGACGGCGGCAGCCCAAAGGCGCTGGTGCGAATAAATGATGAAGGCTCTGATGTCGTGCGCGTCGAGATCGCAGACGTCGCAGCCTACGAGGCCGCGCGACGAGCATGCGTGCTGCCAAAGACCGAGACGCTGCGGCTGCGCGGCGCGGGGCTTTTCGAAGCGCTCGACGCGCACCGGCGGCGCCGGTCGACTGCGGTGCCGCCGCCCGAGCCGCCCGAGCCGCCCGCTCCGCGACCTCCGCCAGAAGAGTCCGGACCGCGGCTGCCACCGGCGCCCGGGACGGATGCCACGGACGCCGCGCCGACCGTCGGCGCCCTCGAGGCGCGGCTCACAAAGCTCCAAAGGTCGGACCTCGAGCGGCGCCTCGCGGCGCTTAATCCGTCGGCGGCGGGCGCAGCGCCGCCGGTCGAGGCCCTCCGCGAAAGACTCGCAGCTCTACGCGACGGCGACGCGACGGGTCCTGCGTTCGTTGACCGGCCAAAGGGCTTTTTGGACGCTGCCTCTGACGACGAGGACGAGGATGCAATAGTCGCGCGCGCGAGAGAGGCGGCGCGCCTCGACGGCCGCGTCTGTTCCGACGACGGCCTGCTCGAGTGCCTGGCTGGTCTCGACGACGACGAACCGGGCCCTGCGGTGACCGCGGACGACGACGTCGAGGCGCTCCTCCGCGAGGCGCGTCAACTCGGCGCCACCGCGCAAGCAGACCTCGCCGGTGCCGAATCAAAACGCGACGACGTTGCGGACCTCCTGAGCCGAGCCGGCGACCTCGTGGCCCGCGCCGCGCGGGACCGCGGCGATAGCGTCGAGCCGTCGAATGGCGTGCCCGACTACGACGACGACTCGGCCAACGACGAGCCGACGGGTTCCGAGTCGGACGACGAGGACGATAGATGACTGCGAGGTGCGCGCGACGCCCCAATCAAGAAACCCCGACTTGTCTTGTGCCTGCCAGTGTAACAATAACTTTAACTACGTGGTTCTGTCGCCTTGAGGAGCCGGGGGCGCGGCCCGCGGCACTGGTGGGCCAGGGCTGCACTGGGCGGAGACCGTGACTGCCAAGCGGCGAGATATAGTCCTATTTCGGGAGACCTGGGTCACGGGGCGAAAGTGCCAAGCGCTGTGGTGTGGCGGCCGTGTCCTCTGCCCCTCGATTCCTATTTTACCTTTCAAGTCAGGTACTAGAAGTACTAGTACGGTAGGCAAAAAGTGCCAAGCCCGAGTCGCCGAGCGTGTGATGTGGAACGACATGTTCTCTGTCCTCGATTTCTAATTTACTCAGAGAGGCTTTATTTATTTGTTTATATTTAAACAAGTAGTTATTAACTTTTATTCGAAATCGGCTGCAACTAGGAGGCACGTCACTTATCCATGAAGATTGTTTGTTCAAGTTAACTCACTGTGACTTGGAGACGCAAGGGCCGGAGTTCAGTTCGAGGAGCGACACTATTCACGCAGACTCGTTGCACGCTGGTGTCGTCTCGAAGGTAAGACGAATGACGTTCGCGCTACATACAGATCCCAAGTCACCACGGCGTTACAGACAAATCTAGCATGTCATAACGGGAGACCGGCACGTGGATAATACTTTTGCTAACCTGTTTGGCCTTCTTAGCTAGTTCAAGTGCCATGTGCTTTAAACCTGAATTCATGGGGGTTAATTTCGCAATTGGGCTGTTCGAAAAAAATGGAATCGTGTCTTTGTTCTTGCTGAGAAGAGGCACCACCAACCTCAAGGCCACTCGGTTAGAAAGGAGATTAGAGAGAGCAGGTCCGGGGTCGCTCATGTGCAATGTGCGCTTGCTGAAAATCAAACAATCGCCAGCATGCATGTCCAAATAACGAAACTCTAGCCCTGATTCATTGACATCCGCAAATGTCTTCAGGGGTTGGGTTGGGAATGAACCGGCAGTGTTCAATGTTTTTATGATGCTACCATCATCAGCTGCTATGTAATAAACAGGTGGATCATATCTGTCCACGTCATCGGTCGAAGCTAGGAACATGTTACCTCCCTCTCCGTCATTTTCTTTCATGAGGAACCAGATTTGGAATCCATCAGCAGTGGGAAATTGGGACCAATCAAGATCCCAGTGAATTCGAGGGAAATAAGACCCTCGCTCTGTGAATAATCCGTAATAGAGAATGTGTTCGAGTGAGACGGGAGAACCATCACGGTGAACGTGGGGAAGAATATCTACAAACAGGGAGTCGAGGGCCTCATGCATTAGTTTTGGTTGGCCTGATTGATATGAAACTGTAGCGTTCGTTAATGCTTCGAGGTGCCTTGCCATATTTATTATCTTGTACTCATCCACAGTTTCGCTTCCAACATTTACTGCTTCATTGGCTTTGAAGCTTGTTGTGTTGATGACGGGGGCGGTGGCGAGATATGGCAAAAATACATCAACCGGAGTATCTTTAATATGACGTTCTGGCGCATTATTGATCCATTTTTGCTGGAGTGAAGATTTGGTCTTGGGAAAGTATTTGTATAAGACCGCACGGGGGCCTCTATGCAGTGGCAAAATGTAACAGGAGCATACCACCAGACCGATAATCAGCAGCACAAATCTGATGCATTTATACACAATGACACTTGACTTATCGATAATCACTTTTGGACCGCCCATCAGTTTCGGAATCCGCGCCGCGCGGTAGAGCGCGGTGACGAGACTACCCAGGTACTGGCAGTAGTTGGTATTTGGCGACGCGGCGCCCTTTGGTATGCCCTTGGAGGACCCATTAGTGCTCAATGTCGGGGCCGGTGTCGGAGCGAATTCCGAGGCGACTCGCGAGGCCGCCCCCATCTCCTTGGAGCGCCGGACCATCTTTGGTGGTCTTGTGGCGGTCTAGAGAAGGTGTAAACTCGCGAGCGCGGCGTATTGGCGCTGCGGCGTCGTGCGCGGTGCAGATCGTAAAGTCTACTTCCGAGCCGAGTAGCTTGGGCTCCTCGAGGGGACTCCATTGTACCCTTGGTTTTAACTTGGTATGTACTGCGGTATCACAAGTAAGCCCTACTGGTATACGTATATATACGAGCTTGTATAGCTATCAAGCTGCAAGATGTGCGGTAAGCCTTTTTATTAGGTACAATGGTATAGCAGCGACCCGTGCACGATGCTAAACCGGCAAAACCCGATTTATTGCGAATGAGCCTAAGGCCTCCCGATGTTGCACAGCAAAGCAACGTACGCCGCTTGGCGCTGCGCAGTTAGATAGATATTTATATTACTTGTGTGGACCGCCTTTTTTTACCACATATAAGGACGCCACCCTTATTCCTAACACAGCTAAGCACCCATAAAATGGACTCCCGCCGCGCCGGCGGCGGCAACCGCATGATGACGAGCACGACGCTGCAGACGAACGACATCTGGTCCAAGACCATCGGCCACGACCCGCACGCCGGCGACGCCGAGGCCGCCGAGGACGCGGCGGCGCGCGAGCGCCAGGAGGAGCGCGCGCGCGGCGTCATGGAGCTGGCGCGCCTCGACGCTATCAAGCAGGGCGGCAGCAGCCGCGGCGACAACTTCGCGCAGAGTCTCTTCTGGGGCCTCAAGCGCAAGGCACCGCCGCGCGGCTACGAGATGGCGCCGGTCGAGTCGTCGTCGAGCTCGGGCTCCTCGTCCGACGACGACGACGACGATGCGGCGCGCGCAGCCAAACGGCGGCGCGCCGACGACGAGGCGGCGCGGCGGCGAGACGAGCGCCGCGAGCGCAAGCGCGCGAAGAAGGCTCGCAAGAAAGAAAAAAAGAAGAGCAAAAAGGAGAAGAAGAAAAAGAGGTCGCGTAAGTAAACACAGCATATTGTTCTTACTTTTGTCTACACTTCTTCCATTTGAAGACGGCCGCGCGGCCATGCGCCGCGCCCGCGACCTTGCGCTTGCGGCCCTTGGCGCGGAGGACGTGCTTCTCGGCCTCGAGGCGCTGGATCAGGTCCGTCGAGGCGCGCTGGTCGTCGAGCGCCGAGTCGAGCGACGCGTAGGCGCGGCGGACGCGCTTGCCGGCGACGCGCGCGGCCTTGTCCGGCCGCCGCGGCCGCGCGGCATCGCGGACGCGCCGCCGCGCGGACCTGGCGCCGCGCGCGGCGCCGCCGTCGTCGAAGTACGTGTGCTCCGCCGTCTCCGCGGCCGTCTCCGTGCGGTGGAGACCCGCGCGGAGCTTGTCGACGCGGCGGTCGTCGACGACCTTGCGCATGTGCACGTAGCGCAGGTCCTCGGCCTTGAGCTTGGCCGTCGCCGCGTGGGTGGAAGCCGAGCCCGCGGGCCCGCGCCGCTCGCCCGCGACCGTCTTCGTCATCGCGAAGTAGAACTCGTCCTGGTTCCGCTCGGCCGCTTTGCGCGTGAGCGTCTTGAGCCGCGCCGTCTTCTTCTTGTAGTCATCCGCGCGCTTCTTGTAGTCCGAGTGCTTCTCGAGGAGGCCGAGGTGCTTCCTAGCGGCCGGCTGGGCGCGCTCCTTGTGCGTCGAGCGCTTGACGGCGTTGCGCAGCGACGACATTCTTCGTCTCAGTTTCTGTTGCACGCTTCGTGCGCTTGCTGCTCTGCTGCAGTGGGTGCCTCCTCCTCCAATAAATAGCTGCAGCGGTGCAGGCTGCCGTTACGCGTGCCTCGCGTCGGCTGCTGCTTCAAGGAGTCAGGTGCAGCGCGCGCACTCCGTCGTTCGATCGGTGTGCCTCTTTGCTTTCAGCAGAGAGCAAATTGCATCGCTCTCAGCTCAGCCTCTACTGCCTCCAGTCCCGTGCGAGAATTGCGAGCAGTGCTCTAAACTGATCAATACCTGACGAGGCCTACCGGAGAGCGGAGACCAAGCCTGAAACGGTCTACGCTGCAGCAGCACACAGAGCAATGGAGCCACAAACAACCATCCCGCCCCATCCCTACGGCGTCGAGCCCGCCGGCAGCGCCTTCGCGCGGAACCTGAGCATCGCGACATCACGCCGCGGCCTCGGCCAATTAGGCACGGTCGACGACGCGACGGTGCTGCACGCGCTCGGGTACGCCGACGGCGCGGCGTTGTGCGCGCTGGCCATCGCGTCGGGAGCGCTGCGGTGCTTCGCGTCGACGGAGGACCTGTGGCGTGGCGTCGCGCTGCGGCGTGCGGGCGACGATGGCGCGATCACCTACCGCGGTGGTAGCTGGAAGCAGTCGGTGGTCGGCGCGCCGCGCGCCAACGTGGCGAAGCGACTCTTCTCGGACGCGCTCTACCACTCGCATCGCCTCGTTCACGCGGCGCCTTTATCTTCGAGTGGCTTGGGTTCCTGCGCCCGGCGCCGCGCGGCCGAGCTATCCGTCGACGCCTTCGTCGAGGACTTCGAGCGGGCCGGCGTGCCTGTTGTGATTGAGGGCGCGGCCGCCGACGCCGCTGCACAAGATGTCTGGGACCGCGACGTTTTGCAGGACCGCCTCGGCGCGCGCGTGTTCCACGTCGGCGGCTACGCGTTCGGGCTGGCGGAGTTTCTCCAATATGCGGAGAACAACGCGGACGACACGCCGCTGTACCTCTTCGACAAGCGCTTCGCCGAAGCGGCCCCGGAACTCGCAGCGGCGTACAAGCCCCCAAAGTACTTCGACGACGACCTGTTCGGGCTCCTCGAGGGCCGGCGGCCCGACTGGCGCTGGCTCATCGTCGGCGGCGCGCGGTCGGGCAGCGCGTGGCACAAGGACCCCAACGGCACGTCGGCCTGGAACGCGACGCTACGTGGCCGCAAGCGGTGGCTGTTTTTCCCGCCGCGGACGACGCCGCCCGGTGTACGGCCGTCCGCTGACGGGCTCGATCTCGTCGCGCCGCTGAGTATTGCCGAGTGGATGTCAGTGCGGAACTCATTTTTTTGTACAGCCCTCAATTTGAGTCTTTTTGGCGGTCAATCGGCGGCCAGGATTCATTCCTTCATTCAGAGAGTAGCCAAAATGTTCGCGCTTCAGCTGAGACATAAATAGGATTATGCGCATCCACGTCACTGGTTGATTTCTGCACAGGTGGACGCGCGCGTTCTACGCCGAGGCGAAGGCGCATCCGCACTTCGTCGAGGCGCACAGCGGGCCGGGCGACGTCGTCTTCGTACCGCGTGGCTGGTGGCACTGCGTCGTCAACCAGGACGCCTTCACCGTCGCCGTCACGCACAACTTCTGCTCGCCGCGCGGCCTTAGTTCCACGCTCGGTCTGCTGCGCCAGTCGCCGCATCTCGTCTCGGGCCTCGTGCGCGACGAGCGCGTCGATGAGTGCGACGACCTAGACGAGGTCGCCAAGCGCGCTGTCGTTGGCGCCGCGCTCCACGACCGGCTCGTCGCCGCGCTCCGGCGCCGGCGGCCCGACGCGCTCGCTGATGCTGAGGCCGACCTCGCGCGGCCCACGACGCTCTGGGGGCGGCTTACGGCTGAGCCGCCGGACCTCGTTGCGACTGGCGCTGCGCCGAAGCGGGCGCGTGTGGACGATGGTGCCAGTAGTGGTGGGTTCTCGTTTGGTTTTGGGTAATTATTGGTACTAGACGCGATATCACAACAACACACGTCGCCACAAGCTACCGGCGCAGGTCGGCACGGCAGGAACTAGACATGTCCCTGCCGCGCGTCATGGGCGCGGATGGCTCGCATATCGACTTCTCCTAGTGCTCGAGCCGGCCGCCGCGGCGCCCGAGCCGAGCGCCGCGGCGCAAGTTCGGCCGGGCGCTATTCCTCTTGAGGAACTTCTCGTTCTGCGCGACCATGTCGCCGTTGATCGGCTTCCGAACCAGGCCCTTCGAGACAAAGAGCGCGTGTAGCTTCTCCTCGTTGAAGGGGCTCAGGTCGATGGAGTCCTGCTCGTCGCCGTCGCGCTTTATCGTCAGCGTGGGCGTCCTGCCGCGGATCCAGGTGATGGTCACGCCCTCGTAGCTCGTCGCGCCGAGCGGCGACCGAAGGAAGCGCTTCACCTCCGGCAGGCTATTGAGCTTTCAGCCGGGGCACGAGACGATGTCGGCCGTCATCTTCTGCGCGTTCGCAGCGGTGCTGAGGACCAGGAGGGCTGTGAGGTATGTATGCATTTTTGCTGCCTGGGCAATCAAAAGCGATCGGCGCCGCTCGAAGCCGTCGAAATAGTAACCAATGCGGTTATTTTCGCCACCGCTGCGCCGATACGCGGCTTGCGGCTAGGAAAGCCGATAAAACCCGTACAGATGAAAAAGCACGCTGTGGGATGCGGTTCAACCGCGCCGCAGACCTCAGAAACAGGGTCCACTACATGTAGCCTACCGGCTGAGGCAGGCTGAGCTTGCTGCATGTCGCAGCTCCAGCCCCATATAGCCTCTATGACTACGGCGGTAGACCAGCAGGCCGGTCGCTGATCAGAATTAATAGCCACAACAGCGCGCCGCAACCGCACGAGCGCAAGGGTGATAACACACCGCACAAAAAAGAGGAGATCACCTCTACCGCAAAAAAGCGTCGGCCCGCCACGCGCGGCGGCCGCGCGCGGGCACGACGAAGTCCCTACTCCTCTTCACCATTCTTCTGCGTGCGTGCAGAGGCCTGTCGACCGTGCTCAGGCGTCCGCTCGCCGTCCACGCGCTGACGAGCACCGCCTTCGACGGCGCCCTCAAGACCAAGGACATGACGGCGACGGTCACGGCGGCGGACCTCGCCGCGGCCGAGGTCGAGCTCACGTCCGACGAGCAGGACCTGGTCCAGGTGCTCGTCGCGGCGGCGGCGGCGCAGCAGACGACGGTGCGCATCTGCGGCGGCTGGGTCCGCGACAAGGCGCTGGGCCGCGTGACCAAGGACGTGGACGTGGCGCTGGACAACTGCAGCGGCGCGACCTTCGCCGAGCGCGTCGTCGAGGCGCTGGCCAAGGGCCTCGAGGGTGGCGACGGCCGCGGCGCGGCGCTCGCCGCGTCGTCGACGGTCGGGCTCATCGCGGCGAACCCGGAACAGTCTAAGCACCTCGAGACGGCGACGATGCGGATCTGCGGCGTCGAGGTCGACTTCGTCAACCTGCGGAGCGAGTCGTACGCGGACGCCGGCGACAGCCGGATCCCGACGATGGCGTTCGGGACGCCGCAGGAGGACGCGGCGCGGCGCGACTTCACGCTGAACGCACTCTTCTTCAACGTGCACACGCGGCGCATCGAGGACTTTACGGGCCGCGGCTGGGAGGACCTCCGCGCGGGCCTGCTGCGGACGCCGCTCGAGCCGCGCGTGACGCTGCTTGATGACCCGCTCCGCGCGCTCCGAGGCGTGCGCTTTGCCTCGCGCTACGGCTTCGCGCTTGATCCGGGCTTCGCCGAGGCGTGCCTACTGCCCGAGGTCCGCGCGGCGCTCCTCGCCAAGGTCTCGCGCGAGCGCGTCGGCAAGGAAGTCTGGGGCGCGCTCGCAACGTCACCGGCTGGCGCCGCACGCGCCGTCGACGAGCTCCGGCGGCTCCAGCTCGCGTCGGCGACGTTCCGCGGCGTCGGCGCCGCGGAGCTGGCCGGCGCCGCGCGCGCGCCCGATGGTGGTGCGGTGCCGCTCGACACGGTCTACGCCGCCGATGCCGACGATACGGGCGGGCCGTGGCTCCTCTCTGCACGCTGTTGCGCGGCGCTCGCCGCTGGCGAGGCGCAAACAGCCGCCGGGCCGCTGCCGACGCGCGACGCGACGCTAGCTGCGCTCGCTTGTGCGCTGCTACCGCTCGCCGAGCCCGGCTGCGAGGCGCTCGACAGGAAGCGGCGGCCGACGCCGCTGCCCCAGGCCGTCTGCAAGGAGGGCCTCAAGCTCCCGGGCCGCACGGCCACCGACGCGCGGCGTGTACGTTTTCTGCGTCCGTATTAGATTTGTATTTACTATTTTATACACAGGTCCTGGACGCGGCACCACAGCTCGCAAAGCTTGCAACACGTCTTGCGGCCGGCGAGACCGGCGCGGACCTCCGGCGCGCCGCGGGCCTCGTGCTTTTCGACGTCCAGGAGCTCTGGCGTTGTGCACTGCGCGTCGCACGCGCGCGAAGCGTCGCCTTTGAAGCGGCCAACTTCGCCGACGCATCCGCGGTTTCCCCGGCGGACGCGGCCGTCGCGAACGCGGAGCGCGACTTCGGCGCACTGGAAACCGCATTAGCTGGCCCGACGCTGGACCTCGACCGTATTTGGGCTACGCTCCAGCCGCACTATGACGGCAACGCGCTCGCGGAGGCGCTCGACGTCCCCAAGGGCCCGCTCATCGGCGGGCTCATGGCCGCACAACGAGAATGGCAGCTCGCGCAGCCCGCGGGCGACAAGGACGCGTGCCTCGCCTACCTCCGATCGCGCGTCGAGGACCTCCGGCAAACGCACGGCCAGGGGCGGCGCGGCGGGAAAAGCAAGAAGGCGCGGCGTTGATTAGGATCTCCCTATTTGTAAACCAAAACCTCGCGTTAGCCAGGGGAATGAATACACAAACGGGTGGCGCCGGAATGATGAGTGATTGGGCCTTTGACCGAATGGTGAAGTCACAGTGCCGGTCATGGTATTGCCACGGTGGCTGGTGCTAGTGGTGGCTCAGGCTCCGAGCCTTTGGTGAGTCATGGTGCCAGTGATATTCATAATTTTATTATTCGCCAATTACCGGTGCGCCTGGGGGGGGCGTCGCCGGGAGTTGCGAACGCGCCAGTCACGGTCGAATCTTGTCCAGGCGCTGTGATGTGAACCGCCGTGCCCCCCGTCGTCTATTCTTAGTTTATTTATTAGAGATACTTATTTACTCGCTAAGGAGCCTATCAGACTCGGCTCAATCATTACGCTCTTGGCCCTAGCATGTTCAATCAGACCGCTTCTAGTACTTGGTGATGATGTTTGGCAAGATGTTGACTTGCTCGGCACTGTGTAGTTCAGGGTCAGAATTCTGAGGCCGTGGTTCACCGATCGATTCCGTATTAAGTAAAGATAGGATTGTCGCTGTCACTTGGCTCAAGGCCTCGCCATCCTTGAAAATGTTCAGATGGTCACACGAAAGTGGTATCGCTTTCATGCCAGGGCAGCTGAGGGGAAGACTCCATCCGTAGACTCCGTCGGGGTGGTGAACGTCATCTTCACTCATCCCACCTCCAATGAAATAATCGGGGTCAGCTTTCAAGAGTGCACATGGACCAAGATATTACCGATCAGGAGAAAGATCGCGAGCCGCAATCTCCATAGTTTGTTTTATTGCAGTGTCGACGATGCTTGAAAGCTCGCAAGCAAGATGCTCAGATGGGGCGGCTAACAGTACATTTTGTTCGAGCTGGCCAACGCTGGATATATCGTTCAGGGAAACTGCTTGCCTGAAGCTTGTCTGTTTGCGAAGTAGGAACCCGAAGAAAAGGTCGTAATTCTGCGCGCGTTGCATCAAATAGCTCTATCCGATATTGTTCATAGGACAATAAGGGGCTGGGTCAACCATGCATATTTTACATTTCAATGAGCTGGTCTTTGCTTGCAGGGCAATTTCGAATGCCAGCGGGCCACCACCAGAATAACCAACAAGGAGGATAGACGGGTAGCGACCATGTAATTCAACAACAAGACATCTTAAGTAATAGGCGGCGCGTTCCGTGATGTTTTTCATGGAAACGTTGGTAGTCAAGTCAGGTGCTTGAATTGAAATCATTGGCACATCGTCCGGGAGCTGAGACTGAAGCTCCCCCCCCCCCGCCAATCCCGAGACCCCATTAAGAAATACCACGACTGGTTTCGATGGGTCACCTTTGCGTCGCCAGAGAACAACTCCCTGTATTGCTTTTGGATTTACAAAACTATATTTTCTCATGTTATCTCGTGATAGGCTGTAGCCAAGGCGCCAAGTAATAGCACAGGTGTCACCTTGGAGTGGCCCGTCGTATATATTTCCCGTTTCATACTGAGCATCATCCAGAACCAAATCATAAGCAGGGATTGAAAGGCATGAAGTTATCGCACGGACTGCCGATTTGAGGTCCTCGTATCTGATTTCCAAGACGTCTGTCCCTTCAAGTTACAGCATGTATTTCGTGAATTTCACCCACTGTTGCTAGAGTTCTACCATATCACATGACACTTGAGCTTCGCCAAAGCACTCTCTTGGATTTCGAAGCAAGTGCACAATGTCTGGGTCTAGGAAGACATTGTTCACTTCGGTCAAAGACCACTGGGGCACGGCAGAGTAGACTTCTGTTCCGTCGACTAAAATTCGAGGGGCACACCATTCTTGTAGTGCACGATATGTGCTTGCCACCGTACCAAAGAGGTGACATATATCGGGCATTTTGCAATTACGCAGAGTCGTAACGGTGTCAACCAACCCATCTTGGAGGTTGTCTTTCCTGGAAGATAGGACCTCGTTCCGCTCGACTACGGTTTTGAATGGCATGAGACAGAGGTCTTCGCAAACGCACAAATGCTGGTGAGCACCGAGGCACGATATAAGGTGTTTAGAGCCAGAACCTGTGAAACTGAACAAAACAGCAGCTTGTCTCGCAGATTTTGCCGCTGTTGGCACGAACGATTTATCTGTCTTTTCATGCTTCAGTTCCGAGTACAGATCCCAGACATCTTTTGGAGCCTCGTCGTCTGATTTTAGCATAAGCTCATTTTACTCCGTCACCGCTTCGACTAGCGTCATTGTTGGCACCGCCTCCGCGATGAAGCCTGCCATCGAGTCAATTGTTGGATAGTCGAACATCAGCGTCGGCGGCAGCTCTATCTCGAATTGCTGGGCCAATGTGTTTGTAAACTCTGTCCCGGAGATCGAATCCAGGCCGGCCGACAGGAGCGGCGCGTCTGCCGCCACGGTCTTTCCTACAATTCCCAACAGGGTAGTCTGCAAGCTTTTGACAATACCAGCTATGCTCTGTACGGCGTTCCCTGATGTCTGCGAGATCGCTCTTTTCGGGACCTCTCGCGCCACAGTAAGTTGCGCTGGCACTTCCTACTCAGGCTCGGGCCCTTGCGTTGGTGACGAGCCAGAGGTCAGCGACAAAGCATCAGCGATGGACCGCAGCGACGGGTGATCGAAAAGCAGGGTCGGGGAAAGCTCTGTGTTAAGATGAGCGCTTATCTTGTTTGAGAGTTCTGTACCACTAATGGAGTCGAGCCCTGCCTCCATAAGGGGCGCGTCGACGGAGACGTCCTTGTTGATGACCTCGGAAGCGATATGTTTTAGTTCGTTCAGCAAGGTGGCGCTCGACCGGGTACTGCGAGCCACCTTGCGCTTATTTACACTTCGCAACGTAGCTGTGGGGCGAGCTTGCTTCCTCTGAGTGGTTCGCAATGGGGCCTTACGCGTTCCTGCAGTTACCAGAGCTAAGTCCTGGAAGCTCGCAGGGAAGCTGGCTAGACCACCCTGATCGCATACTGAGCGAGGGTAGGCCGGCTTGGTGCTCCACGCTTGAGGCACGCACATCAGTGGGACCTTGCAAGATCTTCCGAGGCGCCGTCGAGGTTGTTTCGGAGCTTTGTCCCAGGCAGCACGTGCGTGGCCACAACGGGTCATCTGATGACCTGAATAATGTGACCTCCTCATACTGATGAATCGTGCGCTTCCAACAAGGTGCTGCCTTGCCACACCCAAATTGATCAAGCCGCTGCCAGAGTAGGGCTGGGGCGCAGGTATGCGATGCGTGCGGGACGAATGAAGACGCTCCGTTGTAGTATCTACCGTCCTTTGGCTAGCAAGAGTCCCGACAAAATTTGCCGCAAATGGTCCTGGTTCCTATTTTGCCCCAATTCTCTGGCTCGCAATCTCAAGCGCGGCGCCGCGTTGCATACATCGCAGCACGCACCGTTCACCGGATCTGTCTGTGGGACTTGGAAGCGAGCACGGTCTCAGGTAAGCGATTGCTGTGAGACTAGCATGGCCAGGACTGGCAGCAAATGCCATCTCGATGAAACTGACGCCTGGAAGTAGAATGCTACCGCCAACGACGTGATGCGAGAGGAAAGCTACTGTCGCGGGTGCAAGAGCGCCCGAGAAAATGACCGCATCGTTGGTCAGTGACTGACGCACCTCTGGTGTAACCGCAAGCCACCTCAGCCGCGAGGGCCCGTCATCAGAACGACGCACAAGGTGCAAACTGTTCCGATAGAGCGAAGCACTCGCGAGGGTACGTTCCTCCGACTTGGTTGTGCCAGATCTCTCGTACCGGAACACCCCGTGGGCGATGATGCCGCTCCACCCAAAGGAACTCGCGCCGCCCGTCTGCGTTTTACCCCTGTACATCGGATTGGTATCGACCGAGGAATGCAGTACCTCGGCGCGCACTTGCCGGACTTGTGGGTTAAGCGTGCGGAGCTGCACGTTGAGCGCCATCTCTCCTAGCTTCAGCAACCCGATCACTTCGATGACGTTCGCCACGCCGGCGGTCGACTCCGTATGGCCGACGTTCCCCTTTATGGCGCAGACGGAGCAGGACTTGTGGCCACTCTTCTTGACGATCGCCGAGATTGAACTGATCTCGATCGGATCACCGAGGCCTGTTCCGGTGCCGTGGGCTTCCATCACGGTTCCTATCGTGGTCGAGGCATCGCTCAGCGCGGCCTTGATCAACAGCTGCTGTGATAGCCCGTTTAGTGCCGTGAACGTCGCGCTCTGTCCGTTGTGCCGGGCCGACGAGCCTAGACACGAGACATGGTTGCCACGTTGCTCAGTCTCGAGCACCACCGCCCCACAGCCTTCGCCACGCAGGTAGCCGTCCGCTCGCGCGTCAAAGGTGTGGCACCGTCCGCGAATCGACGTCATGCCCGTCAGCGCCGGGCCCACGTGAGCGCTGGGGTGCAGTATTGCGTTCGGCCCAATAGTAAGAGCGAGTGGGCACTCGTTATGTTGCATGCTACGCCTCGCGGCATGCATGGCGATCAGGCTCGACGAGCAGGCCGTGTCAAACACCATGCACGGGCCGCGCATCGCGAACACGTACGACAGGCGCGCGCCGGCCGCCGAGTAGGTGATACCAGTCATGTCGTAGGGACCCGGCACGCTTGGCACGAAGTACTGGGCGTCCATGTTCATCATGCCCGTGAAGATGCCCGTGTCCGAGTCTACCAGCGTCGAGCGGTTTTGTCCTTGCCGATGGAGCGCCTCATAGCCCACTTCGAGCAACATGCGCTGCTGCGGCTCCAGCGGCCGCGCCTCGGCCGGAGAGATGCGGAACATGGTGTTGTCGAACATGGAGAAGTCGCTCTGCAGGAACGAGCCGTACCGCACGCGACTGCGCGCGTCGGCCGAGAAGCGGCGCGTGTCGATCGAGTCCATGTTCCAGCGCGTCGCGGGTACGTGCGTAGCGGTCTCATATCTACCGTGCGACAGGCCGTGGAGGTCACCGTTCGTGAAGCTGCATTCTACTGTTGGGAGGCACATCGCGGTAGCCACGACAAAGCATTCCTGTATTGCCTTGTCTTCGGCTTCTAGTTGAGAAGGGATCGACATGGTGTTTTTTTGTGCTGGTTCGATCTCAGGCTCCATCTGCTCGTCAAGGTACTTGCTAAGACTCACAATCGTAGGGTAGTCGAACAGCGCCGTCGGCTCCAGTTCTGTGTCCAGCCTTTGGCCCAGCGTCTGAACAAGGTCCACGGCAGAGAGAGAGTCGAGACCAGCGCCCATGAGTGGCGCGTCGTTCGGGACGACTGTTCCGAGGAGCTCTTCCACAGTTTTCTGGACGACGCCGGACACATCGACGACTTTCATCCGTGGCTTGGTAGAAGCTGCCGGTGATGACGGAGGCACTGTAACATCTACAGGTTCTATCTCTGCGGTGAGGTACTTACTGAGGCTTCCGATAGTTGGGTAATCGAACAATGCAGTCGGCTCTAGCTCGGTGCCGAGCTCTTGGCCGAGCGTCTGCACGAGGTCGACGGCGGAAAGCGAGTCGAGGCCAGCGCCCATGAGCGGTGCGTCGTCCGGAACGTCTGTTCCGAGGAGCGTCTTGACAGTTTTCTCGACAACGCCGGCCACGTCAATTTTCTTTGACCGCGCACGCCCTAGGGCGCTGGTTCGCTTGTTAGTTGCTTTAACATTTTTCTGTACCACAGACCTATTCATTGCCTCGTAGCTTTCCACGACGTGCATTGGTTTGCTTGTGGGTACAAGAGGCGAGCAACGTCCCATTGGCGTCAGACTGCCCACTATTGAGGGAGGTCGTCCATCAAACTTACCTTCCCTTAAACTACGGATGCTTGCATAGTTTCCTTCATGCTGGACAATCACAACAGTGTCGGGACTTTGTGATATACTTAGCAATTGAACGACTATCTCGGAAGATGACTGACATGATTGTGAATGTTCCTCAATCTCCCCGTGTGACCAAGACAATCTAAATAGCTTATTTGTGGCTACATGCTGAGGCACCAAGGACTCCATTTCCTGCGTTTGAGCGACCTCATCTGACCAGGACGTCACGGCCTCGTACACAGGCAGGCCAATTCGCTTCTGGCCTGATCCGAAGTCGCGGTACTCAAACGTACCTGGTTCATCTTTAGATTTACCCTCAGTTCTCAGGAACTCGTGCCTATCCTTGGTTGTCGTGAGCATATTGGTGCTCTTGAGGGATACCGCATCGTGTGTGCTATCTTGCGATCCAATAAAATGCACCACAAATGACCCATCGTTTTCAGAGTGTCCACTCGCAATCTCCAGCGCTCCGGTAGCCCGCCGCCTACATCGCAACACGCACTTCTCGCCTCGACCAGGTTCGGGCAGCACGCACGGCCTCAGGAACGCGACGGCTGTGAGCGCTCGACTGGAGCTGGCGGCGAACGCCATCTCGACGTACCCGACGCCCGGCAATATGATGGTGCCACCGACCACGTGGTGCGAGAAGAGGAGTAGTGCCGAGGGCGACAGCGCCCCCGAGAACACGACAGCCTCGTCCGGTCGAGGCTCCTGCGGCCCAGGCGCTTCGAGCAGCCAGTCCAGCCGTGTCGTCTCGCTAGAGGTGATAAATCGGCGACCACGGTAGAGCGACTTCGAATCATTGCTCATTGATACTATTGTCTTCCGAGCTTCGAACGCGCCGTGGGCGATGGTTCCACTAAATCCAAACGAACTCAGTCGCGAACCGCTGAGAGCTGTGGTACGTGGAGCTACGTCAACAGGCATCTGGAACGGCTTCGACGACACGATCGACGACAGATGCGCGTTCAGCCTACATGGGAATATGATGGACAATATATATGTATAACACAGGAGACATACCCTCGCAGCTGGGCATTAACAGCAACAACAGAAGCCATCAAAGGCCCTACTACCAGCGAGGCCAGGCCCGCAGCCGCTGCCGCCGGCTCCAAGTGGCCCATGTTCGACTTCAGAGACGTGCACTGGATCGCTGCGCTTCCACGTTCTCTCCCTTTGCATAGAGCCCGCGTCGCGGCGCCCACCTAAATGACACAAAAATCTTAATAGAAAAGTAAAGAAGTAAGCACGCACCTCGATGGGATCCCCGAGCGCCGTGCCCGTGCCGTGCGCCTCCAGCGACGGTCCATTCCCAGCTTCTACCGCTTCGATGAGCCGCTGCTGCGACGATCCGTTCGGCGCCGTGAGGCTCGCGCTCGGCCCGTCCTGCTGCACCGCCGTCCCGGACACCGCGACGTCGTCGGCTTCGGTCGAGAAGTAGAACGCCCCGCATCCCTCGCCCCTACAGTACCCGTCGGCGCGTCGGTCGAACGTGTGGCATCGCCCGAGCGCCGAGAGCATACCCGCCGCCGAGAACGCCACAGAAACAGGGACTGTTAGCACCATGACTCCCGCAACCGCCGCCGCGGGGCTCTCGCCGAGCTTCAGGGCCGAGACCGCCTGGTGCGCCGCCACGAGCGACGACGAGCAGGCCGTGTCAGTTGTCTGGCACGGGCCCGTCAGGCCCAGCGTGTACGAGAGGCGGCCCGACAGCACCGACAGAGCGCCGGAGGTCGCCGAGTACACCGAAGGAGCCCTCTTGGCTCCTGGTGGTGATGCAGTCCCGCCACCTGTGCCACTGATGATCCCACCGGCGCCGAGGAAGAATCCAATGGGCGCGTTGGCGAGCTTGGCGCGAGCATTCGAGCTCGAGTCGCTGAGCGCGCCGTAGGTCGTCGCGAGGACCAGCATCGCCATCGGGTCCATGGCCCGCGCTTCCGTCCGGGAGATGCCGAAGAACGCAGCGTCCGCTGCGAATGCGTCAGGTGCTAAGAAAGCGCCGTACGCCGCAGAAGTGCCTTGCAGTTCGACCGCCGCCAGGCGAGAGACTGGCCAGTGGGAGTTGGCCGTCCAAGCTCGAAGCCCGAGCTCCTTCAATGCGGGAGGATCATGGCAGCCTCCCGGTATCGTGCAGCGGATCTGCCGTGAGGCGAGGAAGACTCGGTCCGGGGCGTCCTGTCGGGAGGTCATCACGGCCATCGCCATTGTTGTGGTTGGCATTGCCTCTCGTTCGACGGTCACCGCAGCGACCGACATTTCCGTGGTCTCCGCAATGAAGCTCGCCATCGCATCGATCGTCGGGTGGTCGAACATGAGTGTCTGCGGCAATTCCGTGTCGAAGCGCTCGGCGAGCGCGTTCGTGAGCTCCGTCGCCGCGATTGAATCCAGTCCGACGGACATGAGCGGCGCGTCTGTGGCGACTCTCGTCCCAAGGATATCCGAGAGCGTGCTCGAGATGGTTTCGACGACGGCCGTTGTGCTTTGGGCCTTGGCTCTCTGTGGTCGTTGCATCAAATATCTTGGCTCTTGCGCAGTCTCAAACTTGGGCTCTAAAACTTCCTCCGCCTCGTCATAAACCGACAGCGAGTCGGCGATGGACCGCAACGACGGGTGGTCGAAGAGCAGCGTCGAGGGCAGCTCCGTGTTGAGACGCTCGCTCATTCGCGTAGATAATTCTACGGCTGCGATAGAATCGAGTCCGGCAGACATGAGGGGCGCGTCGGCTGCAATGGTCGCACCCGTGACCTCGGCGGCGATGGCGGTGAGCTCGTCGAGCAGGGCTTTTTGCGAGCGAGCGCTGCTATTGGCCTTTGCCGGCTATGTGGATTTAGGTACGTTTCGTGGTATATCAGACTTGGGTCGAGACTTTCTGTCGGCATCTGGTGACTTCACTAGTCCAACGGGAACCAAGAGCGTTTCTTGGAAGCTCGCACTAGAAAGCGGTTTTGTTGCTTTTTGTTCACGCAAACTCGAGAATAATGCGACATAAGGGGATTGACCATGTTGCAGCAGATACGTAGCTTCACATTTATTCACCTTGCCGTGCAGAGAGTAGTTGAGACTTAAGCTGCACATATTTGACTATAGATTCCCATTATCTCGGGATCTCGAGCAAAGTAACATTTTCTTTGCTTTCTTGGTCCATGATTTCAAACCAAACCCGTGTTTTGGTTTGCCTAATGGCACACGAGTCTAGCTAGAAGCTCGGTGAAGCAAAACAACATCAACACCAGACAGTCCAAAGTTAATCTCAATTGAGCCCTTGTTCACCGTCACTCTCCGTGTAGGCGGCATGTAAGCATTCCGTGTCTGCCCTTCAGGCATGCTCACCACAGTAGGTCCATCGCCACACATGCTATCCTCTTACGGGACTTCCAGGGAGGATGCATGCCGTGATATGTGCGAAGGCGAGGAATCCTAAAAAGAGCTCCCCCTTTCTTGCGTGGTAGGCCCATCACCACACATGCTGTCCTCTTGTGGCACCGCAAGGGAAGAGGCGTGCCGCGACACATGTCCTCGGCCAGCTTTGGGCAGATGGGTCTTTTTAGTGCATGTCTCGGGCTGATTGGAGACGGCAGATACTTGCCAGCAGCTGGACAAAATAGGCTTCAGCTTCAGGAGGGGCGCATCAACACATTGATTCAGGTAGTGTCTTTGCGAGATTTTTGTCTTGGTTGCTTTAAGGTCTGATTCGATGTTTACTGCTGGTGTTGCCATGAAGTGAGTCGTAAACCTGGATTCTATTGATGATCCCACACCCCTCCAGCTTGCAATCTCGAAGGTCCCCCCGCCTTGTCGAGTGCACCGCAACACACATTTCTCATTTGTTCCAGGTTGCGGCAGCTAGCAAGGTCGCATGAATGCGATGCTTGTGAACGCAGAATACCGACCAAGATTGGCGATAAAGGTTATCTCTAAATAGCCGACGCCCGGGAGCAGAATGCTGCTGCCAACGACGTGGTCTGCAAAGAGCGCCTCTGCTGAGGGTGAGAGTACTCCTGTGGAAATTTCGTCTAGGTCAGCAACAATCGACTGCCTAGGTGCTTCTGTTCGCAAGGTCAAGCGCCACTGAAGATCGCTACTACTAGTGGAATTGCGCCGACCACGGTACAGAGACTTGGACACTCCAGTGCTGAGTGAAGCTACTGAGCTCTTAGCTCCAAACGCGCCATGCGCTATGGTCCCGCTGAAGCCAAACGAACTCAGTCGTGACGTCCGCTAGGTGTACGTAGTGCGAGGCAGAACTTCGACGGGCATCTGGAACGACTTCGACGCCACAATTGATGACAAATGCACGTTCAGCCTAAAATAAGGATGTCAGAATTATAATAAACACGAGCTAAGAACGTACCCGCGTAGCTGCGCGTTGATGGCGACAGATCCCGCCAACAGAGGCCCGACGATCAGCGATGACAGGCCCGCAGCCGCCGCGGCCGCCTCCAGGTGGCCCAGGTTCGACTTCAGAGATGTGCACTGTACATGCGTTGATTCGGAGCAAAGAGCGCGAACAGCAGCTCCCACCTACAAACGCCAATTGTTATAGAATTGACTAGAAATAGTAACGTACCTCGATGGGATCACCGAGCGCCGTCCCGGTGCCGTGCGCCTCCAGACTCAACTTTCCGTTTTTGTCGGGATTACACAGCGATACGCTCTCGATCAGCCGCCTCTGAGATGATCCGTTTGGCGCCGTCAGGCTCGCGCTCGGGCCGTCTTACTGTACGGCAGACCCCAGCACATCCACGCCAGCCGATGCTTTTGATCGCACGAGAAACGCGCCGCAGCCTTCGCCGCGACAGTAGCCGTCCGCCCGCTGGTCGAACGTGTGGCACCGTCCACGCGCTGACGTCATGCCGCCGATCGAGGTCGCGTAGTTTGCGGCTTCGCTGAGCACCTTGGTGCCAATCGTCACGCCATCATCGCATTCTTTGCCATTCTGGAGCGTCGTGACACATGCGTGCAGCGCCGCCAGCGTTGACGCGCATGCCGCGTCGATCGAGTAGCACGGTCCGACGAGGCCGAGGCTGAACGAGAGCCGGCCCGCTGTGACAGATAAGGCGCCACCGCTGGCCGAGAACACACTCGCTTCTTTCCTCTCGAGTCCACTTGACTCCACGCCGACGAAGACTCCCACGTTGGAGTTGGTGAATGAACTTCGTGAGGAGGAGAAATCACTACATTGGCGCAGCACACTGTACCCAACACTCAGTACGAGACCCTGCTGTGGGTCCATCGACCGCGCCTCGGCGAGGGAAATGCCAAAGGCCCCGTGGTCGAGAGAGAGCTGATCCGAAGTCATGAACGATCCGTAGGCTGCCGATGGCTTGGCACCGGGCGTCGGAGTCGCCCATCGTGCGAGTGGGACGTCGGTGTTCACGGTGAGAGCACGCATCGTGAGCGAGCGCAACTCTGACGGAGTGGTGATCCCTCCAGCAAGCGTGAAGTCCCAGGCAGCAATGGAGATAGTGCGCTCTTCTCTTGTGCCGATAACCGGCACATGTGCTGCTACCCATTGAGCTTCTCCACTGTGTGATACGTTGGTCACATCGTTGCTACTAAGCTCGTCTTCTATGAAACCGGCGAGCGACTCCAGCGTTGGATGGTCGAACAGGGCGGTGGGCGCAACTTCTATGCCTACGCGCGTAGACAGAGTGCTGGCAAATTCCGCCACTACGAGTGAATCCAGTCCAGCTGACATCAGTGGGGCACTCATATCGATTTCCTCACCCATGATCTCATGAGCTACGATGCGGACAGTCTTGAGAAAATCAATCGTAGTAGAGGGTGTCCGGCTGTTGTTGAGCGATCGCACATCACCAGTATCGGTCAAACTAACCACCATTGCGCTAGCGAGCTCGTCTGATATGAAACCGGCGAGCGACTCCAGCGTTGGATAGTCAAACAGGGCGGTAGGCGCAACTTCTATGCCCACACGCGTGGCAAGCGCGCTGACAAATTCTGTCACTAGAAGTGAGTCCAGACCAGCAGACATCAGCGGGACGCTTATCTCGATTTCCTTACCGATGACCTCGTGGGCTACAATGCGGACAGTCTTGAGAGAATCAATTGTAGCAGAGGGAGGCCGGCTGCTGTGGGATGATCGCTCAGTATCGGTCGAACTAGCCACCGTTGCGAGTAGATTATCGGCGTTGTTTTGCGGTCGTTGCGCAGTTTGACTTTAGGGCTCACCGGGGAACATTTGGAGCGTGGTGTTGTGAAGTACCTCCAGATTCGTGGAACGCAACATGCCAGCAAGCAATTCGCCGCCAATGTCGTCTCGCTTCATCGATTCTGTTATCAGCGGCAGCTCGATGTTTAGCACAGATCCCCCAACTGCCCGTGCCCCCGTCTCAACCACAACAGATGAGATTCTCTGCAACTGATTTGAGAAGTTGTGGCTTCCTAGATTTGATTCGCCCGCCATCAGCACGAGACTGCTTTGAGGGTGATGGAAACCGCCTGGCAGATCAAGTTTCGAGCTCGAGGCCTGCGGAAAGGGCGCATACGTGGGCTCAGGGTAGATCACACTCCGAAGCTCGTTATCAGGGCCATTGCAATTCAGCCCAATAGGAGCCCAGCTACATGTGCGATCCCGTAATTTCCACGCATCTTCCAATTTTGTTGTCTTAGAGCTACTCGTTCCTGAGGATCCCGACAGATCCAAGGTCGTTTGATTCCTGCAAGAGTAGTCTGCTAGTGTTAATCTCTGCTCTTTGCAATACATTGCCGACTTTGCTTCCATGCCATTGCATACTTCTCTATGTGACCTACGGGCTACTGCGACGCGCCTAAAATGCTTCCCCTGAAGTCCTTGCCATAAACTACGCGTACGATAGAGCGAGCTAGCAGGGGAAGTGATCGATTTGTCAAATCCCTCGTGCTTCTGAACGCCAAACGCCCCGTGCGCAATGGTCCCGCTGAAGCCAAACGAACTCAGTCGAGACGCCCGCTAGGTGTACGTAGCGCGAGGCAGAACTTCAACGGGCATCTGGAACGACTTCGACGCCACAATTGATGACAAATGCACGTTCAGCCTAAAATAAGGATGTCAGAATTATAATAAACACGAGCTAAGAACGTACCCGCGTAGCTGCGCGTTGATGGCGACAGATCCCGCCAACAGAGGCCCGACGATCAGCGATGACAGGCCCGCAGCCGCCGCGGCCGCCTCCAGGTGGCCCAGGTTCGACTTCAGAGATGTGCACTGTACATGCGTTGATTCGGAGCAAAGAGCGCGAACAGCAGCTCCCACCTACAAACGCCAATTGTTATAGAATTGACTAGAAATAGTAACGTACCTCGATGGGATCACCGAGCGCCGTCCCGGTGCCGTGCGCCTCCAGACTCAACTTTCCGTTTTTGTCATGATTACACAGCGATACGCTCTCGATCAGCCGCCTCTGAGATGATCCGTTTGGCGCCGTCAGGCTTGCGCTCGGGCCGTCTTACTGTACGGCAGACCCCAGCACATCCACGCCAGCCGATGCTTTTGATCGCACGAGAAACGCGCCGCAGCCTTCGCCGCGACAGTAGCCGTCCGCCCGCTGGTCGAACGTGTGGCACCGTCCACGCGCTGACGTCATGCCGCCGATCGAGGTCGCGTAGTTTGTGGCTTCGCTGAGCACCTTGGTGCCAATCGTCACGCCATCATCGCATTCTTTGCCATTCTATAGCGTCGTGACACACGCGTGGAGTGCCGCCAGGGAGGACGCGCACGCTGCGTCGATCGAGTAGCACGGTCCGACGAGGCCGAGGCTGAACGAGAGCCGGCCCGCTGTGACAGATAAGGCGCCACCGCTGGCCGAGAACACACTCGCTTCTTTCCTCTCGAGTCCACTTGACTCCACACCAACAAATACGCCAATATTAGAGTTTGTGAACGAACTTCGCGAGGACGAGAAATCACTACATTGGCGCAGCACACTGTACCCAACACTCAGCACGAGACCCTGCTGGGGGTCCATCGACCGCGCCTCGGCGAGGGAAATGCCAAAGGCCCCGTGGTCTAAAGAGAGCTGATCCGAAGTCATGAACGATCCGTAGGCTGCCGATGGCTTGGCACCGGGCGTCGGAGTCGCCCATCGCGCAAGAGGGACGTCTGTGTTCACGCTGAGGGCGCGCATCGATAGGGAACGCAGCTCTGAGGAAGTAGTGATCCCTCCGGCAAGCGTGAAGTCCCAAGCGGCAATGGTGATATGCCTCTCATTTCTTGTTTCGAGTACCCGCACCTCAGCCACGGGTTGGTTTTCCTCGCGAGGTAGTGCATCGACCACATCAATGCTAGCGAGCTCGCTCGATAAGAAGCTGGCAAGCGAATCAAGCGTGGGATGGTCGAACAGAGCAGTTTGCTGTATCTCAATACCAAATCGTTTGGACAGTGTGTTCACGAGCTCAACAACTGCAATGGAGTCCAGGCCAGCCGACATAAGCGGCGCATTTATATCAATGTCTGTGCCCATGACTTCAAGCGCCGCAGCACGAACCTCGCCAAGAGCGTTGAGTGGAGTAGAAGGCGCGGGGGCGCTTGTGTGTGACTCGGCTGATGTTGATGCATTGGACACGATCTGTTGCTTTGCAGGGCTTTGAGATCGCTCGGGCAGTTTGACTTGCTGGAAACAGGCGCAGCGCAGCAAACACACGTTAGGTGGCACATGGAATGATGTGGACTTCGCAACACTAGCTAAAGCTATCCCGTCGTCATTGGCCCATCGAAGACCCAATTTAGGGCGTGATCTCGTCAATCCTGGTATTTGGACGCTCCGCACTGATTTTCCTAGGAGACTACCTGACTGGATAGTTTTGTCTGTTCTTCCTTGTATAAATCCAAGACTTGTCGGATCGTTTATCAATACAAGCTGCGAGTGCACACAATTGTTTATCATGTCATCGCAAGGAATCGGACCATGCAGCTCTGGCAGCTGCAACTTAGCGAGTGCTATTCTCAACAGCTCGGCTTCGACTCCTACAGCACGATTGCCTGCTACCGCAAGATAGATTTTGGCATGCGAGACCTTTGACAATTGCTGGCAATGACCACAGAAGACTGTGTCGAGCCCATCGAAGCCGTTGATCGGCTGGGTTCTATACGAGAGAGACTTGGCAACAGCTTCTTGGTCAGCATATTGATATGGTGCTCTACCGCGCAAGTGACAATCTGGCTGCGCAAATTGATATTCTCTGCAATACATTGCCGACTGTGCCTCTGGCGTAAGTTTGCTTGTGTCTCTACGAGACCTATGAAATACTGCAAGCCGCCTGAAATGCTTCACTTAGAGACCTTGGTGACTATGTTGCGCCCGATAGATCGAAATAGCCGAAGAGTTGATTAGCTTGTCCGCTACTGCCAGTCTGTGAATGCCAAACGCTCCGTGCGCAATTGTTCCGCTGAAGCCAAACGAACTCAGTCGGGACGTCCGCTGGGTGTAAGTATCGCGAGGTAGCACTTAGACGGGCATCTCGAATGGTTTAGCTGACACGATCGATGACAGGTGCACATTCAACCTAAAGGTGAGAATATCAGTAATTTAACGAACGAACGAACGAACGAACACGACATAAGAACGTACCCGCGCAGCTGCGCGTTGATGGCGACAGCTCCCGCCAACAGAGGCCCGATGATCAGCGACGATAGACCAGCAGCCGCCGCAGCAGCTTCCAAGTGACCCAAATTCGACTTCAGAGAGGTACATTGTACAGCGGGTCCGTTTGACTCGTTGCAAAGAGCACGAACAGCAGCTCCCACCTACAAATGCAAAGTTTCATTGAAATGAATTGACGACAAATAGTAACATACCTCAATCGGATCGCCGAGCGCTGTCCCGGTGCCGTGCGCTTCCAAACTCGGACTATCATCCTTGTCAGTAATAGCGCGTGATACGCTCTCGATCAGCCGCTTCTGAGACGACCCATTTGGCGCCGTCAAGCTGGCACTGGGGCCGTCCTGTTGCACGTCAGACCCGAGCACCTCCACGCCGATCGAGGCCCGCGATCGCACGAGAAACGCGCCACAGCCCTCACCGCGGCAGTAGCCGTCCGCCCGCTGGTCGAACGTGTGGCACCGTCCGCGAGCTGAGGTCATTCCCGCCACAGAAGTCGCATAGTTTATGGCCTCACTAAGCACCTTGGTGCCGATTCCAAGTCCTTCCTCGCATGAAGTGCCCTCCCTAAGGGTCATTATGCAAGTATGTAGCGCCGCCAGTGAGGAGGCACATGCCACGTCTATCGAGTAACAAGGCCCGACAAGGCCGAGGCTGAATGAGAGCCGTCCAGATGTTACTGAACTTGCTCCGCCACTGGCCGAGAAGACGCTGGCTTCTTTCTATTCAAGTCCACTTGGCTCTACTCCGACGAAGACTCCAATATTGGAGTTGGTGAACGCACTTCGCGAAACTGTCGAATTGCTACCTTTGATCAAGGCACCATACCCGACACTCAGCACGAGACTCTGCTGCGGGTCCATCGACCGCGCCTCCGCGAGGGAAATTCCAAAGGCCCCGTGGTCGAGGCCGAGCTGATCTGGTGACAAAAATGACCCGTATGCCGCAGAATGACCGGCACCAGGTGTCGGCGTTGTCCATCGGTCAACGGGGACGTTTGTGTTTACGGTGAGTGCGCGCATCGTAAGCGAGCGCAACTCAGATGCAGTGGTGATGCCGCCGGCGACCGAGAAATCCCAAGCGGCAATAGTGATAGTGCGCTCTTCTCTCGTTTCTAGGACAGACACCTCAGCCACAGATTGTTTTTCTTCACGGGGTGACGTTGTAGCCTCATCGTTGATAGCGATCTCGCTTGACAGGAAGCCTGCAAGTGAATTGAGCGTGGGATGGTCAAACAGAGCAGTATGCTCTATCTTCAAACACAATCTTTCGGATAGCGTGTTCACAAATTCTATGGCTGCGATTGAGTCTAAGCCGGCTGACATTAACGGGGCGTTTTCGTCAATGTGCGTTCCCATGACTTCGTGCGCTACAGCTTTTACAGTCTCTCTTGCGTGCACTGGAGTTGGACCCGCCTTGCTATTGCCATTGAGCTGCTGTTTATACTCATCTGAGCTCGTACTGGTCAAAATCAGCGCCTGTTGCACAGCTCGCCTCGAAGATGTCTCAGATAAGCTGAGCGGCAGCTGGAGGCTGATACTGCGCAATAAATAAATGGAGGAGTGAGTTTTGAATGATCTGAGACTAATAATATCTTCAATCGTTTCTCTAGCAAGCTTGATACTTTGCAAACGAGACCTGCTTGCCGCCAGCCCCGGAGCTCGCATAGTCGCCATTGGCCCCCCTTGGGAACGAATTCTCTGCACGTTTGTTTCATATTCCTCTGTGCCATTCAATATGATTCTGCTCTGTTGCCAAACAAATTGATGATTTGCAAAAAGCGATCCCTGCAGCTCGGGAGGCACCAAAAACTGGAGCATACTATCCGCATTAGTGCGCTGGGGAGATCTTTCAAATCCAGGTCTTAGGAGCCCTGCGTCGATTCCACTATCCTCGCTTGCTGACGCGATTGCCATGTCAACGGCTGCGTTCAAGCTTGGTACTAACAAGCTCTCCTGACCGCTTTCTTGATCTACCGAAGTAATATACGACCTTGAAGAGTGTGTGAGGTGCTCCAAAAGCTCCGTCTTTCTACAATATACAGCAAGTTGTGACATCTGGCGGCTAACCTCGTTTTTTCTTGAATGTAGCGCTATTGAAATGCGCCTCATAGGCGACAACTGACGTTCTCGGCGCACGAGCAGCTAGCAATTGCGATAGAGCGAAGCATTCGCAAAACAACGCTCCTCAGAACTCACTTCCACAAATCTTTCGTACTGGAACACCCCGTGGGCGATGATGCCGCTCCACCCAAACGAGCTCGCGCCTCCCGTCTGCGTCTTGCCTCTATACGTCGCATTACTATCCACGGATGGATGTAGGACCTCGGCGCGCACCTGTCGGACTTGCGGGTTAAGCGTGCGCAGCTGCACGTTGAGAGCAGTCTCTCCAATCCTCAACAGTCCGATCACTTCGATGACGTTCGCCACGCCGGCGGTCGACTCGGTATGACCCACGTTACCCTTGATACCGCAGACGGAGCACGATTTGTGGCCACTCTTCTTGACAATCGCCGAGATTGCGCTGATCTCGATCGGATCACCCAGTGGAGTTCCGGTCCCGTGGGCTTCCATAACGCTCCCAATAGTCGTCGAAGCATCGCCCAGCGCGGCCTTGATCAGCAGCTGCTGTGATAGCCCGTTTAGTGCGGTAAACGTTGCGCTCTGGCCGTTGTGTCGGGCCGACGAGCCCGGGCAGGATACCTCATAAGCGTCCTCGCCAGTTCGTCGAGCAGAGTCGAGCACAACCGCCCCGCATCCTTCGCCCCGCAGGTAGCCGTCGGCCCTAGAGTCAAAAGTATGACAGCGTCCACGGACGGACGTCATTGCAATTACAGCCCGCCCCACGTGGTCAACAGGGTGTAGCATCGCGTTTGGGGCAATAGCAAGTGCAAGCGGACATTCCTTATGGTACATGCTGCGCCGAGCAACGTGAATGGCGATCAAGCTCGACGAGCAGGCCGTGTCGAAGACCATACACGGGCCGCGCATCGCAAACACGTACGACAGGCGCGCGCCGGCCGCCGAGTACGTGATGCCAGTGAGGTCGTAAGGTCCTGGGACACTTGGTATGAACTGTTGAGCGTCCATTTGCATCATGCCAGTGAAGACGCCCGTGTCTGAGTCCACCAGCGTCGAGCGGTTTTGTCCTTGCCGATGGAGCGCCTCGTAGCCCACTTCGAGCAGCATGCGCTGCTGCGGCTCCAGCGGCCGGGCTTCTGCGGGCGAGATGCGGAACATGGTGTTGTCGAACATTGAAAAGTCGCTCTGCAGGAATGATCCATATCGCGCCCGGCTACGCGCATCGGCCGAGAAGCGGCGCGTGTCGATTGCGTCCATGTTCCAACGCGTCACGGGGACGTGCGTTGCGGTTTCGTACCTGCCGTACGATAGGCCTTCGAGGTCGCCGTTTGTGAAGCTCCGCTCTACGGTTGGGAGGTACAAGGCGGTAGCTGCAAGATAACACTACTGTACCATTTTATCATTACCCGCGTTGTATTCTGAGGAAGCTTGGAGGATATCGCTACTGTCTAATGCTGATGTCATCGAACTAGGTTCCATCTCCGCAGCAAAGTACCTGACAAGACTCCCGATCGTCGGGTGATCGAACAATGCAGTTGGCTCAATTTCTGTGCTCAGGTTTTGGCTCAACGTTGCAACTAATTCGACGGCGGCAATCGAATCGAGACCAGCACCCATAAGTGGTGCGTCGTCTGGGACAATTGTTCCGAGAAGTTCCTCGACAGCTTTCGCGACAACCTCAGCCACATCCACTTGTACCCGCGGTTTCATGGAAGCTTGTGGCAATGACGGTAGGACTACAGCCTGGGCAGGCTCCATTCCAGCAAAGTACTTCGCAAGACTCGCGATTGTCGGATAGTCAAATAATGCAGTCGGCTCGATTTCAATATTCAAATTCTGGCTCAACGTCGAGATGAGCTCGACTGCGGCGATGGAGTCGAGGCCAGCACCCATGAGCGGTGCGTCGTCCGGAACTTCTGTTCCAAGAAGCGTCTTGACCGTCTTCCCGACAATTTCAGCAAAGTCAGCTTTGGGCCTCGCTGAAGCGGAGGCATTGGCCACTTTTCGCGCAGAAATCCCATTTTTTTACGTGTCATGTATTCGCATGTCACTCGTTGCTTTCATCCGACTCACCGGCATAAGGGGTAGATTACGGTCTTTGCTATTGGAGAATCGTGCATTGACTTCGGGCATGCTGCGTTCACGTTGGCCGTGGGGACACCAGGCGCCGTGGCATGCTGGGTGTCGCAGACTGAGGCTGTGACCTCGCAATATTGAGCAGGCAGGCTTGTGACGAGAGCATTCCTGGTAATCTATTTCGCGAAGCGCGAAAAGAGGGTTTCGCGTTTGTGAGATGCTTAGAAATCGCAGGCTATCCAATGCCGCACACTCTAGGGGCGAAGTGGGATGTGACTCTTCGATTGAAGCCTTGAGATCAGTCGGAGAAGTACACGACAGAAATTTTGTGGATCGCGCATTTACATCATGACCCCTCGTGCACCCTGTAGACGGCATGCCGTCCAATGAGTTAGTCCAAGATAACACTAGCTCCTGTTGGGTCTGCACCACAGCTGCTTTATCTGCTTCAAACTTCGAGTCGCTTCTTGGCTGAGCAGCCGCCCTTGGTACTCCGTTGGCTTTTCGTACCTCCTGGAGACTTGCGCAAGCTGCCGTGAGATTCTTGTGTGTTCCAATTGTATGTACCAAGAATGGCCCATCCGGCTTACCAGTCTTCAGTCGCTGGCTCGCGATCTCGAATGCACCGTTGGCCTGTCGTTTGCATCGCAGTGCGCACTACACGGTCTTTCCTGACAAAGGTTCTGGCAAAATGCACGGTCTCAGGAACGCAACAGAAGTGAGGACAGAACATCTACCAATATTGGCGGCGAACGCCACTTCCACGTACCCGACGCCCGGGTAAAGGATGTTTCCCCCGACGACGTGGTCCGAGAAGAGCAGTTCGGCCGACGGTGTGAGTACTCCTGAAAAGACTACCGTGTCATTGACCGGGGAACTGAAATTATTCGGTTTTTCTGCGAGCCAATTAAGCCGCGTTGGCACTTCAGCTTGAGAAGCCATGTGTCGGTTGCGGTAGAGCGACTTGGTCGATAGAGTGAAAGTCTTACACTCCGACCTGCAAGCTTCGAACGCCCCGTGCGCAATAGTTCCGCTGTAACCAAACGAACTCAACCGTCCACAAGCTGGACTCTTTGCCGAGGTCTATAAGTTTGCCAGACCGGTCGAAAAGTAAAACGCGTTCAAATTCAAGGACTTGAGATGCGAGTTGATACTTCGTAAGGTGCAGAGAGGAGCATTCAACGTAGAAGACAGAGGAAATAAGAGCAACGAATTCAAACCGATGACTGCGGCGGCCGCCTCGAGATGCCCAATGTTCCCTTTGATCGACGTGCACGCGACTGTTGAGCCACGAAGTGCGGCACTCGCTGCGCCAATTTCGACCGGGTCTCCGAGCGTTGTGCCAGTGCCGTGAGCTTCGAGAGCTACTACGTCGTGCCCGGCTCCTATGCTTTCAGAAACTCTCTGAAGGAGCATCCGCTGAGAGGCACCATTCGGTGCTGTCAGACTCGCGCTTGGTCCGTCTTGCTTGACAGCACTGCCTCTTAACGATGGGCCGTCTTCAGACGTATCGCACACGAAGCCCACGCAACCCTCGCCGCGGGAATATCCATCCGCACGACCATCGAAGGAATGACATCGTCCAGTTTCGGAGAGCATACCAGCTGTGCTAAATGCGGCGTGCAAGCCTGTTTCGAGAATGCCGCCCGCCACGACGCCCGCGCTGCTGCACTCGTTTTGCCGCAGTGAGGTCGCGGCCAAATGAGTCGCCACTAGCGACGCGGAACATGCTGTATCGACAGGGAGACACGGACCCGTAAAGCCCAGCACGTACGAGATACGGCCAGAAGCTATCGACGTAGAGTTGGCGGTGCCTTCGTAGATGCCGAGCGGTTCCCGCGACGGGGCGGCGGTAGAACTACCGGGCGTCAGCAAGCTCGTGAAGAGTCCAACGAATATGCCCACGTTTTTGTCAGCTTTGTGACGTCCAGCAAACATAGAATGTGATGCCTCGAGCAAGAGCAGTTGTACCGGATTCACATTTCGTAGTTCAGACTTGGACATCTTCCAATCGCCGTGCGGGAGAGTGAGTATATCCTCGGCAAAGTTTCCGTACGTCGCCGAGGCGCGAGTTGTATTCGACACGTCCCATCGATTCAGCGGCACGCGCGAGCCAAAATTCAAGCCGCGTTCTACCGAGAACCGAAAACTGGCCGGTGTCCGCATCGAACCAGGCGCGTGAAATACGATATTTCCCAGAGATACATTCTTTTGAGACTCCATCCGCGTTTTGACCGAAGTAGTCAGAGTATCATATTCCTTGGGCGAATCTGAGAGTAGATCTTCCAACGCGTTTCCTATTTGGCGAATTGTCGGGTGCTCCAGTAGGAACATACTCGATACATTGACCGAGAACGCTCGGCTAAGTCGACTAGCGAGCATTGGCAATTGCGCGGAATTCAGTCCGGTGGTTAGGAGTGGCGCGTCGACCGGCGGCACCTCGGCGAAGAATTCATTCCATATATTTAGGAATGTTTCATCGTGAAGCAGGTCACCATGTGGTTCATTCTTCATTGTCAATATTTTGCGAGGCGCTTGAGAGCTTGGCTCCAATATTTCCCACTACCAGGGAAGCTCCGAAAATTCAACGTACTTCCTGTCATTTATTTGCGAGAGGAATAGACTGGAATTTCGCGCGTGAAATATAAAATTCTTTGCCATACTTTCAATCGCGCACAGTCCGTCTTCGGAGTCAGGATTCTTGGCTTCTTTGTCCACATTAATAATTAACTATAAGGCTTTTACGTCGCCTTGAATGGTCGCGTTGACCACTTGCTGCCGGTTCTGTAGACTGACTTCTATACCATGCAAATTGAAAGGAAGTTGGGCGATCTGATATAAATCATTGTCTCCCAGTGGCCCTGGTCCATCTCCACACAAGCTGTCCTCTTGCGGTACTACTACCGCCAGCGAGGAAGCACGTCGCGACAAGTGCTTAAGGCTCGTGGCAGCACTGTTCACGAGCGCACTGCAGTGAGATGAATGGGGACGTAATGGAGCCGGGCCGCCAGAAGAACCTAGAACTTAGTCGTCTGAGACAATTTGATACAGCATGAGAATAGTCGACGCTATCTTGGCAACTGAATCTGCATGAGTTGTCATGTAATTGTGACCACAGGCAAGGCTGACCACTTTTAATGGAGGGCTGCAAAGGGCGCGACTCCATCCATAAAGCCCATCTGGGTCTTCCGTACTTTCCACAAATCCTCTCTCCTTAAAATACTAAACGCCTTCCCCTGTCTTCAGGAAGGCACATGGGCCTGTGTACTTCTCGCGATTTGCAGAGCAATCTAGTGTTTGGAGTTCGCTTCCAGCCTTCAGCATGAAGTCAACTATCTGCGAAAATTCCCTTGCAAGAGATTCAGGAGCTGCCGAAAAGACGAGTCTTTCAAGATCAGCCGGGCATTTTATGTCCTTAACCTAGACCCCACCTTGAAAGTTTGTCTGTTTGGAAATTGCAACTGCGAAGCAGAAATCGTAGAATCGAGCTCTCATTGTCAACGTGCTTGTTGTGGACTTAGAGGGCAGGCAAAAGGGAGGGGGGTCGGACAAACATAGGGATCCGCAGTTCAGCGGACTATGTTGTAGAGAAATAGCTAGTTCAAAGGCCAAAGGTCCCCCAAAGGACAACCCGAAAATATGAACGATTGGCTTGCGTCCATCTAACAGAGAAATCAGGATGTTGCGGTAATATATGGCACGCTCACGAATGCTACCAATGACAGTGTGTTCAATTAGTTCAGGGGCCTGAAGTGCCACCACCGGCATATCGTCTGGAAAACAAGGCAGATAAGGAGAACCCACTTGCATGCCAAATAGAGCATGGAGAACTACCAGTGTGGGTTTACTAATGTCCCCTTTTTGCAACCAAATGGCGACGTTGCGTATAGCATCTTGTTAGATAAGAATAGTAGGACTAGTCCCATTGTTTTTCAATGAGAGTTGATATCCAAGGCCCCATGCGATCGATTGAGTGTCGCTTTGGAGTGGTCCTTCGTATATTTATTCCCTTGAATGCTTGGAAACATGAATGACCAAGTCAAGATTAGGAATTAGAAGGCGCAACGAAATCTCACGTAGAGCCCCCTCTAGGTCCTCATATCTGATTTCAGACACACCTGTCCTGTCGAGTTGCAGCATGTATTTTGTAAATTTGAGCCACCTTTTCTCGAGCTCTGCGATATCACCTGATTGTTGCTCATCACCCAAGCATCCTCTCGGATCTCGAAGCAAGTGCACGATGTCTGGGTCTAGGAAGACATTTTTCGCTTCGGTCAAAGACCGTTGGGGCACGGCAGAGTAGGCTTCTGTTCCGTCGACTAAAATTCGAGGGGCACACCATTCTTGTAGTGCACGATATGTGCTTGCCACCGTACCAAAGAGGTGACATATATCGGGCATCCTGCAATTACGCAGAGTCGTAACGGTGTCAACCAACCCATCTTGGAGGTTGTCTTTCCTGGAAGATAGGACCTCGTTCCGCTCGACTACGGTTTTGAATGGCATGAGACAGAGGTCTTCGCAAACGCACAAATGCTGGTGAGCACCGAGGCACGATATAAGGTGTTTAGAGCCAGAGCCAGGGAAAGCGAACAAAACAGCAGCTCGTTTCGCAGACTTTGCACCTGACGGTACAAACATTTCAGATTTCTTTTCCCTCAGTTGTGAGTACAGATCCCAGAGACTTTTGGGAGCCTCATTAGTAGTTCTGTCATCTACGGAATATTAGCTAGCTACAAATTTCGCTAACTAGTCAATTGTCGGGTGGTCAAATAGCACGGTCGGTTCCAATTCTGTACCAAGGCGAGCTGTTAGTAAAGTTGTCAGGTCAGTCGCCTGCAGCGAATCAACTCCAACAGACATCAGCGGAGCATTCACATCAACCTCGAAGCCCAGAGTCTCTTGTACTGCAAGTCGCACCACGGCTAATGCACCAGTTCTGGATTCTGCGGCTGGAGTATCATGTTGATTCTGGATGTAAGACCAAAGGGGCCCACTTTGCTACACTGGCTTGATTATTGTTGAAGAATGAAACTTCCGGCGACACAGCGAGGCTGTTTTGTTTGTTTCGTGATGTGCTGCTTGCGCATGCCCGAGTGATGAATCAAACGTCCCGTGCGCAATAGTGCCACTGAACCCAAACGAGCTCAGTCGCGAGCCGTTTGATGCTATCGTGCGTGAGACCACGTCAACGGGCATTTGGAACGGCTTCGACGACACGATCGACGACAGGTGCGCGTTCAGCCTACATGGGAATGTGAGCGAGAACTATGTAAAAAACACAGGAGACGTACCCGCGCAACTGCGCATTCACAGCAACGACCGAGGCCATCAGCGGCCCTACCACCAGCGAGGCCAGGCCTGCGGCTGCGGCCGCCGGCTCCAAGTGGCCCACGTTCGACTTCAGGGACGTGCACTGGATTGCTACACTACCATGGTCTGTCGACTTGCACAACGCTCTCGTCGCGGCTCCCACCTACAATGACACAGAATTTATGAGAGAAAAGTAAAGAAGGAAGCACGCACCTCGATCGGGTCCCCGAGCGCAGTGCCCGTGCCGTGCGCCTCCAGCGATGGTCCGTTTCCAGCCTTTACCGCTTCGATCAGCCGCTGCTGCGACGTGCCGTTCGGCGCCGTGAGGCTCGCGCTCGGCCCGTCCTGCTGCACCGCCGTCCCGGACACCGCGACGTCGTCGGCTTCGGTCGAGAAGTAGAACGCCCCGCAGCCTTCGCCCCTACAGTACCCGTCGGCGCGCCGGTCGAACGTGTGGCACCGACCGAGCGCCGAGAGCATGCCCGCCGCCGAGAACGCCACCGACACCGACACCGTCAGCACGCCGACGCCCGCGACCGCCGCCGCCGGGCTCTCGCCGAGCTTCAGGGCCGAGACCGCCTGGTGCGCGGCAACCAGCGACGACGAGCAGGCCGTGTCGGTCGTCTGGCACGGGCCCGTCAGGCCCAGAGTGTACGAAAGGCGGCCCGACAGCACGGACAGCGCGCCGGAGGTCGCCGAGTACACCGAAGGGGCCTTCGTGGCGTTTCCCGATGCGGTTTCTAAACCCTTACTAAACGTCGACCCGCCAGCTCCAAGGAAGAAGCCGATGGGCGCGTTGGCCAGCTTGGCGCGAGAATTGGAGCTCGAGTCGCTGAGCGCGCCGTAGGTCGTCTCGAGGACCAGCATCGCCATCGGGTCCATGGCCCGCGCCTCCGTCCTGGAAATTCCGAAGAACACAGGATCCGCTTTGAATGCATCAGGTGCTAAGAAAGCGCCGTACGCCGCAGAAGTTCCTTGCAGCTCATTCGCCGCCAGGCGAGAGACGGGCCAGTGAGAGTTGGCCGTCCACGCTCGCAAGCCGAGCTCCTTCAATGCAGTAGGATCATTGCAGCCGCCCGGCAACGTGAAGCTGATCTGTCGTGACGCGAGGAAGACTCGGTCCGGGGCATCCCGTCCAGACGTTGCCACGGCCGTCGCCATTGTTGTCGTTGGCATTTGCTCTCGCTCGACGGTCGCTGCAGCTACCGGCGCTTCAGTGGTCTCCGCGATGAACCCAGCCATCGCATCGATCGTCGGTTGGTCGAACATGAGCGTTTGCGGCAGTTCCGTGTCGAATTTCTCGGCGAGCGCGTTCGTGAACTCCGTCGCCGAGATCGAATCCAGTCCCACGGACATGAGCGGCGCGTCTGTGGCGACAGTCGTCCCAAGAATATCCGAGAGCGTGCTCGAGATGGCCTCGACGATGGCCGGCGTGCTTTGCGCCTTGGCGCTCTGTTGTGGTCGTTGCACCGAATCTCTTGGCTCTTGCGCCGTAGTCTCAAACTCGAGCTCCAATACTCCCTCTGTCTCGTGGTCAACCGACAGAGCGTCGGCGATGGACCGCAGCGACGGGTGATCGAAGAGCAGGGTCGGGGAAAGCTCCGTGTTAAGATGAGCACTTATTTTGTTTGAGAGCTCTGTGGCGCCGATGGAGTCGAGCCCAGCAGACATAAGGGGCGCATCGGCGGAAATAGTTGTGCCGGTGACCTCGGCGGCCATGGCGGTGAGTTCCTCTAGCAGGGCCTTTTGCGAGCGAGCGCCGCCCTTGGCTGCGGCTGGCTCCTTGAGCCTTAGGTTGCTCTGCAGTTTGCTCGGTGTAGGCTGCGGGACTCTTCCAGCAGACAGGGGCTTGGACGGTCCGACCGTAACCAGGAGCATTTCTCGGAAGCTGGAGGCCTCTACTTGTGCAAGTCTAAGACCGCTGGTATTGCAAGAATAAATCCACTTGTTGTTCTGTGCGCGAGACGCAAGCAGGCGCGACCTCGGTAGTATTGTACCGCGCAGAGATTTGCACAATTGCTGTCGCGCTTGACACAAGACGTTGCGGTAGTCAGATACAGCATTTGCCAGACTTGTGCTGCGGCTTAATTGCCTGCTGGCACTGCATAGGAATTTCCTGGCGCCGAACGTCCACGCGGTGCCGCCGATGCGCGATGACAATTCGAGCAATCGAGGCCTGGGGCCAAAAGTAGCTTGCAGCACCGCCGAATTGCGTCGTGAAGACTGTGCTTTGATGGACCATTCCTTACGGGCTTTGAAGCTCCGACCTATTACTGTCTCTGCGTGACCGCCACTCTCAATAATATTATGCGCGAGTGTCCCGGCGAAACACGTGGCAAAGCTAGATGAATCAGTGCCTCTCGCGCTCGCAATCTCCAATGCGCCACTACGCCGCGTACATCGCAGCACGCACTTCTCGCCTCGACCAGGCTCGGGCAGCACGCACGGCCTCAGGAACGCGACGGCTGTGAGCGCTCGACTGGAGCTGGCGGCGAACGCCATCTCGACGTACCCGACGCCCGGCAATATAATCGTGTCACCGACAACGTGATGCGAGAAGAGGGCTTCCGCCGAGGGCGACAGCGCCCCCGAGAACACGACGGCCTCGTCCGGTCGAGGCTCCTGCGGCCCAGGCGCTTCGAGCAGCCAGTCCAGCCGTGTCGTCTCGCTAGAGGTGATAAATCGGCGACCACGGTAGAGCGACTTCGAATCATTGCTCATTGATACTATTGTCTTCCGAGCTTCGAACGCGCCGTGGGCGATGGTTCCACTAAATCCAAACGAGCTCAGTCGCGAACCGCTGAGAGCTGTGGTACGTGGAGCTACGTCAACAGGCATCTGGAACGGCTTCGACGACACGATAGACGACAGGTGCGCGTTCAGCCTACATAAGAATGTGAGCGACAACTATGTAAAAAACACAGGAGACGTACCCGCGCAATTGCGCGTTAACAGCAACAACCGAATCCATCAGCGGCCCCACAACAAGCGACGCCAGGCCCGCTGCCGCTGCCGCCGGCTCCAGGTGGCCCACGTTCGACTTCAGCGACGTGCACTGGATCACTGCGGCACCATGTTCTGTCGACTTGCACAACGCCCGCGTCGCAGCGCCCACCTACAATGACGCAAAAATTATCAGAGAAATAAGAAGTAAGCACATACCTCGATTGGGTCCCCGAGCGCCGTGCCCGTGCCGTGAGCCTCCAGCGATGGTCCACTTCCAGCCTTGACCGCTTCGATGAGCCGCTGCTGCGACGTGCCGTTCGGCGCCGTGAGGCTCGCGCTCGGCCCGTCCTGCTGCACCGCCGTCCCGGACACCGCGACGTCGTCGGCTTCGGTCGAGAAGTAGAACGCCCCGCAGCCTTCGCCCCTACAGTACCCGTCGGCGCGCCGGTCGAACGTGTGGCACCGACCGAGCGCCGAGAGCATGCCCGCCGCCGAGAACGCCACCGACACCGACACCGTCAGCACGCCGACGCCCGCGACCGCCGCCGCCGGGCTCTCGCCGAGCTTCAGGGCCGAGACCGCCTGGTGCGCGGCAACCAGCGACGACGAGCAGGCCGTGTCGGTCGTCTGGCACGGGCCCGTCAGGCCCAGCGTGTACGAAAGGCGGCCCGACAGCACGGACAGCGCGCCGGAGGTCGCCGAGTACACCGAAGGGGCCTTCGTGGCGTTTCCCGATGCGGTTTCTAAACCCTTACTAAACGTCGACCCGCCAGCTCCAAGGAAGAAGCCGATGGGCGCGTTGGCCAGCTTGGCGCGGGGTTGAGCTCGAGTCGCTGAGCGCGCCGTAGGTCGTCTCGAGGACCAGCATCGCCATCGGGTCCATGGCCCGCGCCTCCGTCCTGGAAATTCCGAAGAACACAGGATCCGCTTTGAATGCATCAGGTGCTAAGAAAGCGCCGTACGCCGCAGAAGTTCCTTGCAGCTCATTCGCCGCCAGGCGAGAGACGGGCCAGTGAGAGTTGGCCGTCCACGCTCGCAAGCCGAGCTCCTTCAATGCAGTAGGATCATTGCAGCCGCCCGGCAACGTGAAGCTGATCTGTCGTGACGCGAGGAAGACTCGGTCCGGGGCATCCCGTCCAGACGTTGCCACGGCCGTCGCCATTGTTGTCGTTGGCATTTGCTCTCGCTCGACGGTCGCTGCAGCTACCGGCGCTTCAGTGGTCTCCGCGATGAACCCAGCCATCGCATCGATCGTCGGTTGGTCGAACATGAGCGTTTGCGGCAGTTCCGTGTCGAATTTCTCGGCGAGCGCGTTCGTGAACTCCGTCGCCGAGATCGAATCCAGTCCCACGGACATGAGCGGCGCGTCTGTGGCGACAGTCGTCCCAAGAATATCCGAGAGCGTGCTCGAGATGGCCTCGACGATGGCCGGCGTGCTTTGCGCCTTGGCGCTCTGTTGTGGTCGTTGCACCGAATCTCTTGGCTCTTGCGCCGTAGTCTCAAACTCGAGCTCCAATACTCCCTCTGTCTCGTGGTCAACCGACAGAGCGTCGGCGATGGACCGCAGCGACGGGTGATCGAAGAGCAGGGTCGGGGAAAGCTCCGTGTTAAGATGAGCACTTATTTTGTTTGAGAGCTCTGTGGCGCCGATGGAGTCGAGCCCAGCAGACATAAGGGGCGCATCGGCGGAAATAGTTGTGCCGGTGACCTCGGCGGCCATGGCGGTGAGTTCCTCTAGCAGGGCCTTTTGCGAGCGAGCGCCGCCCTTGGCTGCGGCTGGCTCCTTGAGCCTTAGGTTGCTCTGCAGTTTGCTCGGTGTAGGCTGCGGGACTCTTCCAGCAGACAGGGGCTTGGACGGTCCGACCGTAACCAGGAGCATTTCTCGGAAGCTGGAGGCCTCTACTTGTGCAAGTCTAAGACCGCTGGTATTGCAAGAATAAATCCACTTGTTGTTCTGTGCGCGAGACGCAAGCAGGCGCGACCTCGGTAGTATTGTACCGCGCAGAGATTTGCACAATTGCTGTCGCGCTTGACACAAGACGTTGCGGTAGTCAGATACAGCATTTGCCAGACTTGTGCTGCGGCTTAATTGCCTGCTGGCACTGCATAGGAATTTCCTGGCGCCGAACGTCCACGCGGTGCCGCCGATGCGCGATGACAATTCGAGCAATCGAGGTCTGGGGCCAAAAGTAGCTTGCAGCACCGCCGAATTGCGTCGTGAAGACTGTGCTTTGATGGACCATTCCTTACGGGCTTTGAAGCTCCGACCTATTACTGTCTCTGCGTGACCGCCACTCTCAATAATATTATGCGCGAGTGTCCCGGCGAAACACGTGGCAAAGCTAGATGAATCAGTGCCTCTCGCGCTCGCAATCTCCAATGCGCCACTACGCCGCGTACATCGCAGCACGCACTTCTCGCCTCGACCAGGCTCGGGCAGCACGCACGGCCTCAGGAACGCGACGGCTGTGAGCGCTCGACTGGAGCTGGCGGCGAACGCCATCTCGACGTACCCGACGCCCGGCAATATAATCGTGTCACCGACAACGTGATGCGAGAAGAGGGCTTCCGCCGAGGGCGACAGCGCCCCCGAGAACACGACGGCCTCGTCCGGTCGAGGCTCCTGCGGCCCAGGCGCTTCGAGCAGCCAGTCCAGCCGTGTCGTCTCGCTAGAGGTGATAAATCGGCGACCACGGTAGAGCGACTTCGAATCATTGCTCATTGATACTATTGTCTTCCGAGCTTCGAACGCGCCGTGGGCGATGGTTCCACTAAATCCAAACGAGCTCAGTCGCGAACCGCTGAGAGCTGTGGTACGTGGAGCTACGTCAACAGGCATCTGGAACGGCTTCGACGACACGATCGACGACAGGTGCGCGTTCAGCCTACATGGGAATGTGAGCGACAACTATGTAAAAAACACAGGAGACGTACCCGCGCAATTGCGCGTTAACAGCAACAACCGAATCCATCAGCGGCCCCACAACAAGCGACGCCAGGCCCGCTGCCGCTGCCGCCGGCTCCAGGTGGCCCACGTTCGACTTCAGCGACGTGCACTGGATCACTGCGGCACCATGTTCTGTCGACTTGCACAACGCCCGCGTCGCAGCGCCCACCTACAATGACGCAAAAATTATCAGAGAAATAAGAAGTAAGCACATACCTCGATTGGGTCCCCGAGCGCCGTGCCCGTGCCGTGAGCCTCCAGCGATGGTCCACTTCCAGCCTTGACCGCTTCGATGAGCCGCTGCTGCGACGTGCCGTTCGGCGCCGTGAGGCTCGCGCTCGGCCCGTCCTGCTGCACCGCCGTCCCGGACACCGCGACGTCGTCGGCTTCGGTCGAGAAGTAGAACGCCCCGCAGCCTTCGCCCCTACAGTACCCGTCGGCGCGCCGGTCGAACGTGTGGCACCGACCGAGCGCCGAGAGCATGCCCGCCGCCGAGAACGCCACCGACACCGACACCGTCAGCACGCCGACGCCCGCGACCGCCGCCGCCGGGCTCTCGCCGAGCTTCAGGGCCGAGACCGCCTGGTGCGCGGCAACCAGCGACGACGAGCAGGCCGTGTCGGTCGTCTGGCACGGGCCCGTCAGGCCCAGCGTGTACGAAAGGCGGCCCGACAGCACGGACAGCGCGCCGGAGGTCGCCGAGTACACCGAAGGGGCCTTCGTGGCGTTTCCCGATGCGGTTTCTAAACCCTTACTAAACGTCGACCCGCCAGCTCCAAGGAAGAAGCCGATGGGCGCGTTGGCCAGCTTGGCGCGAGAATTGGAGCTCGAGTCGCTGAGCGCGCCGTAGGTCGTCTCGAGGACCAGCATCGCCATCGGGTCCATGGCCCGCGCCTCCGTCCTGGAAATTCCGAAGAACACAGGATCCGCTTTGAATGCATCAGGTGCTAAGAAAGCGCCGTACGCCGCAGAAGTTCCTTGCAGCTCATTCGCCGCCAGGCGAGAGACGGGCCAGTGAGAGTTGGCCGTCCACGCTCGCAAGCCGAGCTCCTTCAATGCAGTAGGATCATTGCAGCCGCCCGGCAACGTGAAGCTGATCTGTCGTGACGCGAGGAAGACTCGGTCCGGGCATCCCGTCCAGACGTTGCCACGGCCGTCGCCATTGTTGTCGTTGGCATTTGCTCTCGCTCGACGGTCGCTGCAGCTACCGGCGCTTCAGTGGTCTCCGCGATGAACCCAGCCATCGCATCGATCGTCGGTTGGTCGAACATGAGCGTTTGCGGCAGTTCCGTGTCGAATTTCTCGGCGAGCGCGTTCGTGAACTCCGTCGCCGAGATCGAATCCAGTCCCACGGACATGAGCGGCGCGTCTGTGGCGACAGTCGTCCCAAGAATATCCGAGAGCGTGCTCGAGATGGCCTCGACGATGGCCGGCGTGCTTTGCGCCTTGGCGCTCTGTTGTGGTCGTTGCACCGAATCTCTTGGCTCTTGCGCCGTAGTCTCAAACTCGAGCTCCAATACTCCCTCTGTCTCGTGGTCAACCGACAGAGCGTCGGCGATGGACCGCAGCGACGGGTGATCGAAGAGCAGGGTCGGGGAAAGCTCCGTGTTAAGATGAGCACTTATTTTGTTTGAGAGCTCTGTGGCGCCGATGGAGTCGAGCCCAGCAGACATAAGGGGCGCATCGGCGGAAATAGTTGTGCCGGTGACCTCGGCGGCCATGGCGGTGAGTTCCTCTAGCAGGGCCTTTTGCGAGCGAGCGCCGCCCTTGGCTGCGGCTGGCTCCTTGAGCCTTAGGTTGCTCTGCAGTTTGCTCGGTGTAGGCTGCGGGACTCTTCCAGCAGACAGGGGCTTGGACGGTCCGACCGTAACCAGGAGCATTTCTCGGAAGCTGGAGGCCTCTACTTGTGCAAGTCTAAGACCGCTGGTATTGCAAGAATAAATCCACTTGTTGTTCTGTGCGCGAGACGCAAGCAGGCGCGACCTCGGTAGTATTGTACCGCGCAGAGATTTGCACAATTGCTGTCGCGCTTGACACAAGACGTTGCGGTAGTCAGATACATTTGCCAGACTTGTGCTGCGGCTTAATTGCCTGCTGGCACTGCATAGGAATTTCCTGGCGCCGAACGTCCACGCGGTGCCGCCCGATCGCGATGACAATTCGAGCAATAGGGTCTGGGGCCAAAAGTAGCTTGCAGCACCGCCGAATTGCGTCGTGAAGACTGTGCTTTGATGGACCATTCCTTACGGGCTTTGAAGCTCCGACCTATTACTGTCTCTGCGTGACCGCCACTCTCAATAATATTATGCGCGAGTGTCCCGGCGGTCGGGCAAAGCTAGATGAATCAGTGCCTCTCGCGCTCGCAATCTCCAATGCGCCACTACGCCGCGTACATCGCAGCACGCACTTCTCGCCTCGACCAGGCTCGGGCAGCACGCACGGCCTCAGGAACGCGCGGCGTGAGCGCTCGACTGGAGCTGGCGGCGAACGCCATCTCGACGTACCCGACGCCCGGCAATATAATCGTGTCACCGACAACGTGATGCGAGAAGAGGGCTTCCGCCGAGGGCGACAGCGCCCCGAACACGACGGGCCTCGTCCGGTCGAGGCTCCTGCGGCCCAGGCGCTTCGAGCAGCCAGTCCAGCCGTGTCGTCTCGCTAGAGGTGATAAATCGGCGACCACGGTAGAGCGACTTCGAATCATTGCTCATTGATACGCGTTGTCTTCCGAGCTTGAACGCGCCGTGGGCGATGGTTCCACTAAATCCAAACGAGCTCAGTCGCGAACCGCTGAGAGCTGTGGTACGTGGAGCTACGTCAACAGGCATCTGGAACGGCTTCGACGACACGATAGACGACAGGTGCGCGTTCAGCCTACATAAGAATGTGAGCGACAACTATGTAAAAAACACAGGAGACGTACCCGCGCAATTGCGCGTTAACAGCAACAACCGAATCCATCAGCGGCCCCACAACAAGCGACGCCAGGCCCGCTGCCGCTGCCGCCGGCTCCAGGTGGCCCACGTTCGACTTCAGCGACGTGCACTGGATCACTGCGGCACCATGTTCTGTCGACTTGCACAACGCCCGCGTCGCAGCGCCCACCTACAATGACGCAAAAATTATCAGAGAAATAAGAAGTAAGCACATACCTCGATTGGGTCCCCGAGCGCCGTGCCCGTGCCGTGAGCCTCCAGCGATGGTCCACTTCCAGCCTTGACCGCTTCGATGAGCCGCTGCTGCGACGTGCCGTTCGGCGCCGTGAGGCTCGCGCTCGGCCCGTCCTGCTGCACCGCCGTCCCGGACACCGCGACGTCGTCGGCTTCGGTCGAGAAGTAGAACGCCCCGCAGCCTTCGCCCCTACAGTACCCGTCGGCGCGCCGGTCGAACGTGTGGCAGCGCCCGAGCGCCGAGAGCATGCCCGCTGCCGAGAACGCCACCGACACCGACACTGTCAGCACGCCGACGCCCGCGACCGCCGCCGCCGGGCTCTCGCCGAGCTTCAGGGCCGAGACCGCCTGGTGCGCGGCAACCAGCGACGACGAGCAGGCCGTGTCGGTCGTCTGGCACGGGCCCGTCAGGCCCAGCGTGTACGAGAGGCGACCGGACAGCACGGACAGCGCGCCGGAGGTCCCTGAATACACCGACGTTGCCTTCGGAATTTTTGACGCATTTTCTTGACCTCCTGTCCATCCACACGACCCAAGGAAAAAACCAATAGGCTTGTTTGCGAGGTCGGCGCGAGAGGTAGAGCTGAGTGCACCGTAGGTAGTCTCGAGCACCAGCATCGCCATCGGATCCATAGCCCGAGCCTCCGTCCTGGAAATTCCGAAGAACGCCGCGTCCGACGCAAACGCATCGGGTGCCAGGAAGGACCCGTAGGCAGCTGTCGACGTTGGACTTTCAATTCCCGCTAAACGTGAGATAGGCCAGTGAGAGTTAGTTGACCACGCTCGAAGACCAAGTTCTCTGAGCCCAAGTGCATCACAACATGCGCCTGGTAACGTAAAGCGCATTCGATGCGATGAAAGGAATACTTGATCTTGCGGAGCAGCCGGATGAGCCACTATTGCGCCTGCTATGGCTGGAGTCAAAGTTCCTTCTCGCGTTTCGACCACGGACTCTTTTGATATTTCCATCGGTAATAATGTGGTAATATGAGTCGCCACAGATCCGATTGTCGGATGGTCGAACAGGAGCGTCGGCGGCAATTCTATCTCAAAACGCTTAGATAGCACGTTCACCAAATCGGTCACTGCGATTGAATCTAGCCCTGCCGACATGAGGGGCGTATCTACCGTGACTTTGGTCCCTAAAACCTCCAATACCGCCGCTGAGGTAGTGTCAATGACGGCAGACGCATTTTGCATGGTTCTGTGGGATACCATAGATGCTTCCCTCCTCTGCTAAACGGCGACTGGCTCGATATTTTCCATTACAGGCTACGGCTCGCCATCATTTATTAGCAGAGCGTCAGCAATCGACCGCAGCGTCGGGTGGTCAAAGACAAGAGTCTAAGGAAGCTCCTGGTCTAGATGTTCACTCACTCGCGTCGAAAAATCCGTTACAGCAATAGAGTCGAGGCCAACAGACATCAAGGGAGAGTCAATAGGGACTTTTGTGCCGATGATATCTGAGGCAATGCGGGTCAGCTCTTGGAGTAGGCTGTCACGCGAACGAGTACGCTAGATTTGGACAGCTGATTTGTGATCGGAAATAGTTCGTACTATGTTCTATTTGCGTTGGAAATCATTGTTGATGGAACGCGGCTCCAAAGGTCTTGACCGTCCCGGCCTCGTGAGAGCAATATCTTGGAAGCACGTGGACCTCCGTGTCAAACCGTTTCTGCAAATCGGGGGTGGATTAGCCGGGTTCGTGCTCCACTATGGTAAAGCGTGTGACTGCAGAGGATTGCAAAGTCGTAATGCCCTGCGTTTGTCCAAGTATGCTTGAGACTTGCTGTTCTGCTGCGTTGAACGAGATCCAGAATCGGTTAGTCCCAAACGCATCAAGAGCTTCTCAACGATAGCTCTCCCACCGCGACACCAATTAGACCCCTTGACCATTGATGCGCACATAGAAACAACCTGCTTCGAGCCTATCAAGTTGGTGATCTCAGAGAGCTTTGAGCATTGAAGCCAGCAGGGCAGTAACGAGCGCACTGCATCTGATAGCGAGGCGCATGTAGAAGGAGATGCATCAATATCCTGGTTGGCCAAAGCAACGTATTCCCTCTTCATGAAGGGATTTGCAGCTGCTTTGACCCCAGAGGCATCATCACAGCTCGCGAGAGTTCCAACAAAGCATGAGGCAAAACTGGTTTCTGTGGATGAGCCCGTGACCCGACTAGCTATCTCAATACCTCCCGTCTCCCGTCGCGTACATCGCAACTCGCACCGCTTCGAGGTTCGTAAGCGAGGGTTTGGCAGCATGCATGGCCTCACAAATGCGGCAGCAGTCAGAACCGAAGCTCGATCGAGATTAGCGGCGAACGCCACTTCCACGTACCCGACGCCCGGGAAAAGGATGTTTCCCCCGACGACGTGGTCCGAGAAGAGCAGTTCGGCCGACGGTGTGAGTACTCCTGAAAAGACTACCGTGTCATTGACCGGGGAACTGAAATTATTCGGTTTTTCTGCGAGCCAAGTCAGCCGCGTTGGCACTTCAGCTCGCGGAGCGACAATGTGCCTGCTACGGTAGAGCGACTTGGCCGATCGAATAAATGTCCTACACTCCGACCTGCAAGTTTCGAGTGCCCCGTGCGCAATAGTTCCGCTATAACCAAACGAGCTCAATCGCCCACAACTTGCCGGACTCTTTGCCGAGGTCTATAAGTTTGCCAGTCCTGTCAAGAAGTAAAACGCGTTCAAGTTCAGAGACTTGAGATGCGAATTGATACTTCGCAAGGTGCAGAGAGGAGCATTCAACATAGAAGACAGAGGAAATAGGAGCAACGAATTCAAACCGATGACTGCGGCGGCCGCCTCGAGATGCCCAATGTTCCCTTTGATCGACGTGCACGCGACTGTTGAGCCACGAAGTGCGGCACTCGCTGCGCCAATTTCGACCGGGTCTCCGAGCGTTGTGCCAGTGCCGTGAGCTTCGAGAGCTACTACGTCGTGCCCGGCTCCTATGCTTTCAGAAACTCTCTGAAGGAGCATCCGCTGAGAGGCACCATTCGGTGCTGTCAGACTCGCGCTTGGTCCGTCTTGCTTGACAGCACTGCCTCTTAACGATGGGCCGTCTTCAGACGTATCGCACACGAAGCCCACGCAACCCTCGCCGCGGGAATATCCATCCGCACGACCATCGAAGGAATGACATCGTCCAGTTTCGGAGAGCATACCAGCTGTGCTAAATGCGGCGTGCAAGCCTGTTTCGAGAATGCCGCCCGCCACGACGCCCGCGCTGCTGCACTCGTTTTGCCGCAGTGAGGTCGCGGCCAAATGAGTCGCCACTAGCGACGCGGAACATGCTGTATCGACAGGGAGACACGGACCCGTAAAGCCCAGCACGTACGAGATACGGCCAGAAGCTATCGACGTAGAGTTGGCGGTGCCTTCGTAGATGCCGAGCGGTTCCCGCGACGGGGCGGCGGTAGAACTACCGGGCGTCAGCAAGCTCGTGAAGAGTCCAACGAATATGCCCACGTTTTTGTCAGCTTTGTGACGTCCAGCAAACATAGAATGTGATGCCTCGAGCAAGAGCAGTTGTACCGGATTCACATTTCGTAGTTCAGACTTGGACATCTTCCAATCGCCGTGCGGGAGAGTGAGTATATCCTCGGCAAAGTTTCCGTACGTCGCCGAGGCGCGAGTTGTATTCGACACGTCCCATCGATTCAGCGGCACGCGCGAGCCAAAATTCAAGCCGCGTTCTACCGAGAACCGAAAACTGGCCGGTGTCCGCATCGAACCAGGCGCGTGAAATACGATATTTCCCAGAGATACATTCTTTTGAGACTCTGTCTGCGCAACAGAGACATGCGGAGCATCAGATGTCTTGGGCGAATCTGAGAGTAGATCTTCCAACGCGTTCGCTATTTGGCGAATCGTCGGGTGCTCCAGTAGGAACATACTCGATACATTGACCGAAAAAGTTTGACTAAGACGGACTGCAAGCATTGGCAGTTGCGCGGAATTGAGTCCGGTGGTTAGCAACGGAGCGTCGACCGGCGGCACGTCGGCGAAGAATTCAGTCCATATATTTAGGAATATTTCGTCGTGAAGCAGGTCACCATTTGTTTCGTTCTTGATTGTCAATCCTTTGCGAGGTGCTTGAGAGCTTGGCTCCAATATTTCCCACGACCAGGGAAGCTCCTAAAATTCAACGTTATTCCTGTCATTTATTTGCGACAGGCATAGACTGGAATTTCGCGCGTGAAATATAAAATTCTTTGCCATACTTTCAATCGCGCACAGTCCGTCTTCGGAGTCAGGATTCTTGGCTTCTTTGTCCACATTAATAATTAACTATAAGGCTTTTACGTCGCCTTCAAAGGGCGCCGAAACTACTTGACGTCCCGGCGGGAACTGGCCGAGCGGCCAGCGTAAGGGCAACTACAGCGGCGCCGTCGATTCGATGGGCGCGTCCGGACAGCGCGCGACGGGCGCGTCGCTGTCCTGTGCGGCCTCTGGCTCCATCGTAGGCCAGGGGGGCAGTGCCGGTTTTTTCTTTGTGTTTTGCGCTCTTTTGGAAGTGGCCTTCAAACCAAGATGGTTGTTATAATGTTATATCGAAGGGGGGGTAAAATAGTAGTCTTTTGCGACTTGCATTTAGACACAACCCTTGTCCTTGAGTTGCGAAGAGTATGAAATTAAATATAGTTATATTTAGAAAAAACTTGATTAGATATATTGGGCTGGGCCGAATTCAAGCTATCTGACGTAAAAGCGGCTGCGGCCACCTTAACTTGCTGATTAAGGTTGCAGCCTAGCTATCCCGTCCGTCACCGCGGCGACACATTCTAAATTTAGTTGTCAGTCACAAACTTACCCTTCCCACAAAAAAACACAACCCTATCGCGGCGCGTCGGACGACCGCCGCAAACCAAACACGTCCCGCTCGACCTCCTTCTCGATGTTCACGACGTCCATGACGATCTCCTTCTCGAGGGCCCGCGCGTCGGCCGCGGCTGTCGCCTCGAAGTCGGCGACGAGCTTTTCCAGCTTTTTCGCGGCCTTGGCCGCGACCTTGACGTCGCCCTGGATGGTCGAGGCCGCCGCGCGGCGGACCTGGGTCACCTCCTCCTGGAGGGCGCGCTCGCCCGTGAGTAGGACCTTTGATGCATATTTCTCGCGGAGGAGGAGCCGCTCCGAGGCCGACTCGGCGCTGCAGCTGTTGTCCGGCGCCTTCAGGTCCGCGAATTTAAACCCAAGACCCGCCTTGTCGCAGGCCGCCGTCGCCCGCTCCTTCACGGCGGCCGAGTAGTTCGGTGTCCGCGTGTAGAGCACCGCGCCGCCGTAGCCGTCCCACGCGTCGTTCCGGCCGCGGTAGTAGACGAGCACAAAGGCGTCCGAGTCGTCGTTTCCCTTGCCAGCCTCGTAATCGAGAATGTACCAGTCGTCCTGATAGTGGAGGTACTCGTTGTCGTGGTTGTAGAGGATCCCCGGCCTCTTTTCGTCCTCGACAAAGCGCTGTATCGTGTCGCGCGTAAAGAACTCGCCATCGGGCTCCGTGATGCGCCAGTTGAGCTGGCCGTAGAGCGTCTTCGGCGTCGGCGCGTTGAAGAAGTGGACCTGGCAGTCGAACGTATCGAACGCGTCGTTGAGGCCCGCCGAGATGTACCACCGCCCGTTGAAGACTCGCGTGTCGAATTTTTTCACGATCGCCTCCGGCGACGGCTCGGGGTACGCGCCGTCGTCCTGGCGCTGCGGCACGCACTTCTTCTGCGACACCGCGCACGCGTTGAAGTCGCCGACGACCTCGTTCTCGAAGAGGTCGCCGCAGCGGATCTGGCACTCGGACTCGTCCTTGCGCCCCGTGCAGCTGTTGATGCACACCAGGTTCGCGGCGCACTTGGGCGACGTCAGGCATCGCGCCAGCTTGCCCGTGCACTGCGAGACGACGCACCTCCCGACGGCGGCGGGATCGCTCATCGCCGCCGACGCGGGAAACGGCGCCGCCGCCGCGATGGCGAGGCTAGCGACAACTGCAGCGCACTGGCGCGGCAGTTTTGGAGGCGTGATCCGCTTTGGTTTTGAGTTGAGGGCTGTTGTTGAGGCCAGCGCCAGCACGGCGAGCATTGCTCGCCTAAACTTGTGCATGGTGCTTGGTTTGCGTTCTGTTGCAATGCTTTGGCTGTCGGTGATGTCTTTTTGCACCGGTAGCGTAAAACTGCTGGCGGAGCACGTGAGCTGTGCTGGCAGGCTGAAAGTTGGTATGGTATATCGACCATGCGAATATGTAACGGCCGCCTCCTTGTTTAATCGATATGCGGGGTAGCAATTACTTTCAATAACCCTGAGCTAGGGCAGTAGTAATGTGCCCCGGCCCCTGCGTTTGGAAGGCCAACTTGAACTTGAAAGGTAAGTAACCATTATGACAGATACCTATAAAAAAGCCAACTAGTATCCCAGTTGACTCAACAGCCCTTCATAAGTATAGATGTACGCTCGTGTGTACCGTAGGTACCGAAGTTACTGTACCGTACCGCAGTAGGTACCAGTACCCAAGGTAGGACTTGTATCAGCAAGGGCACAATGGAGTCCCCTCGAGGAACCAAGCCCGGCTCGGAAGTAGACTTGTCGAGTTTCAACACGCGCGACGCCGCGCAGCGCCACTGCGCCACGCCCGCGGGTTTCCGCGTTCCCCGCACCGGCCGCACCATTGCAGGCACCACCAAACATGGTCCCGCGCTCCAAAAAGATGGGGACGGCCTCGCAAGTCGCAACGGAATTCGTCGCGCCGACCCCGAGCTCCGTCAATAACACCTCCAAGACCACGCGGAAGGAGACCACGTCGCCCGAAACTACTTATTGCCAGTACCTGGGCAGTCTCGTCACCAAGCTCGATCGCGTGGCGCGCATTCCGAAACTGCTCATCGATAGCGCCAAATCAATGAGCGATGTAATGCTCAAGCCTGGGCCTCGTCAAAAAGTCTTAATAATTAGAACAATAGCTGGCTTCATCTCAATGGTTCCACACCTCCTATGGATGAGTTTTTTGTTCGCTAGCGTCATGTACTTTGGTGTGCCATGGTTGTGGTTGCTGTACTTCGTTGTAGCACATCACTCGATAGTATTTCTAAACATGCTTATGTTTCCGCTGCGTCGCTCCAAGCAGCACGCAGAAAAAATTTTGATTGTGGGTGGCGGACTCTCTGGCATCAGATGTGCGGTGGAATTACTAGCGAATGGATACACGCCAACAATCGTAGAAAAGACATCTGCCTACGGCGGCACGTGGAATGCAAACGATTATCCTGGGTGTAAGAGTGACGTTGCAACATCATCTTACTTGTTTTCAAAATGGTTTGTTCATTTTCGCTTGCGTTGTTGCGCACACAGCTACAGCCTGCGTAGCACTTCAAGATGGTACGCTCAGGCATTTGCCAGATATGCCGGTCTGGAAAGGCTAACGCGCTTCAACTGCGAAGTACAAAAACTTACTCAGCAGACAGCCGGAGGGTACGACGTTTTGTTGAAAAGTACATCGTCTGCTTGTGGTTATCATGAACATTACGACTATGTTATATTTGCGATGGGACCACTCACCATCCCGAAGATGATTAGCTCCGAATCCCAGCACGTTATTCACGCATCGGCGATGACCGAGGCCCATAGCCGATCTCTGAAAGGTAAAAATGTGTTTATCGTTGGAGCGGCATGTTCGGGGACACAGATGGTTGGTCCCCTCATGAAACAATTTGGCGCCAGATCTGTGACGTTGTGTGCACCCCGGGGCCAGTGGTTTGGGCCCGGTACGTCCATAGAGAACCCCGTCAAGCCTCTTTTGGACTTTCTCATGCAATTTTTGCCCCTGGGCTCGATCATACTACGCGCATGGAGCAAAAAAAATGGCGCAAATTTTGCTGAGAGTATGCAAACTGGCACTGGCCTTGAAATTCTGTCAAAATACACGAGAGCTTGCTACCAAATGACAGGTCTCGATTCATTGATTCCGACACACTCCGTGCAAGGCACCCGTACAATAATGGATTATGACTTCTTCAACACGGTATATCATAATCCAGCATCTGTGAAATATGTAAAAGGTCGAGTTGCGAGCGTGAAGGAAGGCAAAAATGGTGCTACCGTAGAAATCAATGGCCAGTCACATTTCTATGATTTTGTCATTATGGCTACAGGGTTTGACACAGACCTTTCTCCCCGCTTCGCCTCCATGGGTCTGGAGGTCGATATTTACAAGAACTTCTTTGGTATTTGCATTAAGAATTTGCCGGATTGTTTTTTCCTAGTCGGACCGAACACCGGCAGCAAAGCACAATCAATCACGCTCGCCATGGAAATACAATCGCGTGCCATAGTAAAGTTACTGAACAAGCAGGCCTCTATTCCGGACGCTTGGTACGACGAATTCTCAAAGTGGATTGTAGAAAAGAGTCCAATAGAATTGACTGCATGCAAATCATGGTACACAAATGGCACCGGTCGGAACTTTTCTTTATTTCCAGGAAGTTACCAAGAGTACGAACAGAGACTGGATGCGTACCTTTCTCGTATCTAGCGACAGGAGCTTTTTCTCGAATACGCATGCGGCAGAGCGTAAAGTCCAAGTTCCCATCATTACTCGAAGTATCTTACAAACAGCTAACATATGAGTAGTAGTGAGTGAGTAAATCAAAAAGCGGTGACAATCACTCAATCGACCATGCATGTACTGGGCCACATCGTAGCTACATCTGTAGAATTGTCAACACAGAGCATCACGCTGTAATCCGGGCCAGCTCCGAGCAGGCTAATCATGAGTGCGCCACCATTGCTAAAAATAAGTTATGCTCGGTGACGTCCGGCGGCAGCGGCCCAGCCTTGCGACTGGTGTTTTTCCGAAGCTTGCTACTAGGTAATCGTAGGTAATCATACTAAGAAGACTTTGCCCACGTTGCTGGTGAACTGTTATGCACCAGAGCAGCTGCATGCGGGCGTCCAGGTGGGCCCGTGGCTGTTCCTGTTCTGCGATGCAGGGCCCGGGGGACTCGGAAATAGAGTGTGTAATTCCGGTCTTCCCCGGCAGCAGCGTCACGGTAGTGTAGTCGCCTAACGAAATAGTTTCTCCCATGTTTGATGGGGTTTGCGACCGGAAATACGTCCGTCAATAAAAGTGACCCAGGATGATCATGATAATAGTTAGGACTCGGAGTGAGAGGCGGTGGCCAGATACTGCTACTGAGATACGGGGTTGGCGTCCGTTGTGGCAGTGGTAACGGCCTCTTCAAGTTTCCACTCACTGGCATAAATCTCCCAACTTTTATCTTAGCTTCACTAGTATCCTAGTTACTTGAATACCCGGATAAAATAGGTCTAGTGAATGCTATGATATGGGCCACGTATCCTGGGGCTGCTCAGCCATCAAAGAAGTTCAACAACCTAATAGCAACACAACCAACCCCCACTCCAAAAATTCTTGCTCCTTTGTCCTGCGCTCTCACAATCGGAGCGCTATGGGACACGAGCAAGTATAAGAAAGTATCTTGCAGCGAGCCTGTGGCCATATCATAGCAGGTACCTACGGTACCGTAGGTACCGTAGGTATCCAACAAGGGAACAATGGAGTCCCCTCGAGGAACCCAAGCTCGGCTCGGAAGTAGACTTGTCGAGTTTCGCCACGCGCGACGCCGCGCAGCGCCACTAAGCCGCGCCTCCAGGTTTTCCGCGTTGCCAGCACCGGCCGCAGCATTGCAACCACCATCAAATCATGGCCCCTCGCTCCAAAAAGATGGAGGCGGCCTCACGAGTCGCCTCGGAATCCGAAATTTCCCAGAGCTCCGGCAATAGCTGCGCCTCCGAGACCACGCGAAGGGGCACCACTTTGCCACAAACTACTTATTGCCACTACCTTGGCGGTCTCGGCACCGTGCTCGACCGCATGGTGCGGATTCCAAAGTTGATCATTGACTGTGCTAAATATGCTCTTGTCGGTAGCGGCAATTACTATAAGAAACGTGAAAGTCATAAGTCAAATACGCGCCCATTGTCACTCAAGCATCTTTATTACTTTGCTGCTGGGATTGTCGTTGCAATGGCGACCGTAGATCAATACACTGTGTTTAAACTGTTGACACCGCTGTTGATATCAAAAATACCGTGGCATACTGGCGCCGAGTGGAAGCAATACCTCGATATATATGATGGATTTGTTGAGGCGCGACTGAGCCACTGCGAGCATCGTCAAATCTCAACGCGCTACGGCTCCACGATGGTCCACGTCTGTGGCAGCGCAACAGATGATACTGTCATGCTGCTCTCCGGCACACGGGCAAGTTCGCTTATGTGGGACATTGTCGCGAACCATGCCGAACTGTCGCGCCACCGCCGGCTCGTTCTGGTCGACCACATCTGTGATGCGGGACGGAGCGTTCCCGTAGCTTGTCCTGACACTGCGAATGATCATGTCGCCTGGTTTGAGGACATTTATGCCGAACTGGGTGTGGAATCGGCCGATCTTGTAGGATATAGTTACGGCTGCTTTCCAACCGCACTCGTCGCCATCACCGCACCAAGCATGGTCAAGAAGGTAATACATCTAGGTCCTCCTTTTATTTACGGAAATATTCCCACCCGCATGCTTAGGAAAATGCTTCTCGCAACAATTGCTGCGCCGTTCCCTGGTCTTGGCCTCGATACTACCTGGCTTTTGGGTTCGACGGCTCATCGCACTGTTGACGAGGTCGCCCAAAGAGAATTCGCGACTTACGAAGTCGCATCTGCGGTGCCATACAACTATTTTCATGCAATTCCCTACGAACTTTCTGACGCTGAGCTCGCTCAACTTGCAACGACGAATGTGACAGCGGTTCTACCAGAGTATGAAGTCATTATGGACGTTCAGCAAGTCACCTCTCGCCTAACGAATGCGCAAATTCGAGTTGAAATTATGAAGGACGCTGGGCACCGCGTTCGCATCGAGGACCCCGACTCGCTTCTTGAGATAATTGCACGATTGCTCTTGACAGAGGACTGACACTCGAGATGCCCCCTGTATGAGATCTTGGGCACTCGCTCGGGAGCCTGACTTCCGAGGGGTCATCGCACTTATGCCTCACCTCCTCTTGGACCATGATCAGATTCAAGTTCCATAGAATTATATAAGAGCTCCGAGTCCTAGAAATAGCGCCCCCATAAGTAGATAAATAAACGTACTTAGAATCGAGGAATAAGAAATGGAATTTTATATTCAAATGCAGATCGGACCGTGACTTCTCAGGCTTCCGAGTCGCGTCCTCAATTTCCAATTTATTTACTATTATTCATTTACCTATAGCGGTCCTAGCCTGAGGTAGTATTTTCATGTTCAAGTTCGTTGGCGAATTCAAGGCCCAGGCTGAGTTTAATCGGGGCCGGAGGTCCGACTCCAAGAGTCATCCAACAGCGACTCAGAGACGCCGGACCAGCGATACTCCGGCTCCAAGGAAAGGGGAAGGAAAGGGTACTTTCTACTTTCTACAGTCTTATAGCTTCTTGTTGTTGGTGGGGAATGGCTACAGCAGCAGCACTAAAGGGAGTCCTCATTCACCGACTCGTCCACACAACGCCATGGCTGTTCCGGAGCTTGGCGTTGCCCTTCGGCTCCGCGTAGGACACGACGGCGCGCGCGCGGCGCGAGGACCGCGCGGGCGCCTCGGACCGCGGGCGCTTGGCGCGGCCCCGTGCTGGTTGCGTCGGCGACGGCGAGACGCGCACCGTGCGCGGCTCGGGCTTCGGCGGCTCGCTTGGAAGATCATCTTCCATTGGCTTGACGCGCGTCGCGGCGGCGTCGGCGCCGCGCCGCGCTTCGCCGGTGACGAGGCGGCGGTGGTGGTCGAGGGCCTCGACGAGCTTGGCCGTGTCGCCAGCCAGCACATCTTTCTCCAAGTGGCGCCGCATGGTGCGCGCGAGCGCGCCGAGGTCGACCGACTCGTCGGCGTCGATGAGCTTCGCGAGGACGTCGGCCCAGAGCCGGCGGTTCCAGCCGCGCGGCAGCCGTGTCTCGAGGTTCGTCGAGGTGAGCGTCTTTGAGAGTATGGAACCGGCCGCGACCTGGTAGAGGATCCTCCCGACGGCGTAGAGGTCGATCTCGCGGCGCCAGCTCGCGTCCTTTAACGCGGGCGGCCAGCAGTACTCGGGGACCTGAGCTGGCGAGTCCGCTCCGCTCACGAACCGCTGGTCCGGGTTCTCGTACGCTCGTAAATCGACCGCCAGCGAGTAGTCGATGAGCGTCACGCGGTAGCCCGCGGCCGCGATCGCGTCCACCGGCTTGCCCGTGCCGACGTCGTCCGGCTCGCCGTAGGTCAGGCACAGATTGTCGGGCTTGACGTCGGCGTGGAGAAAGTCCGCCGAGTGGAGCGCGTCGACCGCCTCGAGCGTCCCGATCGCGTAGAACAGGGCGACGGGCTCCGAGAACCGCATCGCGACGCCCCGGAGCCCCTTGGCCAGATCCGAGAGCGTCGTGTCTGCGAGCCGCATGGCCACCGCCGACGCGTCGCGGTAGGCGAAGAACGTCTCGAGCTCCGCGAGCCCGCCGACCGGGGCGGTCTTCAGCGCGGGCCGCCGCCGCGAGACTTCCGCCAGAACCTCGATCTCGCGCTCGATACCGAAGCGCCGCGCGCCGGCGAAGCATATCTTGAGCGCGACGCGCGGCCGCGCCTCGGTCCGCAGCGTCACGTCGAAGACGGCGCCGAACGCGCCGTGGCCGAGCGCGCGGTGCGCGACCCAGGGCGCCTCGCCGCGCCGCGGCCGCGCCACGAGGCTCACGTGCTCGGGCTTGGAGCCGGAAGCCGCGCGCCTCTTCAGCTCGAAGGGCGCCGCGTCGGGCGACGTCGTCGCGCGGACGCCGAGCTGCGCCAGGTCGGCCCCGCGGGACGGGAACTTGCGCGGCCGCCCCGCGTAGGGGTCGACGGGCCCGCTCGTCCGCGCCGGCCGCCGCTGCTGCGGCGACATCGCGGGCTCCTTCATCGCCGAGACGGCGCGGAGCGAGTACCACTCGCTGACGCCGTGGTCCCACTCGACGAGGCAGCGCGCGCCGTCGATCTGGCGCACGATGCCCTCGACGACGCCCTCGGCCGCGGGGAAGCTGGCCTGGACGAGGCGGTCCACCGTTACTTCCCGCTTCATGCTTGACTGTTTAGCTTTATGTCCTCGGCGAGCCGCAGCGCGAGCAGCGATTTGAGGGTAAGGATGAATGCACAAGCCTTCCGCAGCGCACAGCCTCTTCGGGCGGCTCGGCGGCCACTGCCGGCAAAGGAGGTCGATAAAACGTCGACCGCGTGGGGGGGTCGGCCAAGGCTATCTGTTATGTATACCCGCCGCGGGAACTCTACTGACCTCGAGGAATGTGTCGCGCGCAGGCTCGCGTTGTCCCGCTACCTAGCTTTCAATCGCGAGAGCGCGGCCACTGGCAGAGCCAGAGCCCCACCGTCCTTGCCGTGACCGCCGCCGCTACCGCAAAACACCCTAGGACAATACAACTGCACCCTTGCTTTCAGTGCGATGCCAGTGACCCACCAGGAATCATGCTCGTATGATAACCATCACGGCCGCGCATTCGACTCGGTCACTCAGAGTCGCGGCCCGGCCCTGGATAGAGCCCGAGCGCACTAAATACCCCCGAGCAACCATCGAGACCCCAATAATAGCGCGGCTGATAGAAGGCAGGAGAAACTATCTATCCAGCTACTTGGTTTTTAATTCACGAAGTTCAAGCGTCATCATCGAAACGGGGAAACGTAGGAGGGCACGAACTCTACGCGCTCACCGCCGCGGGCTCCTCCTGCTGCTGGAGCCACTCGAAGAACTCGATGCCCGCCTCGGCCTTGATCTCCTCGCCGGCCTCGCGGCCGATCTTCTCGGCGTCGGCCGGCGCGCCGACCTTGCTCGAGCGGTAGATCTGCGAGCCGTCGACGGAGGCGACGAGGCCCTGGAACCGGAGCTCGCCGTCGATGATCTGGGCCTGGCCCGCGATCGGCGTCTTGCAGTTGCCGTCGAGCGCGGCGAGGAACGCGCGCTCGCAGCTCACGCACGTGAAGGTCTCCTCGTGGTTGAGCGCGTCGATGTACCGGAGCGCGCGCTCGTCGTCGTCGCGGCACTGGATGCCGATGGCGCCCTGCGCCACCGCGGGAAGCATCTCCTCCCACTCGAGGACGGCCGTCGCTTCGTCGGCCATGTCCATGCGCTTCAGGCCCGCGTAGGCCAGCAGCGTCGCGTCGACGACGCCCTCGTCGAGCTTCCGCAGCCGCGTCTGCACGTTGCCGCGGAAGTTGACGCACTTGAGCGTCGGGTTTTTCGCCAGGATCTGCGCCTGTCGTCGGAGCGACGCCGAGCCGATGACGCTGCCGTCCTTGAGGCCCGAGAGGCTCGTGGCCGACGGCGAGATGAATACCTACAAATGATTTTTGTTTCGATAAGAAAGACGTCTCGGGCGCGGCCGAACGCACGTCGCGCGTGTCCTCGCGCTCGAGCATGCACGGCAGGACGGTGCCGTCGGGGAGCCACGTCGGCACGTCCTTCATCGAGTGGACGCAAATGTCCACCTCGTCGCCGAGGAGCGCCACGTCGAGCTCCTTCGTGAAGAGGCCCTTGCCGCCGATCTCGCTCAGCGCCTGCATTGAGATGTGATGAATTGTTCGCAAAAGCATAAGAACGCTGTCGCCGCACCTTGTCGAGGATCATGTCGCCCTGCGTCTTCATGATGCACTGCGAGCGGGGCGCGGCGGTTACGGATAATGCAATCACTCATCAAAAAAGGAAGCAGCTACGCACCAGTTGGATCGCGCCCTCGGACGAGAGCTCCTCGAAGTTGTCCATCAGCAGTTGCCGCGTCATGTAGGCCTGCGCCAGCGCCAGCGGCGAGCCCCGCGTGCCGATGCGCAGCGGCCGCGTCGTCGCGCTCAGCGCCGTGCAGCCGGCCGCGAGGGCCGCGACCGCGGTGGATATCCTCGGCGCCATTGGTGTTGCAGAGCTTGCGGCTGGAATAGCCAAAGCCGCACCCCTCGTCGTGTTCAATGCAAGGTTATCGGCTCGCTGCGCTGCGCGGAGGAGTCTAGGGATCAGAAACGCTGCGGTACAATATAGAAGTTTGGAACAACTCACACCTTAGGCGTCGCGCCGTCCAAGAACACCATCTTCGCCACGCCTAGCGCGGCGGTCGTCCGGAAGAACGCGTCCCGGAAGCCCTCGGGCGCGAGGGTCTCGACGGCGCCGAGGACAACGGAGTTGACGCCGAGGCGCGCGACCGCGGCCTTGCGGTCGCTTTCGTACGCGGCCAGCGCCGCGTCGACGTCGGCGAGGTCGCCCTCAACCAGTGCCACGAGCTTGTCCGCGAGGCAGGCGGCGTCCTGGATGGCCTGGTTCGTGCCCTGGCCGAGAAACGGCGGCATGGCGTGCGCGGCGTCGCCCAGGAGCACGGACGCCTCGCCGCCGGCGCGCCACGCGGGCAGCGGGTTCACGTACTCGGCGCCGAGCTCGAAGCACCGGTCGCAGCTCTCGGCGAGGGCGACGACGTCGGCGGGCATGGCCGCCGCCCGCAGCTGCGCGACCATGGCGTCGCGCGTCGCGGCTGACGCGCCGTCGTCCCACGCGGCCGCCCCGACCGCGCCGCGCGCGGGCGACACGACGACGCACTGGTCGAAGGCCCGGCCGCCGACGCCGCCGTAGGAGCCGGCGAGGCAGTAGACACCGTCGGGGCCGAACCACTGGTGGAGCTCGTCGCGCGCGGCGCGCGACGGCGCGGACGAGACGCCCCAGCGGATGCGGACGCGCCGGCCCAGCACCGCGAGCGGCTCGGCCGCCGGCCGATTAGCGCCGCGCGCCGCGCCGCGCACGCCGTCGCAGCCCGCGACGAGGTCGAAGCGCCGCGCGGTCCCGTCCGCGAGCGCGACCTCGGATCCGCCGTTTGGAGATGCTCGGATACCCTTCACCGCGGCGCCAAGCTCGAGTTTGGTTTGCGAACCAAGCGCGTCGCGGAGCGTCGCCTGGAGCGCGTCCCGCATAATAGTGTAGGCGCGGACGCCGCCGTCGGCGTCGACGAGGCCGCGTTTTCTGGCGCGCGCGTTGCCACGGATCGCCGCCGCGAGATCTAAATCTAACAATGCATCGCCGCCGGCCGTCCGCGACCGCACGCGCCGCACGGGCTGGCCGAGCGCCGCGACCGCCGCGCCGAGCGCCGGGTCGAGCCGCGCCAGCACGGCCGCGCCGCTGTTCAGCTGGACGCCGCCGCCGAGGGCTGGCCGGCACGAGTCCGACCGGTCGAAGATCGTCACGGCGACGTCTGGCAAGGCGCGATTGAGGGCCACAGCTAGCGTGAGCCCTGCTGGGCCCGCACCGACGATGCCGATCGTTTGTAAGCTTGCGGTTGGGTGGATGAGGAGAAATGCTGCTGCGAGGAGCCGCATTTTACGCATGCGTTGCATGTTTTGGAGCTGTGGTGCCGAGCTTTGCTTGCTGCTGTGCTTGCTAGTGTCTTGCAGCCGCTAGCTGCGGTTTTCCATTTGACAGGGAGCCCTGGTGCCTTGCGCACTGAGATTTTCATACTGGTATATTCAGTACAAATCGAAAGTACGGAGGACGCGAAGGTCTACGTTTCACCGCTTAGCGGCCCCGCGGCCCCCGGGCTTGGGATAGTGAGTGCTCGCACGGCGGCACGGAAGAGTCTCGAGAGTCGTAAGATTACCCTACGCGGCGCACACGCGCGCGTCGACTGATTCACTTGGTGGTGATATGTGCAAAACGTGGTGGATATGTGCAGGTCGTTTCCGGAGGATGTCGTGAGGCGTATGTGCAGCGTCGGACCGTGCGCGTATGTACAGGTGGTCGTGGTCGTTTAGGCCTCGACGACCTTCTCCTCCTTCGCGGCCTTGGCGGCGGCCTCGCGCTCCTGCCGCTTCCAGAAGCCGTCCTTGTTCACGAACCAGAACGGGATCACGAGGAACCAGGCGCCGACGATCGAGCCGATCGTCACGGGGATGAAATTAAACCAAAATGCGTTGCCCCAGTTGATGCGCGAGTCGAGGAACTTGCCGCCGACGATGATGCCGCCCGGGATGAGGAACTCGTTCACGACCAGGTGGTCGAAGCCCGACGAGATGAAGAGCTCGATCGGCAGCCAGATCATGATGAACTTCGAGATGGGCTCCGTCGCGATCATCTGGAGCCAGATGGCGAGGCAGACCATCCAGTTGCAGCCCGCGCCGCGGACGATGGACGTCGTGAAGTGCGCCGTGCACTTGGCGCGCGCAGCCTTCATGAGCTTGCAGATGTTGGCCTGCGCGAAGTTCTTCGTCGTGCAGAAGTCGCCGTTGTTGAACGCCTCCTGGAACGTGCGGCGGTTCGGGAAGTTGATCTTCTCGTTGTTCTCGAGCGCCTGCGCGGAAATCATCGTTGACGCTGTCGACGCGACGTCGTCCTTCCACGCCGTCGACGCGCCCCCGTGGGGTCCGAGTAGATGTCGTTGTCGATGGTCACGGTCTTGATGAGGCCCGTCTGCCACGCGAAGATGACGAAGTGGAGGATGGCGCCGGCGAGGTTGAGCCACCAGCAGACGAACCAGTTGATGACCGTGGCCTTGATCTCGTTCGCGCGGTCCTCGGGCGCCGCCGCGAGGCAGGCGAAGGTGCAGAACATGTAGTTCGCCGTGATGAGCTCGCAGCCCTGGCAGAGCACCTGTGTGCGCGAATCGTGAGTCTTCTCGACAAGTCGCCACGCCATCGACGCGACGAACTTTGATTTTTGCACCGGAGGGCACGATGAACGTGAGGCCGAAGGGGATGCCGAAGCCGGCGAAGACGAAGTTGTTGACGCCGGTCGTGCTGCCCCAGCGGCCGCCGACCTGGCAGGACATCATGACGCCGAAGGAGAGCAGCATGCCCCTGCGTCGATCAACCGTCACGCCGTCGACGCGGCATCGATCCGATTCGATCGACCGTCGGCAAACCGCGTCGCTGGCGTCGACGCGGCACCGGTCGAAGGAGAACTTTTCTACGAGGACGCCGCGGCGGACGCCTGGAGCGAGAGGAGGCATGTCATGAGCGGGCGCTGCATCATGCGGATGTTGACGGCCTCGCCGACGTTCACGACGAAGCCGAGGACCTGCAGGCGGGCGAGGTTTGCGGCGGCGACGACGTCGAGGCGGTGGACGCCGGGGCGGCGCCTCCGGCTGGGTGTTAAAGACGCGCTTGACGTTCACGTACGTGTTGGCCGTGGCCATCGGCCGCGGCTCCGTGTGCGCATTGGAGTGGCAGAGGACGGTGTGAGCGGGCGGCATCTTGGATTATTGCGTCTGCGGTGGGGCGCGAATTTTTTGCTCGCGATGAGATTTATTGTAAAGCATCGCGGCGGTTGTTGCCGAGAAATCATTTCGCCCACCATAGGCACACTCCTATGCTTCGCGCTGATGTATGCGGTCGCGACCGGCGCCAATTGAAATAATTTGAGCCCCATCGACGCGACCGGTGTCTTAGGTCATGATGCCGGCCTTCGCGGCCTTCGCGACGCGCGCCGACGGCACGATCCAACAAGACCACTACGTCATCGCGACCTTCGTTTTTTATCAGCGTCAAGAAATCACGCCAGGTTCTAAACTTCGACGCACAGGTTTCCATGTTCTACGGGTGCATCAGCGCCAAGGCCACGACCTGCGCGAACACCTACGGCGAGCTCGCCGTGCCGCTCAAAAAGAAGCGCGAGTAGTAACACCGACGCGCGCATGTCCATATCTTCTTTTGTCCATATCGCTCGCACGGCGCCGCCCGCGGGTTCTTCTTCTAATGTACATATGTGTTCATCCCGCGAACGCGGCGACTGGCGTGCGGCGTCGCGGCTCGTGGAGGGCGGGCGTGTCCGTCGAGGAGTGCTTCTGGGAATTGACGTCTCCAGTTCACGAGCAGTGCGCGGCGGAGGCTCCTGAGCTCATGAGAGGAGCGGCTCGCAGGGCTCTCTTCGCCGGCGCCCGAAGAAGCGTAATTAGACTACTACTAAGGCGGGGACTGCTAACCTGTTAAGTATATCTGCCGAGGCCTCCCGCCCCGCACGATTGTTCGATTGTTTTGGTCCCCTACCTCCGTCTCATCTCATTTGACGCGAATACATAAGGGCTGCGAAATAACACACAAAATGGACGAAGCCGTCCTCGTCTCGCAGTATGCTTTGGTCAAAGACCCCCGGCGCATGCCTCGCCTCGTCAACCACCCCGATCGCAATCCCCCAGAGCAGCGGGCCGGCCGGACCTACGCCGTCGTCGGCAAGGGCGGCGCGACGGTGCGCGCGGCGGCGAGCCTGCGCAGCCCCGTCGTCGGCACGGTCGAGCGCGGCGGCAAGGTGGACGTCGTCGAGGAGCGGCGTGCCCGCTGCCGCGTCGCCGCGCCCGTCGCGGGCTGGGTCTCGGCCAAGGTCCTCGCGCCGCACGCGACGGACCAGGTTGCCGCGGCCGTGACGGTCACCACGGCGTCGACCGGCGTGGTGCCGCGCCCGGTCGAGCCCGAGGCGTTCGAGGACCCCGCGGTCGTCACGGCCGCCACGCTCGCGCGCGACGCCCGCGAGCGGTACGAGGCGCTCGGCGTCGAGTTCTAGGCGGGTCTTGTTCCTCTCGTCCCCTGGAGTAGTAAGCCAGTCCTGTGTCAGCTGTGGGCTCCGCGTCGGCGAGTCTGAAAAAGACAAGAGCCGTCTATGACTAGAAGCCTTCCCGGTCCCTTCCGCTAGCATTCTGCTTCGCCCCAAGATGCGGTTGGAAGGAGAGCGCTCTAGGCTCGGAGAGGCTCTAGTTTTGGAGAGGAGGCTCATGGAGGCTGCCTCTACGACGCACGGCCGCATTGCTGCCCGACACGCATCATGTCGACACCGTCAGGCGCTTACAAAATCTGGCGCCATCCACACCTAAAGCTCGTCGACAAATGCCTCCAGTACGTGGTGTGGTTGGCACTGCGCCTCGATAAACTCGACAGCGTCGCCAAGCTCGCCGGGCCCGAAGGCGCGACGGCGCGAAGGCGTTTTGAGCAATTCAACGCCGGCGCCGCGGCTCGCATCGCGTCCAAGCACTGGACCACGACGGTCGAGACGACGCCCGAAGGCGTCGAGCTGATCGTCTACTCACCGAAGGTAGACGGTCCAGTCCCGGTCGTCCTCTGGATCCACGGCGGCGGCTTTACCATCGGCGGAGCGCGCGACGCGTTCGGCGCCGAGCTCTGCGCGGCGGCCGTCCAAGCTGGAGCGCCGTCGTTTGCCTGGGTGTCGGTAGAGTACCGGCTCGCGCCCGAGCGAGCGTCCCGTGCGGGAGACATGCATTCAAATCCGAGAAGAAACATTTCCTCCGCGTGGAAGACGCACATTCGCAACCGAAAATCACGCTTCCCCACCGCACAGGCACCGGCACCCGGCGGCGGCCGACGACTGTGCCGCGGCGCTGCGGTACCTCGCGGCGGCGTCGGACCGCTTCTCGGCCGTGCACGTCGCCGGCGCGTCGGCCGGTGCGAATCTCGCGATCGTCACGGCCGCCGCCGCGCCGCGGCTCGGCCTAACGGTAGCGTCGCTCTTCGCCGTCTCGCCTTTCGTCGACCCGCGGGGCGCGTCTGCATCGTACGCGGCGAACGGGAACTGCCACATTGCTGCGCCGTCGTGGCTGGCGGCGTCGTGGGACGCTTATGTCGGTCCCGGCCCCGAGGCGAAAGAACGGGCGCTCGCGGACTGGAGAGTCTGCCCGCAAACCGCGGTCGACACCTGGCGCGACGCCCAAGACCGCCCCGTCGCGCCGCCGCCGACGATTATCATCACGGACACCGCCGACCCGCTCCGCGACGAGGGCTTGGCCACGGCCCGCTCGATCCGGGACGCGGGCTGCCGCGACGTGCTCCACCTCGAGGGCTCGGCGTCCCACTGTTTCACCCTCAAGCTGTACCCCGCGAAGCGCGCCGAGGCGCTCGCCAAGTGGGTCGGGTACTTCGTGTCGGGGTGATTGATGTGTGTCTTTTATGTCCGAAGCGCCAGCGGCCCTCGTTGGAGCAGTATCGTTGTATGTATAATTTTGACGGGTATTTCTTGCTAGTCTCGTCTTCTACTATGACCTATACTCAGTTGCCTACCTACGGTACCGTAGGTACCTCTCCGGCCTAGAATAAGTGTAACCGTTCAAAGATTTTTGTACCGAGCGTCAACGGTGCACGCAATTGGAGCCTTTAAATATGCTGTTGAATGCCGCAGCCGTGCGCGGCCTCATCCCCAATGTGCCGCCGCTCTCTCCGCGGTTTGTGGGACCGCCGCCGCCTGTTTCGGTCAAGCGCAAGGCCCTCTTTAGCCCGACGGGCAGCCGCGACATTCCGCACCCCGTTAAGTTCGAGAACCTCGTGCCAAGCATCTGCCTCTACAAGCATCGCTTCAAGGACGAAGAGCCCCCGTATTTTCAGCTAAAACATGGTAAAGGCAGGAAATCAAACCTCACCAACTGCGCCGCGGCGAACCTATTACGCGAGTACGAGCTGGTCAAGGCGAACGCATTACCGGGCACGTGTGCTGACGTGCTGGAGCACTATCAGACGACGAAAGCCACCATCTCGCGCCTCAAAAAGAGACTAAAAGCTACCGGAACCACAGACTCGAGAAAAAAAGGTACATCTGCAGCGTCCTTTGGTCACTTCAACGGCCGCCGAGAGTCGCCCAGCGACTGCGTCGACGCCACGCGAGAGAGCGCCGCTCGTTCGGGTCGGTACGGGGGGTCGCGCCGCGACGGCAGGCCCCATGGGCCCCCAGCGGAGACTAAACTGATTTTATCCTAAGGTAACGTGGGGAGGACGAGCAAGGCCGACGACCCCCGGATTATTAAGCAGACGCGCGATATTTATAGAAAGAACCGCGCTTTGAAGACGCGCGGCGGTGCGCCATCGGGGTCCAAGACGGCGAGGGTAACAACATCGGCCTCACGGCGGTTAAAAAGATAAAAAAGCCACCTCAAGACGCGGCGTCACTCCACGGCCCAGGATCGTGGATCAGAAGCACGCCGACGCTGCATTAGCTGATGCCGAATACATCTACCAAGCTAATTTCGAGGAGATCGCAGATGTCGACGAAAAGTACTTCTTTGTCCCTGGTTACCACGAGAAGTACACATACCATAAAAAAGAAGAGCCTCCAGCCAAAGAGCTGTACAAACGATGCAAAAACAAGAACCACCTCATGAAGATCATGGTCATGGCGATGGTCTCGCAGCCAAAACGGTCAAAGGATGGGTTGAGCTGGGAGCGAGACGGCAAGGTAGGCATCTGGCGGGTGACGGAGGAGAAAGTATACGAGAAGGGCATCATAGAAGGCTATACATTGAGACCAGACAAACGATTCACGAAACAAGTCGGAAAGATGGTTAGAGAGCCAGTCTACAGCAGAAAGGCGGGTGACAAGTACCAGGTCGACTGCTCCATGGATGGTGCGAAGTACTGCGAGATGATGGTTCAGACGAATGGTGGCCTGGCAGCCGTCCAAAAGTACTTCAAAGACTCTGGATTGGACTGTATCGAAATACAAGAAGATGGGGCACCCGGTCACGGCTATGACAACCATACTTGGCCTCCGTCGCGGACGGAGAACCACAAAACTTTAGATAAGGCTGCCAAAACGTACCGAATTAAATTCCGAAAGCAGGCAGGCCACTGCCCCTCGCACAACGCCCTCGACCAGGCGGTGTGGACGCACTTGGCCAGCCGTGTGCGCAAGCGCGTCAATGAATTCAAGGAGCAGATGCCGAAGGACAAGTTATTAGACTTGCTGTGGAAAGTCATCGAGGAAGAATTTTGGGCTATGGACCCGGAGATCCTCGACGACTGCTTCTGGTCCAAGGATGAGGCGGCCAAGGACACGATCCGCCTGAAGGGCTGGAGCAAGGGCAAGCAGGAGCATAGCCAAGTACGCATTACGAAGAAGAAGTACCTCCAATCAATGGGTTGGAAGCGCATTCCGCACCAGCTACCCAAGGCATTGGCCGACATCGCCAACGACCCCAACAAGAAAGGTTACTGGGACTTTTCCAGCGGCGATGAGAGTCTGTAGAGCCCCTCGGGCCGCGCCGCCGCCCGCGTTCGAGTAAGACATAAACTGCACGTAGCTAACCCTCAAATGCGCCGCGCTACCTGCCCATACGCATGTGATGCCTCGAAGATGGTTCACGTCGCTAACGCAAGCGTATAGGCTATCGCAGAGGGTATCGCTATGGAAGCAGTAAATGAGCCCGGTATAATCAGCGGCGCGGCACCCGGCAGCCCCGTTTTTTGGCGCCGCGAGGGCCTAGGTACCCCTTGCCGATAACCAAACACTGCCAGTTTATTTTAACGCCGCCGGGGCCGCGCAACCCATAAGGTTACACTTAAAGACGTCCGGAGACGGTATACTTCACATACTATTATATATATATGACATACTTCCTTTTTTTAATTGTTGCCACCGCAGATCGTCTATGAGTCGCTCTTAGCGACAGAGGGCGACGCAGCAGTGAGACACGGGTGTGCGCGACGCAGCAGACAGCGCGCGCTGCATCGATCGCATTGCATTGCGCCTCCCAGCAGGCAGCAGCTGCATCATTTTAAGCAGCGCTCTCCCATGTCGCATCGCGACACGCATGGCGAGCGGCGCTGCCGGCGCGGCGATGCGCGCGGCGTGAGGTCTCCGCCGCCGCGGCGTCAAGGCGGGAGGGGCGCGACAGACCCCAACGAGTTGGATCGGCTGCGGGCGGAAGTAGCCGTGAAGGAGCGGGCGGTACGGGACGCTCGGAGCGCTGAGGAGGTTGCTACCCAGAAACTCGAACAGGCGAGGCGATACCTCGACGCGGAACGGACGCACCGCGTCCAGGCGGAGAGGGAGCTCGAAACGGCCCGGTCGCGGCTCCAGGCGCGGGAACGTGGCGCTCCGACGCCGACAGCGCCAGCACCAGCGCCGCGGCAAGCGCCGCCTCCACCACCTCCGCCACCTCCGCCGCCGCCGCCCTCGCCGCCGGCCGAGCCCAAACAAAAGAAGCGGCGCGCGAGCGTGGCAGATGCCCCGGAAGTCGTCAAGGCGGACGGCAAGATCCGCGGCTGCTGGCTCGACGGTGCCGGAGACCTCGTCGTCGCGACGAACCGCGGCGCTGTGGGAGTTTTGCAGCGGCGGCGCGACGGCGCTCGTACGGACGTCTTCAAGCCCTTTTTCCTGAGCTCGGCGCGAGGCTCGGACGACGGATCGCGCTGCGAGTGCGCGGATTTCCGGAAGTGCGACGAGACAGTTCTACTGGGCTACGACAACGGCGTACTAGAGAAGGTCAAGGGGCGCGGGAGCCGATCGGCCGTGCCGCTCGGCGGCCGCCTCGCGGAGGGCATCGCCTCGGTGGCGTGGGGCCCCAGCGCCGCTGACGACTGGGTCGTCGCCGCTGGCGCCGCCGGAGGACGAGGCGCGCACGATGTCGTCATCGTCGGCCGCTCAAGCGGACCCACGAATCTGCCTCGCGTGCACACTTCGAGGATTGCCGCGCTCTGCGCCGTTGATTCCAATTGTCTCATATCTGGCGGCTTCGACGGGCGACTCCAGCTCTACGACGGCGCGAGCGGGCGACTCACGCGGGCCCTCTCGGGCACGACGTCGCGGCAAAAGTGGAACGACGTGTGCGCGGCGCCGTCCTTGGGGGGGAATCTTATCCTGGCGACGGCGCTCGTGCCTGATTCCGCCGACGACACGGGCGGCTACCGCGTGGACGTGCTGGACGTGCGCAAGGCGCAGCCGACCGTCGCCAGCTTTTTTGCGGCCGAAGCCGGCGGACTGTCGGCAAACGTCGCGGCGCGGTGCTCGGCGGACGGAACGTGGGTGACGCTGGGCTCGCACGCTGGCGTGGTGCGCTTGTGGGATCTCCGGCGGCAAGGCATGGCGGACGCCGCGAAGACGTCTCCCATGACCGTCGCCGTCGGTAGCGTCAAAGGCGTCGCGCACGCAACCGTCGTCGATTCGAGCGCCGTTGTCCTGGCGGTCGCCTGCGCCAGCCAGGTCGTCGTCAAGAAGTGGACGCCTCCCTGAACTCGGATGTGATAATATAATAACAGTTCTTACCCTTTCTTCTTCGGCTTCGCGAGGATCTTCGGGTCCCAGTCGGCCCGGTCCTTGCCGCGCGTCGACAGCAAGCGCTCGGCGCGGTCGCGGAGCGTGCCGCCGCACTTGAGGCCGGCGGCCATCAGGGCGCTCTTGAGCCGGTCGAGGCCGAGCGCCTCGAGGGCCTCGGCCGACTCGAACGGGCCGAGGTCGAGCGCGGCCGCCGCGACGGGCGGGCCCTTGACGTAGGGCGCCTTCTTTTTCGGCGGCGGCGGTGCCGGCGCAGGCGCAGGCCGCGCGGGTGGCGCAGGCGGCGCGGCCGACACAGGCGGAGCGGGCGGCGCGGCGGCCGCGGCGGCCGGTCGCGGAGGTGCCGCCGCTGGTGCCGGTGCGGCGGCCGGCGCCTTCTTGTCCTCTGCGAGCGGCGCGAGGCGCGCGTCTCCGAGCGCCCGGTAGCCGGCCGGCGGGCCGAAGCGGAGGTCGCCGCGGTCGAGGGCCACGCGCACGGCCTCGCCGTCCTCGAGGCTCAGCGCCGCCGAAAGTGGCCCAGCCACGCCGCGAAACGCCACGCCCAAATCGGCCCCGTTGACCGAGAAGGACGCCTCGCCCTTATCGACGTCGACGCGGCAGCCGACGACGTCGCCCTTCTTCCAGCCCTCCGCGCCGCCGTAGGCCTCGGCGGCGCCGGCCGTCCACGCGCGGCCGCGGCAGCCGTCGAAGCCCCACGAGTGCGCGTCGTCGCCGACGCCGTCGCCCGCGCCGTCGTCGGCGCCAAAGTCCGCGCCCGCCCAGCCGACCTGGACGACGCCGTCCGTGCCCAGCTCGACCTCGTAGTACCAGCGCCCGTCCTTCACCGCCTCGCAGCCGGCGACGGCCACGGAGCAGAACTCGGACCGCCCCTCGACGGCGCCGCGCGGCCCGAGCGCCGCGTCGCCCGTCAGGACCCCCAGCACCGACGGTACAGTCGTCGCCGGGGCGGCGGCGCCGTCGGCGGCGACGGGCAGGCACGCCGCGGCGCCGTGGTGGCGCGTCTTCTTCGGCGCGCGGCTCTCGGCCGCGGCGAGGCCCGCGGCGACGCTCGCGCGCATGGCCGCCGCGTCGACCTCGGGCGCCGGCTGGTCGCGCGCCTTGGCCCGCCCCGCCGCGGCGCCGCGCGCGGCCGCGCGCCGCTCCTCGACGGCGCGCGGCCGCCGGACGTGGCGCTCGACGCGCTTCTCCCGGCCCCGGCGCGCCTTGCCCGGCGGCGCGCGCGACACGCGCTCGGCGCGGTAGGCCGTCCACTTGTTGCGGCCCTGGGGCCGGTGCGCGGCGCGCACGCTCAGGACGTCGCCGACGCGGAGCGGCGCCGCGGCCCAGTCGTCGTCGTCCTTGGCGTTCGCCGAGGCCGGCACGTAGCAGTCGCCGTCGACGACGCAGAAGGCGTCGTGGACCGTGTCGACCATGGTCACCGCGCCCTCGAAGCTCCGCGTCACGCAGCCGCTCGCGAGGACGTCGGCCTCCTCGTCCTGCCAGCGGCGGGCCGCCGCCGCGCGCCGCAGCGCCGCCTTGGACTTCCGCGCCTTGGTCGGGAGCTCGGCCCACGAGGGCACGGCGAGGTGCCAGCCCCGGATGCCGTGCGCCGGCGCGTCCTCGTCCTCCTCGGCCGCCGCGCCGCCGCCGTCGCGCTTCCGCGCCTCGTTGCGCGCGCGCGCCTGGTGCCACCGCTCCAGCGCGATCTCGTCGTTCACGTGGCGCAGCCGCCGGCCCGACAGGTCGCGGCACGCGCCGAAGTCGCGCGTTCGTTCCTGCGTGGTTTATTGATCAGTGGGGAGGTGGTTGCTTTTGTATTTCGGCGCCGGTCCGCACGCCGCCGCCCGCGCGGCCCAGGTTCCGCAGGAGCTGGCCGAAGCCGCCCTTGCCGCCGACCAGGGCCCTCGTCACGACGACGCGCGCGACGGGGGCGCGCGGCCGCTCGGCGGGGCCCAGGCGCCGCGCGCCGTGCCACAGCTCGAGGCGCGCGCCCGCGCCCGGCGCCAGATGGTCGAGGATGGCCGCGGCGCCCATGCGCATGCCATTGGGCACCACTACGGACTTGTCCGCGCCGGGGACCTGGGAGACGACGAGGTCGATCATTTCTTTGTTGGGTGGCTGTCTTTATTGTGTGCTGAGTTATGTTGTTTCGATATATATGTCCACTTTTAGTAGGCGACGGCGTACCATGGTAGCACCTTACGGTGCTTATGGTACCGCAGGTACCGTCTCCGGACGTCTTTAAGTGTAACCTTATGGGTTGCGCGGCCCCGGCGGCGTTAAAATAAACTGGCAGTGTTTGGTTATCGGCAAGGGGTACCTAGGCCCTCGCGGCGCCAAAAAACGGGGCTGCCGGGTGCCGCGCCGCTGATTATACCGGGCTCATTTACTGCTTCCATAGCGATACCCTCTGCGATAGCCTATACGCTTGCGTTAGCGACGTGAACCATCTTCGAGGCATCACATGCGTATGGGCAGGTAGCGCGGCGCATTTGAGGGTTAGCTACGTGCAGTTTATGTCTTACTCGAACGCGGGCGGCGGCGCGGCCCGAGGGGCTCTACAGACTCTCATCGCCGCTGGAAAAGTCCCAGTAACCTTTCTTGTTGGGGTCGTTGGCGATGTCGGCCAATGCCTTGGGTAGCTGGTGCGGAATGCGCTTCCAACCCATTGATTGGAGGTACTTCTTCTTCGTAATGCGTACTTGGCTATGCTCCTGCTTGCCCTTGCTCCAGCCCTTCAGGCGGATCGTGTCCTTGGCCGCCTCATCCTTGGACCAGAAGCAGTCGTCGAGGATCTCCGGGTCCATAGCCCAAAATTCTTCCTCGATGACTTTCCACAGCAAGTCTAATAACTTGTCCTTCGGCATCTGCTCCTTGAATTCATTGACGCGCTTGCGCACACGGCTGGCCAAGTGCGTCCACACCGCCTGGTCGAGGGCGTTGTGCGAGGGGCAGTGGCCTGCCTGCTTTCGAATTTAATTCGGTACGTTTTGGCAGCCTTATCTAAAGTTTTGTGGTTCTCCGTCCGCGACGGAGGCCAAGTATGGTTGTCATAGCCGTGACCGGGTGCCCCATCTTCTTGTATTTCGATACAGTCCAATCCAGAGTCTTTGAAGTACTTTTGGACGGCTGCCAGGCCACCATTCGTCTGAACCATCATCTCGCAGTACTTCGCACCATCCATGGAGCAGTCGACCTGGTACTTGTCACCCGCCTTTCTGCTGTAGACTGGCTCTCTAACCATCTTTCCGACTTGTTTCGTGAATCGTTTGTCTGGTCTCAATGTATAGCCTTCTATGATGCCCTTCTCGTATACTTTCTCCTCCGTCACCCGCCAGATGCCTACCTTGCCGTCTCGCTCCCAGCTCAACCCATCCTTTGACCGTTTTGGCTGCGAGACCATCGCCATGACCATGATCTTCATGAGGTGGTTCTTGTTTTTGCATCGTTTGTACAGCTCTTTGGCTGGAGGCTCTTCTTTTTTATGGTATGTGTACTTCTCGTGGTAACCAGGGACAAAGAAGTACTTTTCGTCGACATCTGCGATCTCCTCGAAATTAGCTTGGTAGATGTATTCGGCATCAGCTAATGCAGCGTCGGCGTGCTTCTGATCCACGATCCTGGGCCGTGGAGTGACGCCATGCGTCTTGAAGTGCTTCTTTTTTATCTTTTTAACCGTCGTGAGGCCGATGTTGTTACCCTCGCCGTCTTGGACCCCGATGGCGCACACGTCGCGCGTCTTCAAAGCGCGGTTCTTTCTATAAATATCGCGCGTCTGCTTAATAATCCGGGGGTCGTCGGCCTTGCTCGTCCTCCCCACGTTACCTTAGGATAAATTTCAGTTTAGTCTCCGCTGGGGGCCCATGGGGCCTGCCGTCGCGGCGCGCGAACCCCCCGTACCGACCCGAACGAGCGGCGCTCTCTCGCGTGGCGTCGACGCAGTCGCTGGGCGACTCTCGGCGGCCGTTGAAGTGACCAAAGGACGCTGCAGATGTACCTTTTTTTCTCGAGTCTGTGGTTCCGGTAGCTTTTAGTCTCTTTTTGAGGCGCGAGATGGTGGCTTTCGTCGTCTGATAGTGCTCCAGCACGTCAGCACACGTGCCCGGTAATGCGTTCGCCTTGACCAGCTCGTACTCGCGTAATAGGTTCGCCGCGGCGCAGTTGGTGAGGTTTGATTTCCTGCCTTTACCATGTTTTAGCTGAAAATACGGGGGCTCTTCGTCCTTGAAGCGATGCTTGTAGAGGCAGATGCTTGGCACGAGGTTCTCGAACTTAACGGGGTGCGGAATGTCGCGGCTGCCCGTCGGGCTAAAGAGGGCCTTGCGCTTGACCGAAACAGGCGGCGGCGGTCCCACAAACCGCGGAGAGAGCGGCGGCACATTGGGGATGAGGCCGCGCACGGCTGCGGCATTCAACAGCATATTTAAAGGCTCCAATTGCGTGCACCGTTGACGCTCGGTACAAAAATCTTTGAACGGTTACACTTATTCTAGGCCGGAGAGGTACCCCAGTAGAGCACCACCTATGGGAAAGCACATTTACGAATCACGTCGCGCGCGCGCGGCACGCGGGAATGCCGTGCGCGGCGGGGGGAGACGGGTGCCGGGCAGGGAGTAGCTCCTTCGTAGAAAAAGGGTGGTTTCAGAAGAAACCGGGTGTGAATGAGATGGGCCGTCGGCGACCACCGCCGGTCTTGATCAGCGGCGGCGCGGCGGCCCGGGCTCGGGGGTAGATTTACCCGCCGAAGCCGTAGAGCGTGCGGCCCTGGCGCTTGAGCGCGTAGACGACGTCCATGGCGGTGACCGTCTTTCTGCGGGCGTGCTCCGTGTAGGTGACGGAGTCGCGGATGACGTTCTCGAGGAAGACCTTGAGCACGCCGCGGGTCTCCTCGTAGATGAGGCCCGAGATGCGCTTGACGCCGCCGCGGCGCGCGAGGCGGCGGATGGCGGGCTTGGTGATGCCCTGGATGTTGTCCCGGAGGACCTTGCGGTGGCGCTTCGCGCCGCCCTTGCCGAGGCCTTTGCCACCTTTGCCGCGTCCAGACATGATGAAGTGATGTGTGTTTGGTCCGATGTGTTGGAGCTGGGCAGAGGCCCGAGGCTGGGGACCGGGCTCACCGCGGCACCCCCACTCTTTAGGTCCGTTCAATTCCCCCACATACCCAAAACCGGTCCAAACGCCTCGAAACGCTGCCTGCGGGCCGGCGCGGACGCGGGGGCCCCGGCGCGGACGCGTTTCCGGGGCGGCACCGGAGCCTTGAGGCGTTTGGGCCGACTTTGGGTATGTGGGGGAATTCAACGGACCTAAAGAGTGGGGGTGCCGCGGTGACCCCGGCCTCCAGCCTCGGCGCTCGTCCAAGTACCAACACATCACACTCAATAAAATGGCCCGCACGAAGCAAACTGCCCGCAAGTCCACCGGCGGCAAGGCGCCCCGCAAGCAGCTCGCCACCAAGGCGGCGCGCAAGTCGGCCCCGGCCACGGGCGGCGTCAAGAAGCCGCACCGCTACCGCCCCGGCACGGTCGCGCTCCGCGAGATCCGCCGCTACCAGAAGTCCACGGAACTCCTCGTGCGCAAGCTGCCGTTCCAGCGCCTCGTGCGCGAGATCGCGCAGGACTTCAAGACGGACCTCCGCTTCCAGGGCTCCGCCGTCCTCGCGCTCCAGGAGGCCGCCGAGGCCTACCTCGTGGGCCTCTTCGAGGACACGAACCTCTGCGCGATCCACGCCAAGCGCGTCACGATCATGCCCAAGGACATCCAGCTCGCGCGCCGCATCCGCGGCGAGCGCTCGTAAGCGTTTCGAACCTTATTGGTTTGTGGCGTCTTCCGTCCTCCCACAACTTACCCGGTTTCTTCAGAAACCACCCTTTTGGCAACGAAGACCGACGTGGCTCTGTTCTGTTCCCTGCCTCGCTCGCGCGTCCTGCACGGCTTCCATAGAGACTTTCTCGCGTCGTCGACGGCGACGCGTGCGCACCGTTCTTAGCTAACGTCAAACTTTGTCCTTGTGACTTGTCGTCTAGACTCTATAAACGGTGGGCCGCTGCTGCTCTAGTACTAGTAGCAGTGAACTTGAATAAAAAAATGACTACTCCTCTAGGAAACCACACACGCCTCCTCGGCGCCGGTCCCACCGGGGTCCGTCAAGCGCGCGGTGAGGCGCGCCGCGATCGTGCGCGCGGTGGCCTCGGGCGTCGGGCTGACGAAGTCGGTCGCCAGGCGGCCCGGGCCGCGTGCTTTGACGTCGAAGGCCGAGTTGTTGCAATAAATCGGGTACTTGGCCAGAAGCTCCTCGGCGCCGTCGGGCACGGTGAAAATCGCCCGCGTCCGTCCCGCCCCGAGCGTCTCGAGCGCGTAGCCCACGCGCGTCCGGTCGACGCGGTCCGCGGGCGCCGGCTTGCGGGGCGGCTGCTTCGGCCGCGCGACGGCCGCCGCCTGTTTGGGCAGCTGCGCGGTGACCCAGTTGCCGGCGCGCGCGACCTGGGCCCAGACGAGGCCCTCGCCGTTCTGGACGTCGAGGTCCGCGTCCCAGGCCTCGACGGCGAAGCCCCGCGCCGAGAACGAATCGGCGAGGTCATTGTTGTCGTTCTTTGCGTCGTCGGCGGTCCCACGCTCGCGGCCGAACTTGACCGCGACGCCGGGCGCCGCGGGGGCCGCCCGCGCCGCGGCCCGCAGAGCTCGGCAGTCCGCGACGCCGACGCCGCGCCCGCCGAAGAGGCAAAAGTAGCCGCCGATCGCGACGTCCAGCTGGCACGCGACGGCGAGCGCCGCCGCGCCGCCGCCGTCGAAGCCGCCGACGAAGACGCGGTCCGCGGCGATGCCGTCCTCGTCGACGGCGCGCCGGACCGCGGCCGTCGCCGCCGCGGCGAGCGCCTCCGTGTCGGCGGTCAGCGCCGGCGGGCGCGCGGGCGCGTCGTCGTCGTCGTCCGACGTCGGCGGCGACGCCGGCCGGAGCAGCGGCGCCCCGGCGCCGCGCGATCGCGTCTGCGGCGCCGCCGGGTAGACCACGGAGCACCCCTGCCGCGCCAGCTCGACGTCGAAGTGGAAGGGGCTGCCGTAGCTGTTGAATTCGACCTGGCACCCCCCTGCCGTGTCATTATCGCGGTGCAGCACCACGACGCGCGCCCGGGGCCGCGACGCTTCGTCTTCGAGGAATTCGTGGTTCGTGCGTTCGTCTTCCATGTTTGATTGCTTTTGGCTAGGTGTTGGGGCAGCCAGATGGGGCAGCCCCTCGATGTCCAAAAGTTGCGCGCGAGAAGTCCGAAACTTTGAACCAGGTTTCCTCGTCCAAAGTGCTTTACTTTGATTCCCTGCATGGAGATCGCTAGCTCTTTCTAGCCGGCTCCTCCGACCGGGTCTGCTACGCGGCGATCGTCGGCCGGACCTGGGTACTGATGACCCGGGTCGAATTCGTCGCGACTAGAGTCCGAGCACGCCGCGGCCCTCCTCAAGAATCCCCTGTCACCACCGCACGTTCGCACGAAGGACTTGAGATCAACGCCGCCTCGTCGGCGGCCGCGTGCCCGGACTTCGCCAACACGGCCAGCCACGCCGTCGACGCTTCGCGCTTCTACGACCGCCAGTAAGCCTACGTATCCGCTCGCCCCGCTCCGCCCACAAAACCCGAATTGGCACTTTTGCAAAACGCACACAGGGACGCCGACTGCGACGCGATCGCATAGCCAGCGCTCGCAAAAGCAGCACGAGGGACCTCTTACAGCACGCCTGAACCGCTCCGTAACTCCTAATCGCATCACTGCTGCGAATATGATTTTTAAAGGGATGAGCATGCACAGCCGACGACGGTAGCAGAGCGCAGCGATGCTCGCGGCGGACAAGCTCCTCCTCGAGAGCCGCATCGCTCGCGGCGCGGTCCAGCTCAAGTGGAAGGAGTTCGGGCTGCACCACCTGAACTTGACGACGGTCGGCACGCAAGCGGCGGTCATGGCGGGCTTTTCGATCACGGCGCTCATCGAGTTCGCGCCGTCGCCGGACGCGAACCGCGCGCTGCTGTTTCTGTTCTGGACCTCGAACATGGTGTCGCTGGCCTGCAACATCCTCTGCGTCGCGACGACGACGATGCTGAGCGTGTACGGCTCGTCGCTGTCGACGCGCGGCGCCGACGGGTCCATGGTCCGCGCCGTCGACGGCCTCTACGCGCTGCGACGACGGGTCTTCGCGCTCTTCTGGGCGGGCGTCGTCTCGGTCCTCGTCGCGTCCGTGTTTGGCATCTGGATCCTCTTCGGCGGGCCCGAGGCGACGTTCCTCACCGTGGTGCTCGTCGCGACGATCGCCGCGCTCATTCGCGCCAAAATTCACGTCGCGTCGCTCTTTCGCTTCGCCAAGGACGAAGCGACCGCGCTCGGCGACCTCCGAAGGGTCGCTGGGCCGCGCGTGTAGTGCTAATTTAAAAATAGTGGTAGATATTCTATTCGACACACAACTACTATTTTACTCCTCATCCTCGCGCATCAGCGCCTCGGCGCGCCGCCGGAACGTGGCGAACTCGAAGCGGTCCGCCACATGTGCCGAAGACGTGGTGGTATAACAATCGACACACAACTACTATTTTAGACCGTCGTCACGCATCAGCGCTTCGGCGCGCCGCCGGAACGTGGTGAACTCAAAGCGGTCCGCCATGGCGAGGACGTTGTCCCAGGCGAACGGGTCGAAGGCGAGCGGCGGCAGCGGCACGTCTTCCCGCAGCATCACGAGGCGCCGGTCGCGACGGAGCGCCTCGCCGTCGCACGCGGCGATGGCGGCCCTCGCGCGCTTCGGCACCGCGTCCGAGTCCGGCGCCCCGGCCAGGATCGCGTCGAGGTCGCCGAAGGCCTCGATCAGTGCGACCTGTGGGACATCAATTCTGGGCACGTCGATCCAGTAGAGAGCAGAGCACCGCGAAATTTGATTTGCGCACTGAACGCGACCGCGGACTTGGGCCCGCAGCCGCGGACGCCCGCGACGTTGTCCGACGCGTCGCCGACGAGCGCGAGGTAGTCGCCGATGCGGCCCGGCGGGACGCCGAACTTCTTCGCCGCGTCGACCGGGTCCCCCTGCGGGTCCAAGATGCGCACGCCGTCGTACGCCGCGAGCTGCAGCAAGTCCTTGTCGCCGGTCAGCACGTCGACGCCCTCGCCGCGATGTCGCGCCGCGAGCGTCGCGATCACGTCGTCGGCTTCGTAGCCGTCGACGCACACGACCGCCGCCGAGAACGCGCGCGCGACGGCCGCCGCGTCGGCGACCTGGGGCCGCAGTTCCGGCGGCATCTTCGGCCGAGTTTCCTTGTAGCTCGCGCACCTGTGTGGAAATCAAATTCCAAGCGCGCCCCACGCGTTGGCGCGATGTTGTGCCCATCACTGCGTCTGTTTCCACGCCACCGACGCGGTTCTCCACGTAACCGCGTCTGCTCGATGGCGTGAAGGTTGGCAAAGGTCTCTCGCAATAATTCTCAGTAACCTAACTCACCGGTTGATTTCCACGCAGTCGCAAACAGCTCCTCGCGCCAGCCGGGGCCCTTTGGGTCGAGGCAGAAGACGACGCGCGAGTAGGGCAGCGCGAGCTTGAGGAACGTGTTGGCCACGCCCATGACCGCGCCCACCGGTCGGTCGCCCGACCGGCTGAGCTGCGGCATCGCGTAGAAGGCGCGATAAATCAAGTTATGACCGTCAACAAGCAGGTACCGCGCGCCTGCCCGCTGGCTCAGGGCGCGGCACTGCGTCACCGTCGTCAGGAGTGCGGCGGTGCGCGGCAGCAGCGCCATTTTATATCGTCTAGTCGTCGGTTCGCTGCGAACGCGTGCAGTGGGTGCCGTAGTCGTGCGAATTAGAGTGATAGGGCCCCTCTCGCTGCGTACCCAAACCTGGCCGCGGCCTGTGAGCAGCGTGACTAGCGTACTGTGACACTAGCCACAAAAGCCCTCGGCGCGCCAGAGGATTTTTAAATTGAGGGACGTTTGGAGCACGCGAGGAGGAGTTAAGCGACATCGCAGCCACCCCGCTCACCGAGTATCTGCTGGAGGCCCGCTCCCTAGCGCAACAGCAGCAAAAAAAAAAGAGTTTCGGCCCGATCCGACAAACCGGGCCAGCGCGCAAAGATAGTTCAGAAATGGCCTGCATAGACAAAGCGTCGTGCGGCAAGGAAAACGCATGTGACAACATCCAGATCGGCGACGTCGTCACCGTCAAGGAGACGCGCGGCCAGGGCGACGGCGGCGTCGGCGTCGTGCGCGCGATCAACGACGACGGCACGCTCCGCGTCAAGTACACCATCGGCGGCGGCACGGCGCGCGCCGTCGCGCGGGCCGACTGCCGGCCCGGCAGCCACGCGGGCGAGCACTACGAGAAGAAGCTGACCAAGTGGCGCGAGCGCGTCGACAGCTTCTTCGCGCGCGACGACGACGAGGCCGACGACGCCTTCGCGGCGCGCGTCGCCGTGCTGCGGCTCGACGACCTCGTCGACAAGAAGAGCCGCGAGCAGGCGCGCCCCCGGCGCGACGCAAAAATAGTTGAGAGTCGCCCTTCACCCCCTTTCGCACAGGTCGAGTACGTGCTCGACAAGGTGCTCGCGGAGCCGCGCCCCCCCATCCAGATCGCGTTCCTCCAGGGCGCCATCCCGCTCCAGACCGGCGCGTGCTTCGAGAAGCTGCTCGGCGCGCTCCGCGGGCCGCGCGGCGGCGGCGGCGGCGGCGGCGGCTTCACGGCGGCGGCGGGCCGCGGGAGCGGCGGCGCGCGGAAGAAGGAGCAGGTCGCCTGGCGGCGGACGGGGTCGTCGTGGCTCGGCCGGCGCGTCGTCCTCGAGCCGGCGGACGGCGCGGCGCCGGTCGCGGCGACGATCGACGGCTACCGGCCGCCGGCCGAGACCAAGGTCCGCCTCGACCCCCACGGGCCCTTCGTGCCGCTCTTCCGCGCGCGCTTCGACGACGCGGCGCTCGGCGTCCGCGCGGACCTCTACGAGGCGGACGTCGAGCACGCGGCGGCCGCGGCGCTCGCGGCGGGCCTCGCGGCGGCCGACGACGCGCAGCGCGCGGCGCCCCCGGCCGAGCGCTGCGCGCCGCGCATCTGGTCCGTGAACCTGGGCGAGCTCAGCTTCGGGCCGCTCGAGCTCGGCCGGCTCCGCGACTGCTTCGGCGACGCGCGCTGCGGCGTGACGCACGTCTTCCTCGAGTGCAACAACATCTGCTGCGTGCCCTACGACGCCGAGTCGGCCGCGGACGGCGCCGTGCGCGAGGCGGCGCGCGCCGTCGCCGCGCGCCGCCGCGCCGAGCGCCTGGACCTCCGCGGCGCGTGGAAGGACCTCTTCCGCGACCTCGTGCGGGCGAACCGCGCGAAGCACGACCTCTACCTGCTGCGCGACGGCGACGCGGACCAGAACGCCGTGGCGCGCGCCCCGCGTCCTTGATGACCGTCCGACGCGCGTCACGCTCGCGTCGCGCAGGTGCTCCAGTCCGTCAAGAACTGGTTCAACCCCACGGGCCACGGCGCCAACAAGGCCTGGCTCGCGCGCCAGAAGGACGGCGGCGGCGCCGACGCCGGCGCGGCGCTCCTGGCGGCCGTCGCGACGCGGCACCGCCGCAAGGAGGAGCGCCGCGCGGCGCCGGGCGACCGCGTCCGCGTCCTCCAGGCCGGCGGTGCCTGGGCGCGCGGCGTCGTCGCGCCGCTCGCGCCGACCGAGGCGCCGGCCGAAGGCGCCGGCGCGGCCGCTGAAGGCGCGTCCGACGCGCCGGCCGAAGGCGATGCCGCACCGCCGACGCTCTTCAGCGTCGCGCTCGACGCCACGCCGACGTTGCTCGCCGGCCAGCGGCTCGACGCCTCGACGTTCGGCGCGACGTGGCGCTGGGACGACGAGCCCGAGCGCGGCGACGTCGTCGAGTACGACCTCTCGCACCACGCGGGCGTCTCGTCCACGGGCCGCCGCGCGCCGCCGTTCCTCGTCGCGCGCGACGGCCTCCGGCGCTGCGTCGTCGTCGGCGCGCGCTGCGCCGGCTACGACGGGTGGCGGACCTGCGGCTTCGTCGACGCGGGCGCCGCGCGCCGGTCGCAGAGCCGCGTGCTGCGCCTGCCGCCGCTCGACACGCAGGGCCTCGCGCGGCCCGTCTGGCGGTTCCAGCACGCGGCGGGCACGACGGGCGCGGCGGCCGCCGCCGCCTACGTCCGCGGCCGCCGCCGCGCCGCCGCGGCGACCGCGACGCCGACGCCGGCGCCGGGCCTGCGCGTCGTCTGCCGCGTCGACGGCGTCGACCGCGCGGGCGTCGTCGAGCGCGTCGGTCTCGCGGCCTGCCGGTACGCGAGCCCCGAGGCGCCGCCCGCGCCCGCGCCGGTGGAGCCGGAGCCCGCGGAGCCCGCGGAGCCCGCGGAGCCCGCGGAGCCCGCGCCCGCGCCGAAGCGGGCGCGGACACAGGTGCCGCGCGACGCGCGAGTCGGCCGGTGGGTCGAAGTCTACTGGGCCGGCGACGGCGAGTGGTTCCTCGGCCGCGTCGCCGGCCAGCGCGAGGGCAAGCTCAAGATCGCCTACACGGACGGCGAGGCGCTCTACCAAGTGTTGCAGGACGAGCCGTTCGCCGGCGACGGCGACCCGCCGGCGCCCGCCGACGGCGAGCCCGAGCACTTTCGCTTCGCCGAGGCGCCGCCGCCGCCGCCGCCGCCCCCGCCGCCCGCGCCCAAGCCCAAGGCCGCGCCGACGGACTCCAGCAAGCTCGCCAAGCACGACGTCATCGCCGTCCGCGGCGAACGCGCGACGGTCCTCGGCAAGCGCGTGCTCCTCGAAGACTCGAGCAGCGACGACGACGCGCCGGCGCCGGCACCGGCGCGCGGCCGCCGCGAGCGCAAAAAGCCCGACGCGTTCGCGGCCGGCGTGTCGTCGTCCGAGTACACGCGCCAGCTGCGCGAAGCGGCCGAGAAGCGCGCCGCCGCCGCGCTCGCTGCGACCCACCACGAGCTCGAGTTCGCCGACGGCCGCAAGGAGCACGTGAAGCTGTCGCGCCGCGCCGGCGACGACGCCGGCGACGACGCGGGCGCGCCCTGGACGTTCGTCGAGCGCAAGGAGCGCAAGGCGCCGGCGCCGAAGAAGCCCAAGGCGGCCCCGAAGCGCAAGGCCGCGGCCCGCAAGCCGCCGGCGGCCAAGAAAGCGAAGACGCCCGCCGACGAGGCGAAGCCGCCGCGCCGCCGCGCGCCGCCGCCGCCGCCGCCGCCGCGCGTCGACCGGCCGCGCCGCGACAGACAGCGCGTCAAAAACGGGACGGACGACCTGTCGTCGACGGAGCTGACGCGCCTGCTGCGCGAGCAAGCGCGAACCAAGGCGGAGACTTGCGACGTGTTACTGGACGAAGCGGACGGCCGCCCGTCGCGCGGCGTGCGGCTGCGCCTCGGTGCGAAAGCCTTTGAGGAGGGTTTGTGGCGGCCCGAGACGGGCTCGCAGCGCGCCGACGGCGCGCCGTTCGTCATGCAGACGGAATCCTGGGAGGCCGCCGCGATCGCGCGCCGGGGCGGCGACGCCGCGACGCGCGGCCGGCTCCGGGCCAAGTACAAGGGCGTCGTGTTCCGCGACACGGACGCCACGTTCGACGAGGTCCGCGTCGTCGAGGACGTCGTCGCGTCCGGCGACGGCGACTACTGGGAGCTGTCGACGCAGTTGGTCGACGGGGGCGACGACGAGCCCCCGCTGCCCTACGGCATCGCCGCTCTCATGCCCATGGTCGCGGCCGCGCCGGCGAACATGCAGACGCGGGAGGTCGTCTTCGAGATCCCCAAGAAGTGAGTCGCATTCTTCCCCCAGTATCCCCATCGACACGTCGTAGAGCCTAAGCTCACAAGCTCGACAGTGTCTAGATTTTTACTCGTGCGTTCATTTATCTCCGGGGCTCGTTTGAGAGGGTCCGATTGCGTGGCTCGGACATATCTACAACCGCCAGAGCCATGCGAGCGAAGACCTAAGAATAAGATGGTAGTAGAGAATGAGAGGTATGTAGACATTCGCGGACCTAGGGGTCACGGTTGTTAAGTGTGTCGGTATATATTGTTCGGCTACGATATATATATATATATATATAATTATTATAATCATCGGCGACGCCGACGCCTCTGTAGACGCCGAACGCCACAATTTATATATGTCACAACAACCGACACGTATTGTACTAAGGTAGGGAGAGGTCGATTGGGTGAGTATATTTTCTTCCCTTTCTGATTACCGGACTCCAAGTGACCAAGATAAGCTGATCTTGACAGTCTAAGCTTGTCTATAGTGAATTGCGGATCAACGAACCTAGCAATGTTGTCTTCCTTGACAATCGTGTTCAGACCCCGTGGTACTAAAGTACGGAGAGAGGTTGTGCTCATACGCGTTCTTAATAGTCTAGGAGGGAATAAGGACTACTAGGATAGGGATAGGGGTATTTTTCTAGCATTAAGCTACGTTCGGGGCGCCGCGCGCGGCCGACGCGCCGCCCCCGCCCCCGCCCGGCCGCGCGCCACCCGCGCCCGAGACCGCGCCGGCGCGCGCGCGGAGCCCCCCCGCGGCGCCGCGCGCGTCGGCGCCGGCGCTGCCCCCACGCACATCGCGCGCTGTCGGACGTAGCCACAGGTTACGAGGAACCGCGCCACGGATGCATCCTTGCAGAGCTGCTCGACTTGCCAGGGGAGCATGGCGGTCTCGTGCGACTGGCCGAGCGTCGCGGAGATGTGGTGCGGTCGTGGAGATGCGCCGGGCGTCGCCACCACCCACGAGGCGTTGGCGACCGTCGCCCTAATAGTGCCCCTGGTAGCCTCGTCCACGGCGCAGTCGAGCGCCTCTTCCAGGACGTCCAAGATGCCCATCGGGCGCGCGTTGAAGTGCTCGTAGCGGAAGGTCCAGCGGTTCGTGGCGTTCCTACAGCCCGACCGCACGAGGTCGTCCGCGCCCCATACCCCGAAGTGCTCGATCGCCTGCGTGAGCTCGCCCACCGACACATTCGCTGGCGTCGCCCGTGTCACCGGGGACCGCAGCAGCGCATAAGACATGATGGAGTCGAAGGGGTCCCGCGTCGTCGACACGGTGACGGTCTCGTGGTGGGCGTCATGGGCCCGCGGGTTATTGCGACCTGTGTCGTGTACGGGACCGTTCGTTTCGGCTCAAACTCGCGGACATACGTGGAAAATCGAGCGGTCGACGTTCCGCGAAAAAAGGCTCGGTCCTCGGCGCCGCGGCCCACGCCCGCGCTCCATGCCCTTCTTTCGGTGCGACTTCTCCACGGAGCAGCCCGGGAACGCCTTCGTCAGCATGTTGTAGGTCATCGTGCTGCCCGTGCGAGTCGGGCTCTGCTGCACGATGGCGCCCAGGGGCTTGCCGCCGGCGAGCCGCAGCGGGCAGCCGCAGCGGCGGGTCGGCGCGCCGCGGTCGGCCGCAGCGCCCGCCGCGGCCGCCGCGGCCACAAGTAGGAAAGAGGCGGCCCGCGTCATCGCGCGGACTGCCCTGCGGAAGTTTGAATCTTCGTTTTTTTTAGCTGCTCACTGTGATGTAAGAGGTGCTTCCCAGGCAGCAATTTTGTAACGCAGAGTGGTGCAGCTCTTTTTGCACCGATGTATCTACGCAGCTGTGTAGTGATGCAAGTCTGTCTCCGCTGCTGCAATCCAAGCGAATCCAGCTGTACCGGCGTCCCAAAAAAAAATGGCCCGGCCAAATCGACAGCTAGCGGCATGTAAAGACACTAGCAAACTGGAACGTGCATGCAGCCGTTTGAGTATCGTTCCGTTCGCTACTGGTCCAAAGAGATCAATGGGACACTTCCTGGGGGCCGAAAAAATTAATTTTTTTAATTCGCGATATTGACGATCCCGCCATGACGGCCGCGCCGGTGGAATCCTGTCAATTCGTGGTCCTGAGGCCTCCCGGAGCTCGCTTAGGGTCGGTACCATACACGTGCAATCGCCTACACCGCATGCGTGGGCGCTTCCATCGGTAGATGCATATCAGTACAGGTCCTCAGCCAGCTGTCGGGCTTGAGGCCAAGTCCCCAAAGTTTTCGATCCAGAGCTCTCTGGGGAGCTCCAAGTACGGGCGCATGCGGCCCAGGCGACTACCCGACCCAAGACCTATCCCCGAGGGCGTCCGAGAGCCGATCTACATCCACAAAAAGTAAATAATTTGGGCCCGATGGCGCCCCGTTCCCGTCAAAAACGTCAATTACCCGAGGGCCCCCAGTAGTCGCCGTAGCGGTCTCGTTGGACCCCATACTACCCCAACGATAGTCAATTACGAGTATATGCCATCTACATTATAAGAAGGGTACTTTTTGCTGCCCACGCTCGGGACGTGAACATCTTTATCTGGAGCTCGCATAAGTCAGTCGATCATGAAACAAATGATCGCGTCAAGGTCCATGGTGATGGTACACGGGCTGATGGTCGCAGGTCCGGGTCCGGTGCCCCGATTTCACAAGATCCTGTGGTCGCGAGTCCGTCGACCCGCGCCGAGCATCTTGGGGTCTCGGAGCAATGTAGTAGGCAGTCAGGCCGGTTACCTGGCCCGTCCCATAACCGAAGCGCCTGAAACGCAATTTTATTTCATAACTCACCGGTCTAGGGCCTTTCCAGTGCCCCGCGTACGCACCGTCGTCCGCGGAGAACGGGCAAGTCGGTCGATCGTGAATAGAACAACGGCGTTATGGTCCATCTGGGTGGTGGCGTCGCTGATACTCGCGGGTCTAGGAGTTAATGCATTCTTCACATAAACGCGAGGTACCAAAGTCGCCGAATCCCGCGGCTCGTACGGATCAGGAGACTGGGCTCAGTAAATGTTGAGGCGGGCTGGATGGACTCTACCACTAACAAACGGATAAAAACGCACATAAACTCGGGAATTGTCTAGTAGAATTCTTCTCCCGCCCTCCGAGCGCGCGCCGTCGGCTCCGGTTCCGTCGATTGTGGATGAAAACTGGGCTGGAGTTGATATAATGTCTCATTTGGACGGTAGAATGCGCCTTCAATCGCTGGTCTACTTTGGAAACTCGTAAGACTCATCCGCGAATGTCACGGGCGGTGCCTTCCGGGAGGCGCGAGGGTATGTTCCCGGACCGCTACTCTCAAATATTTGGTCTCGGCGAACGACTAGGATGTATTCTGAATTTGAATCAATTTTTTGACGCTACAGAGGCGTATCTTTGAATTTGCTAGTATGTCGATTACGCTAGCTCATGTCGGACCCGGATAGGTCTACCGACTTCTGTCACAGGTCTCGTCGAACCCAAGAGGATTTTCGTACCCGTCATTTGGGGCCGTCGAACCCGGCGTGGGCGGACCTGGCTTGGAGCCCCAGTACGCTGTCTGAGCCTCACACCTCCCCTGGGGATCTCAGAGTACAGGCGGAAGATCTTATTGCCAATGCTGTGATCGCGCGCCCAGACAAGAGGAATGGTCTCGGTGAACGACTATGATGATTTCTGAATCTGGGAGCTCAGTCCTTTGAATGATCTCGGTGAACGACTATGGTGAATTTTGAACTTGGGAGGATCTGCAAATTGCGGGGTGGAATTATATTCATGCAACAGATTATTACGAAGCTGATCGCGCCATTGCGCCCGCAGCTGCGTCGGTAGGCGTCGCCTCCGCGGCAGGCGGTGCGGCGGGCGCGGCTGCGGGCGCGGGCGGCGGCGAAGACGGCAACACAGCGGCGGGATCGTCGAGCGTCCGCGCATTCAATTCCGGCGTCGGGGTCTCCGACGACGCGTCCGGGGCCTCGGGGGCCTCGGAGGCCTCGGGCGGCGGCGACGCGGCGCGCGGCTGCCTCCGCGGCCGCCGCGGCGCAATCGGCGGCGCGTCGGTCTCCTCGGCGGTGTCGCGCCAGACCAGCGGCCTCGGCTCGCGCGCGCGCGTCTGGATCGGCTTCCGCGCGTCCGAGGCGAGTCGCGGCCGCTTGAACGCCTCGGACGGCTCCAACGGCGACGAGGGCTCCCCGTCGCCCGACGAGCCCTCGTCGTCGTCGCTTTTGCCTGACGGTGATGCGTCGTCGTCGTCACGGGCTGCCGCCGCGCCGTCGGCGCGCTTCGACATGATGATGGAATGGGGCAGCTGCTGCGCTGCCCTCGCGGCAGCCTTCCAGCCTTCGCGGAGCCGGGTTTGCAAGTCGCCGTCTGCCGTCACAGGCGCATCAGCGCGGCTGCTTGGGGCAGCATGTAACGCGGAAGAGAGATGCAGAGAGAGGCCTGGGCCACACCCAAAAGTTGAATCTCTCTTGAAATTTTAATCTACGTATGGGCCCGCAGAAGCGTCCATAATAACAATGGTCGAAGCACAAGCCCCGGAATCCTCGCGGTAGGTTGGTTTTGTTTGTCTCACCCACAACGAAGGGCCGCACGCGGGTGGGTGGTGTCCTCTCCTCCGATCTCGTGGCGAGGGCTTCCTGCGGCAGCCCGGGAAGCCTCCGCTGACGCTTCCCTGGGGACTTTAAAACCCCTGAGGTGAGGGCCGCTAGCGGCGTGTAAGACACTAGGGATGCCTAGCATTTGCCAGAGGCCAAGCAGGCATCCAAGCGAGGCGGACTCATCGCTAGCTATTACGCCGGCAGATCCTCGTCGCACGGTTGGTGTTGGCACGACGAACAGCTCTCGCTGCCGCCCCGGCACCGCTTTTGTCCCCGTGGCCTCACCGAGCCGCGCAAAGCGGTCGGCTCGTGGTGGAGTTGAGTTCTGTTGGCGTGAGGAACGTCCTGACATTACGCGCAAAAGCAGCGCAAGCGCCCAACACGTGACTGCAGACGCATCACCGCCAGTCAACCATCGCTGCCAGCAGCCAAGTCGCGACGGACGCCTGGTCCCAAAATTCACAAATCGCAAGCATTCCTCCATCTATCACGATTCTAACGCGAGGAGACTAGCCCTCCCAAATTAGAGCACAAAAAAAAACCAAATGCCTAGACCGCGCAAGAACGCCGGCTGGTCGCTCGCGAAGAAGACGTTCCTGAAGAAAAAAAAGAAGCGGACGCCGCCGCCGCGCGCGAGCTCCGACGACGACTCCGACGACGAGGACTTCGCGCGGCGCCTCGCGGCAGCGCGCGCGGCGCGCGAGCAGCAGCAGCAGCATCCCGACGCCAGCAGCAGCGACGACGAGGCCTGGCAGGACGCGCGGCGGCGGGCGGGCGCGGCGCCGGCCGCCGCGTCGCCGCCGCCCGCGCGCGGTCCGCCCGCGCGCGCGCGCCTCGCCGCGGCGGGCCCGACGACCTGGGCCGAGGCCGAGCCCCTGGACCGCGACTGGGGCCGCGGCGACGGCGTCGGGGACGGCGGGCTGCTCTGGGACGACGACGCCGAGGGGCCGGCGGCCGACGACCCGCTGGGCCTGGGCCTGCGCGGCGGCGGCGCCGCGGCGGCCGACTTCGACGCCTGCGCCTACGTGCGGGACGTCTGCGGCGACGCCGCGTTCGGCGAGCTCCGGGCGGGGCGGCGCGCGCTCGGCGGGCGCCTCGGCGAGGAGGAGCGGCGGCGGCGCGGCGCCGTCCGCGAGAACCTCCAGCAGTTCCTCCGCGCGGCCGCGCGCCTCGAGCGCTTCGCGCGCGCCCTCGAGCGCCTCGGCGGGCGGGGCGTCCGCGAGAACGCGTCGAAGCCGTCGGCGATCGTCGAGACGGCGCGCCGGCGCGTCGCGCGGCGCTTCGGGGCGCTCTGTAAGTAGGTTTTGTGAATCTTTATCACGTACCCGCCACCCCCTGCAGCCGGGCGATCTCGCGGTCCTTGCGCGCGAGCTCGGCGAGGGCCGTGTTGAACAGCACCGATATGTTCCGCTCGAGGATCTCGTTGGCCTGGCGCAGCTGCGCCGCCTCGGCCCGCGCGCGCGAGAGCTCGCCGTCCGCGGTGGCGGCCGACGCCTCGGCGCGCGAGAGGTCGGCGCGCAGCCGGGCGACCTCGGCCGACGCGACGCCGGCGTCGAGGTCGCCGTAGAGGTCGTCTTCCATTATTCTTTTTCGTTTGTGTGTCTCCTCCGGCGACGCCTCTCGACGGCGTTTTGCGCGCGCGCCGCTAAGCTGCGCACCAAAGCTGAGGCCGCACCTCGACCGCAGTGATGCGAATGCAGCGATTAAAGCTGGCCGAACGTGTGCGGTGATGGTCAGAGGCGTGAATGCCGCGCAGGAGCGCCTTTGCGGGCAATTTCCGCGCTGCTCGACGCGCCTTATGCTGCTAAAAATGGCACATACCGCAGTACTTTTTTGTACCAGCAAGTACCTACGGTACCGGTACCAGCAAGTCTCGTCTTTCGCAACCGCTCGTTAGCGGGCGAGGGGGTTAGGCTATAACAACACACACACACCTATTGGAGGTATCGGCAGCTTGGCAGTCTTTCGTTAGTCGAGGCTGGGCAGCCAGATCTTAAGAGCAGCCCTCTTTTGGGGCAGCTTCCGACGGAGAGACGGCTATAGGGAAGACCAGGTTGGTGAAGGAAGCATGGCTGGCTCGTACGGCTGCTGGCGTGACCTAGAGGTCGGTGGGCCCGCGGTCTGGCTCGGCGTAGAAATTGAAGCTCACGTTGACGCGTCGTCTCGACGCCGTCGACGCGGCCGCATGCACCGAGGCAGTTACGCGACGGCGTCATTCCGCGCAGGCTCCCTTGGAGTTCAAAGGGGCTTCTGCCGCGTTCGTCGGGACCCGGTGTTTCATCTTCGGGGGCTACGGCGGCGGCTTCTCGGACGAGACTCATTGTCTAGAATGCGCCGAGCCGCTGGCGCCCGAGTGGAGCGTCTTGCAGGAGACCAGCGACGAAAAGCCGCCGCGGCGCGCGCACCACACGACCTGGGCGCACGGCGGCGGCGTCTGGGTCTTCGGCGGAGCATCTTCTCGAGGATACTTGAACGACGTCTGGCGCCTCACTCTCGAGGGGGGGAAGCACCCAAGAGGACGATGGCGCGAGTGCGCCTGCGTCGGCGAGAAGCCCGTCCCCCGCGAAGGGCACACAGGCGTCCAGATCGGGACGTCTTTGGTCGTTGTTGGGGGATACGACGGCGTCAGCTGGCGAAGTGATAGCTATGCTTTAAACCTTGATACGCTGGTCTGGTGGCGCGTCGTGGACCAGGGCGCGCCGAACGCCATGATGGGGCGGAGCGGCGGGGCGCGGTGTGGAAATCGACCAGTGAGTGCGCGACGCGACTAAATCTTGATCTCGCAGGCCACGCCGCGACGAAGGCGCCCGGCGAGTGGGACGCCATTTTCATCTTCGGGGGCTACGGGGCGGACGGTTGCATTCCTTCGCACTCTTTCGTGGCGTGCCTGGAAGTGGACGAGCACCGCGGGACGGGATCCTGGATCCCTACGAAACCGCAGGGCGTCACGCCGTCGGATCGCTACGGGCTCTCGGCCGTCACGAACGGGCACGGTATTTACATCTTCGGTGGCACCGGGCCCGCGGAAGACACGCGCGCCGCGGCGGCTCCGGATCGGGGAGCCGTGTGCCACAACGACTGTGCCATCCTCAGCCTGCAACAACCGCATCGCCCCGTCTGGCGTCGAGATCGCCACGGCCACGGCTTCCCGGGCGAGCCCCCCTTGCCGCGCCACGGCCACGCGAGTGCGATCAAGGGCAGGGACGTCTTCATCGTCGGCGGCTCGACGTCAGGCTCCTACTGCAAGAAGGACCCGGCGCCGCGTCTCCTGAACGACGTCCACCTCCTCACGCTCTCCGCGACGGCGAAGAGCTAGGCGCTCCTCCCCACGCGTTTTGTATGTTCAAGTTGTTTACTAGTAAACTTTCAGTGACAAAAAAAAATACCTCCGAGTCCGAGTCAGGCCCCCGGGCTGGATACTAGTACTAGTGAATTAAAAAACGAGCCTAAGGAAGGAAGGAAGGAAGGAAGGACGCCGGAGGAACGCCGGACTCGGAGGAGGAATGGAGGAGACAAATGTATAAAGCACCACTACACATGTTTACTTCTTCATGAGCGCCACGATGACGTCGCGGTCTTCGGACGCGAAGAGCAGCGTCCAGGGCCGGCCGTCCCCCGGCGCGCGCGCGGCGACGCGGAACGCGTCGCCGTCCGCGGCCGCCGCGACGCCGTCGACGCGCCACGCGTCGCGCCACTCGAGCTTGCCGGACCGCCGGCGGCCCGCCGTCGCGCGCACGAGCAGCGCGCCGCGCGGGCCCGAGAAGAACCAGAGGAACGCGTCGCGGCGCGCGCCGTCGGCCGCGCCGCCGTCGGCGCGCGCGCCGGGCGCCTCGCCGAGGCACGTCGCCGGCCCCTTGAAGCGCAGCTTCCACTCGGCGCCGCGCCGGCCCAGCGCGCCGGCGAGCTTGGCCTTCCACTCGACGAGGGCCGCGCGGTCGCCGCCGAGCGAGTAGACGTGGCCGCGGCTCCAGTCGCGCGGGTCCGCGCAGACGACGCGCAGCAGCAGCGCGCGGTCGAGGGCCTGGTCGCCCTGCGCCGCCGTGAGCGACCGGCGCTTCGCGAAGACGAGCTTCTTGGCGTCGATGCCGCCGAGCGCCGCGTCGCCGCCGCCGTCGAGCACCTCGACGTCCTCGACGTGCAGCACGCGGAGGAAGCGCCGGAAGGCGAGGCGGCCGCGCGCGTCGGGCGCGGACGCGTGCAGGAGCTCCGCGCCGGCGCTCGTCTCGAAGAGCGCGAAGTAGTCGGGCCGCACCGTCGCGTTGCCGACCTTGGCGAGCTCGCCCTCGTGCGCGAGGCGCCGGCCCGCCGCCGCGACGGCGCAGCCCGGCGGCGCGCCGTCGAGCAGCCGCGCGAGCGCCTCGGCGCGGCGGCGCGCCGCGTGCGCGCCTGCGCGGGAACCCGACCGGTGAGATACGCTTCGAACGTGATGTGTCCTCGCGGGCACGCGCCGGCGACGGCGTCGCAGGCGTCGAGCGTCGCGAGCCAGCGCTTCTCGGCGCGCGCGAGCGCGGCCGCGTCGACGTGCCGCGCGTCCGTCGCGCCGCGCAGCCGCTTCAGGAAGAGGAGCTGCCGCGCGAGCCGCTGCGTCGGCGCGATCAGCAGCGTCTCCGCGCCTGCGCGGGAGGTCCGAGTCAAGGTGTAGGCGTTCCGTTGGAGTGCCGCGCCGGGCCGCGCGGCCGTCGCCGCACCGCTCGTCGGCCTCGGCGCGCCGCACGAACGCGCGCGCGCCCGCCGACGCCTCCGTGAGCCGCCGCAGCTCCGACGCCGCGCGCTCGTGCCAGTCGTACCACGAGCACATGGCCTCGAGCACCTTGGGCGCCGCGGCCTCGAAGACCTCGCCGACGCGCTCCGTGCCGCCGTCGGCCGTCCGCGCCGCGAGCTGCGCGATAAGCGCGTCCGAGATGGCCAGCAGCGCCGCGGCGGGCAGCGGGTCCAGCGCCGCGTGGAGCGCCCGCGCGACCTCGGCGCCCGGCAGCGCGCGCGCGTCCGCGGCGTCGGCCGGCGCCGGCCCGCCCGCGCACGCCCACGCCAGCGGCCGCTGGAGCCGCTCGACGACGCAGGCCAGCTGGTCCCGGTAGACGCGCTCCGTCGCGAGCAGCTCCTTGAGGCTGTGCGCGCGCTCGCGGCGCTTCGCCGCGTCGTCGCCGTTGTTTGTCTCTCCCGACGCGTCGCCCGGCGCGCCGGCGCCGAGCAGGAGCCCGAAGTTCAGGTCCGCGTCGGCTGCCGTCCAGGCGTCCGCCAGCCCGCCTGGCGCGAACGGGTTGCTCGGCGGCGCCGCCCTCGCGTCCGCGCCCAGCCCCGCAAACGGATTGTCCGGCGGCGCCCCGGGCGTCGCGTCCGCGCCCGGCGCGAACGGGTCGTTCGGCCGCGGCGGCGCGCCCGGCGCGAAGGGATCGTTTGATCGTGGCGGTGCGCCGTGCCTCGCTCCCGGCGCGAAGGGATCGTTTGATCGTGGCGGCGCGCCGGGCCTCGCGTCCGCGCCCGGCGCGAAGGGATCGTTTGATCGTGGCGGCGCACCGGGCCTCGCGTCCGTGCCCGGCGCGAAGGGATCGTTTGATCGTGGCGACGCGCCGAGCCTCGGGTCCGCGTCGGCGCCCAGCCCCGCGAACGGATTTCCCGGCCGCCGCGGCGCCGGCGGCGGCCGCCGCGCTATGGGCGACGGCGGCGACGCCAGCGTCGTCGCCAGCGTCGGCGGCGCGACGATTGATGGCGGCGCGACGATGGGCGACGCCATCATCGACGTCGGCGCCAGCATCGCGGGCGGCGCCAGCACCGGCGGCGGATAGCCGGTCGACATGGGCGCCGCGCGCGCGCGCGTCGGCGCGGCGGCGCGCATCGGTGGCGGCGCGAAGGGATTCGCCGGCAGCTGCGCCGCGGGCCGCGCGGGCGGCGCGGCCGGCAGCGCCTCGTAGAGCGAGTCGGCGTCGGCGAAGGGGTCCGCGGGGCGCGCGGAGCCGTTGCTGCTCGCGAACGGGTCCGCCGTGCGCGCGCTGCTGCCCGCGCGAAACGGGTTCGCGTTCGCGCCCGCCGGCGGCGCGCTGCGGACCGACGCCGGCCGCGGTGGCGCCGGCCGCGTTGTCGCGAACGCGTCCGCGACAAGCGTCGAAAACGCGTCGGGCGCCGCGGCCGCGGCGCGCGACCGCTGCTGCGGCTGCTGAGGCGGTGGCCTCCTCGGCTTTGCAGCTGGTGCGGAGCCGAACGCTGCAAGCGCGTCGCTGTTCTGGCGCCAGGCGCGATCGCTCATTTTAAACTGCACGTCAGCTACCAACTGCACACGGTGGGCTTGCCCAAGGCTATGAAATGCCGGTCTCAGCAGCTGAGGCAAAACCCGCAAGTTTTTGCAATTGTTATGTTGCCTTCGGGGGTGTTTGAAACTTCATTTTTACTCCTCCTCAGATGAAGATTTCTTCTGCGAGGGTGGTTTTCTATTCTCGACGCTCACGGCGCGCCGTTCGACGCCGCGCGCGGGAGTTGGGGCTCTGCCAGGCGTCAAAGCCACCGCAAGAGGAATCACACAGGGGCTCTAAGCTTCCTGATTCTGCCGGGCCGGGGCCCTTGGCACCATTGGCACTTCGAGTGCTTCAGAGCTTTTATTAATCAAGGCAACCTGTGGTCTCACAGGCGAACGCTGTTTGACGGTCGCTGTCGATTAGAATACTGTGAAACCTGCCTTCACGGACGCGCAGTTCAAGACGCGAGAGCGCGACCCTCACTAACCCAAGTTAGGCAAAGGCAGAGATATCCGGTTACTCGCACGCGACAAAAGGCCCATCATGGACGTCGACTCCGTCCGTCGGCGCCACCCGACCCCGGCCTCGCCAATCGTCTCGCGGCGGCCGGCGGCGATGCCCGTCACGCCCCGCTCGGGGGCCACGCCGACCGCGCCCCGCCAGATGCGTTTCGTGCCGGCCGCGGCGCCTCAAGTGACACCCGTGACGCCGCAAGCGACGCCGGCCTCGCCCATCATGGCGCCGCGCCGCTGGGGCATCAAGCAGTGCGCAAATTTCGCGGCGCCTTCACAGCTCGGACTCGACCAGGAGTCGACCTAGCCGTGCCGCGTTAACGTCGCCGAGAGCACCCTACTCACGAGTGGTCGACTCGTACACGCAGGCCTCAAGCCTCGCAAGCTCCCGAAGCTCCGGCTCAAGAAGCGGCCGGCGGCGCCCGCCTCCCCCGGTCCGCGCGTCCGCCAGGTCTCGATCGAAGACGATGCGGCGCCGACCGAGCCCTCGCTGCTCCTCGCGGCGGCCGCCGCGCCGATGCCGATCCCCAGCCGTCGCGAGGCCGGCATTGCGATGCAAGTTTCGGTGGACTCCGAGGACGAGGACGACTGGGGCCACTTCTCCTTCGAGGACGGCGACGCGCCCCCGTCGAGCCTCGAGAATTACCGGTGGAACTGATGACGACGACCGCCGCCCCCCTCACTTTTTGTCCCTTTCCCAAATTCCATCCACCATCGCTTGCAACACATAGTGTGCCTGCATCTAAGATTTCTGACTGTAGTGATACATCGTCCCTGCATCGGCTAACGACATCTGCATGACCATAGGGGCAGCACGAGTTCGACGCGTTCGACGCCGAGACGGACGCCGTAGATGTCTCGATCGTCTCGACTCGGCCCGATCCACGCGCCCTGAGTCCATCGGCACCCACACGGTATGGCATACCGATATCAGTATCGGTATCTGCACCAGTTCGCGCGTCTCACCTAGACAAACGTCTACTAGTACTACCTCTAGCATAGCGCACCCAACAACACGCCAACGGCGGGGAAATGCCACTCTTCGAACCTATGTTATATAAGAAGCGTGTCCCCCCTCTAGAGAGCGGCCTAGAAGAACTGCGCGAGCCACCGGAAGCCGTCCGCGTAGCCCATCTTGCGGATGACCGAGCACATGAAGAGCTCGATGGGCCTGATTTTGTTGTCGCCCTCCTCGGGCCGGCGGCCCGTGTCCTTGCCGTAGGTCTCGAAGAGGCCCAGGGCGTAGCGCAGGTCGTCCTCGCTCGCGGCGGAGTGCGCGTCGATCTTGTTGCCCAGCACGAGGAACCTGCGCGGAAACCAACCCGTGCGTCGGGTGCACGACGCGGCCCCGCCGCGCCGTCGAGCAGTCGTCGCGACGATTCAGCGCGAAGGCGTCGCGACGTTTTCTGCGCGGCGAGGCACGGCACCGACGCGAGCTCGTCGCAGGTCAGCAGGTAGTCGAGCTCCCGCTTCGCCTCGGAGAAGCGCTCCTTGTCGAGCGCGTCCACCATGTACACGACGCCGTCGACGGTCGTGAAGTAGTCCTTCCAGAGCCGCCGCGCCGTCTCGTGGCCGCCGAGGTCGAAGGTCTTGAACCGGATGTTGCCGATGATCAGCTCGTCCTGGTTCGGGTGCAGCGTCGGCTGGTGGATCTGCACGCGGTTCTCCTTGAGCATGTGCAGCAGCGTCGTCTTGCCCGCGTTGTCCAGGCCCAGGAAGAGGATCTTGGCGGACTTGTGGTACAGGCCCAGGTTCGCCAGGACGTTAAAGACCCAGTCGAAGAGCCACATGGTCGCCCGGGGTCGACGGCGGCTCCGACCGCGGACGCGTGGCGCTTAGCCTTTGGGTCGGCTTGCCGGACAGAGGTGCGTGGCGCAGCGGCGGCGACGCGCGAGCAACCAACGGCGTGTACTTATGCGTAGGAGTGACCACGCCTGCAATGTTGATGCGACGGCACCACCACTGGTCTATCGAAAAGTTGGGTAGGCCGGCGGCGACGCGATGAGACCCTAATTAGTCGTTTTAACCACAAGTACCAATCACACCTCAACCGCACGCATGCGTATCACAATTGACTGCTGGCGGTCCAGCTTGACACCGGGTTAAAGTACTGATACCCAACTGCTCGACGAGCAGACTTTGGCATCGGCGGCTGCCCCGGCGGACACCAGACCCAGACGCGAGTCGTAGCCGTGGGGAAAAACACGAGAGGACGACGGCTGTTTAGCGCTGCTCGTCAGTTAGGCCACTCGGCTGGGGAGCACCACTCAAAGCATACAGGGCAGGGTGGACAACGCCAGGCTGAAACAAAAGGATGGCCGCCCAGCAGGCCAACTTCCGCATGGAGCCCGGGAGCGACGCCATGAAGCAGCGCATGCAGGCGATGATGCGCTACAACCGGCTGCGCCAGGAGACGCGCGCCTCGAACGCGGTGCTCCAGGTCAAGCGCAAGCACCAGCGGCGCGAGGCCGTCGACCCGCGCGCCGACGAGACCTCGCTCGAGCGGCAGCAGATGCAGGACCGGTCGTACTACGAGTACGGCTGCGTGACCGACGGCCTGCGCGCGGACCTGGGCCTCGAGCGCTACCACGAGGACCTGGCGAACCATTCCGCGAGCGTGCAGGAGTCCGCCGCGCGGCCCATCGAGGAGGACCTGGAGGAGGGCGAGGACGACGACGAGCGGCGGCGCGAAAAGGCGCGGCGGCGGCGCAAGGCGGGCATGCGCGACATCCGCGTGCACCCCTTCGAGGTCGACGAGCTCGACCACCGGTGCTGCCGCGGCCAGATGCCGGGCTGGGACCCGTACCGCTACTCGCAGCAGATGCTCGAGACCGAGGCCGAGAACATGCGCCAGCTGCGCATGTCGGTCGCGGACAACAAGCAGACCAAAAAGCTCACGGGCACGTCGAAGATCACGCTCGACCTCCAGCGGCCCGGGCCGACGACGCTCACGCCCGTCGACTTCGCCAAGTACCTCGCGCGCTGCGAGGGGCTCACGCTCGCCGAGTGGTGCAAGGAGCAGGACGTGCGCACGGAGCGCGCGCTGGAGCGCGAGCGCTTCAAGATCACGGAGCGCGTCAAGCGCGCGGAGAAGGAGGCCGAGGACCCGCGGCCCGACCGGAAGCAGTTCCGCGACGCCGAGGTCGCGCTCGTCGCCAAGCGCTGCGGCGCCGGCGCGATGCGCAAGGCCCGCAACCGGCTGGGCAAGAGCATGAAGCCGTCGCGGCGCGCGCGCGACGCCAGCTCGGTGCTCGGCATGATGCTGCTGCGCTCCCAGGGCTTCGGCATGGTGCACCCGGAGCAGGACGTCTTCTGGATCGAGCACGAGCTCCTCATGGCCAAGGAGCGCATCGAGCCGCGCCGGGAGCGGCTCGTCGAGCTCGGCATCACGCACATCCTCAAGGCGCGCGCCCCGCGCCCGAATCATCCGTCGTCTCTTCCGCGATGTACGCACGACGCGCGCAGGTCGGCCCGGTCCTTTCGAACCAGCACCCCCAGGACTTCATCTACTGCCGCCTCTACGTCTCGGACAAGGAGACGGCGCGCCAGGACGACATCCGCCGCGAGTTCGGCATGGGCCTGGCGTTCGCGTCCGAGGCCCTGGACCTCGGCGGCCGCGTGCTCATCTGCTGCCCGACGGGCTGCCGCCTCGCCGTCGCGGCGACGGTCGCGCTGCTCATGCAGAAGCGCGGCATGCGGCTCTCGACGGCCTACGGCGTCGTGAAGCTCCACGAGCCGGCGCTGCAGCTCTCGCGCGCGCTCTGCCTCTGGCTCAGCCTCTACGAGATCGAGCTGCACCACGAGTCGTCCGTGGTGCGCGACCGCACGTTCACGAACCCGTCGCTCAAGCAGCTCGTCGGCGAGCTCGGGCTCGAGCCGGCGCTCCCGTGGCCGCTGCCGATCTACTTCCTCGTCGGCACGGTGGTCCTGCCGGACCCGTACGCGTTCTGGAACGGCCGGCCGCGGACCGACTTCCGGCCCTGGCGCAAGCGGTACTGCGCGCCCCGGCGCCGAACTTCCCGTTTTTGCTCGGGCTCAGCTTCGGTGTCCACCCAGGCTACTACTGCTGCTGCTACTGCGTCGACCCGGCCGCTATCTGCCGCGGCGCGGCGGCGCTCGCGCGGAAGCTCCGGCCGAAGAAAACCGAGGACGACGCCGTGTCGCACGCGTCCGTCGCGTCCGTCGACTTCGACGTCGGCACCTTCGCCTCGGCCTCGGTCGTGACGGAGCCGACGGTTGCGACGTCGGCGTCGGCGGGCGCTTTCATCGTCGACGAGCCGCGGTCGCCCGACCGCAGGGGCCGCCGCGGCCGCCGGGCCAAGAAGGCGAGCGCCGTCGCGGCGGCCGCCGCGCCCGCGCCCGCGGCGGCCGACGACGCGTCCGTCGCGTCCGAGCTCACCGTCGAAACCTTCGGCTCGCTCGCGACGCACGGCACCGCGGTCACGCAGGGCTCCACGGTCTCCCTGCGGTCCGCGCGGCCGCCCGCCGAGGGGCCCGCGGCGCCCGAGAAGCCGGGCTTCCTCGCGCGCGCGAGGCGGTTCTTTCGGCGGAAGTCCTGATGTAATGCTTGTTTTACTTGACCTGCTTTCCCGAGTTCGGCCCTCCGAGTCGGACTTCCGGTGGGCCGCGGCTAAACTGGCCTCTAGGAAAACACGAGCCGGCGCTTCACGTCCTGATGCAATCTCTGTTGAATCAACCTGCTTGGTTGGACCTCTAGAAAAATTACAAAAACCGGATTCAGGGCGTCGGCGGCGCCGGCGGGTACAGGTCCGGCGGCGGGCCGTCCGTGCGGAAAGGTGAGTTGGGCAGGTTCTTCGCGCTCTCGAGTATGCTGTCGACCTGGCTCTCCTCGGACGTCGGGAGCCCGCGCCGCCGCTGGCGCTGGTCGAACATGCACTTGCGGATGCCGGCCTGGGTCTTCTCGTCGTACTCGTCCATGCGCTTCGTCGAGTCGACCTTCTGGGCGTCGATCTGGTCGGCTTTGGGCGCGTCCTTGAAGACGGACCGCCACCAGGTTTCCTGCGTCTTCTCGAGCGTCAGCACGAGGCACGCGCGGTCGCGCCCGGGCCTGTCGAGCGTCCAGCACGACGCGCCCGCGTCGATGACGTCGTACCAGTTGCCCGCGAGGGACACCGCGCCGCCGGCGATGTCCAGCGTCAGCCCCCGCGCGGAGATCTTGCACGCCACGTCTTTCGCCTTCGTGGCGGCCGGGACGTCGATCGTGACCGTCGTCTCGTAGAGCGTCTGCGTCCAGGAGTGGGTCGCGGCGATGCCGCCGTTCCCGACGGGTATCTGGACGCCGTCGTCGGTGTAGCGCACGCCGTCGTAGCGGCCGTCGGCGCCGCGCGCGGCCGGCGCCGGCGCCGGCGCCGGCGCGCGCGCCTTCCTGTCGCGCGCGCGCTCGACGAGCGTCGCCTCGCAGCCGGCGCGGTGCGCCGCCGCGGACCGCTCCACGTTGCTGCCCTCGAGCGGCCGCGTCGGGTGCGCCATGAACGCCGCGCGGACCATGGCCTCCGCCTGCCCGGGCGCGAAGCCCGCGTCGTACGCCCGGCCCTTGACGCCGCCGTGCTCGATGTAAAAGTCCGTGCGCCGGTGCAGGAAGCCGAAGAACGACGTCAGCAGGGGCTGGATGCCGCCGGCCCGCTCGGCCGCGGCGAGGAAGATCTGGTCCAGCTCCTGCTCAGTGGGCATCGTTACGTTCCGGAAGCTGTTGAAGCGAGCACGCGCGAGCACGGCTGCCGACGTCTATCCTGAGCGCTGTGCGACTTCTATTTTGGGCAAAAAGTGCTTTTTGGTGATCTGCAGGCGCACTGCTTTCGGATTATTGCAGTTACGGCTTGTCGGTCGGTGATCTTTAGCAGTCGTGCGACTCTGCAGAACGCTGCTTGTGCATGAGCGTGCTGCCAAAGCTTTTTTTCGCAAAGAGCTCGCAAAACCCGCACTCGAAGCACACGCTGCCCACCTGTCCAAAAGGGCGTACCACGGCTTTCGACAAGCCCAATGTAATAGCCTCGTGCCCGGTAGGTACCACACTTGTATCATCCAAAAAGGTAGCGCTGGTCGAGACGCTCTCCGTGGGAGCGGCAGAGGACGCTGCCCATCTTGAGCGCCCCGTCGCGTCGTGGTGGTCTCATCGTCCGCCAGAGAGGGCCGGGCAATTCTGCACTTCGGAGAGAGTGCTCCAGAGGGGAGACTGGCTGCACTTCGGAGATAGTGCTACTTCTCGAGGGAGGCTGAGCAGTCGCACACTCATGGGGTCCTTCGCGCGGCCCAAGAACGGCGATCCCGAGGCCGGCAAGAAGCCCTTGCCGGAGCTTCGGCCCGGCGCGGTCGTGGCGAGCCCCCCGATGTGGAAGGGCAGCCCGGAGAAGCGCGCCCGCCTCGAGGCGCTCCGCCGAAAGTCGCTCGAGCCCGAAAAGGTCGCACGAGAGATCGCCGCGGCGCAGCGCGCCGCCGCCATGTCCACGCGGCGGCCGCGGCGGCCCGCGCCCGCGCCCGCGCCCGCGCCCCGCGGCTCGCGGCCGCCGTCGAGCGACGACGTGCCCCTGGACTGGCGCCTCCTGACGGCCTGCAAGGCCGTCGCCGACGCCGAGGAGGACGACCGGCGCAAGGCGGAAAACAAGCGCAAGGACGCGGAAGCGGCGCGCATCATCAACGCGCAGCTCAAGGAGAACGAGCGGGCCCGCGAGATTGAGCGCCAGCGCCGCGAGGCCGTGAAGCGCGAGGCGCAGGCCGACGCGCGGCGGGTGGCGGCCGCCGTGCGCGCCGAGAAGGTCGCCGCGCGCGAGAAGAAGGAGCGCGACCGCAAGATGTTCGACGAGCAGGCTAAGGCGTACGCGGCCCAGCGCGCGCGGCAGCGCGCCGCCGAGGAGGCCGCCGAGCGGGTCGAGGTCGACGCCGCGAAGGCGTCGCTCCTCGCGGAGGAGCGGAAGAACGCGCGGCTCAAGAAGAGCTTCCAGGCCGAGCAGGAGCGGCTCGCGCGGGAGATCATCGTCGCGCGCAAGCACAAGGAGGAGCAGAAGCTCGCCGAGTGGCGCGAGAACGCCCGCATCGACCGCGAGGCGCGCGAGGCGCAGGACGAGACGGAGCGGCGGCGCGCGATGGTCAAGGCGCAGCGGGACGCCCGGATCGCGCGGTGATGCTCCGCGCGGACATCGAACGCTTCGCTGCCCTTCGATCGTTTTACGGCCTCGCGGCGACGCCGTCGCGTCAACCGTCGACGAGTTGGTGTCTACGCACAGGTTCCAGTCGAACTTCGCGCAAGGCGCCGGCAAGGAGCAGGCCGACGCGGCGGCCGCCGAGGACGCCATGATTCGGCGCTACCTCGAGAAGCAGGCCCAGGCGATCGAGGATCGCCACCGCTCGGACCTCGCGAAGATAGCGGACACGAATGCCAAGATCAAGGCCGAAAACGACTCGCAGCTGGCACGAAAGGCGCGCGACCGCGCCGCCGCCGCGGCCGAGCGCCGCCGCGACTTCGAGCGCGTCCAGGCCGCGCAGCAGCGGCTCCGCGAGGAGACCGCGGCGGCCGCGCGCGACAAGCTCGCCAGGCAGCGGCGCTTCGTCGGCATCCTCCAGGAGCAGAGCCGCGCGGTCGCGCAACGGCGCGAGGCCGAGAAGGTCGTCATGACGGCGGCCGAGCGCTCGCTGAACGGGTCGATCATCGACACGTTCGCGAAGGCGTCGCCGGAGCGGAAAGCGAAGATCCGGGAGAGGATGTGAGGGGGCCTTCCGCCCGGTTAGCAGCACCGCGAGAGAATAATCTTAATACATACCCCACCACTGGAGTCTAGAGCTCGCCCGCGCCGCCGCCGCACGGAGTCTAGAGCTCGCCCGCGCCGCCGCCGCACGGAGTCTAGAGCTCGCCGCCGCCGCACGGCGCCGTCGAGAGCACGGGCACCGGCTCCCGGCCGTTCTTCGAGGCGGTGTAGACGCAGTCCGTGCCCGGCTCGTCCGCGTTGCGCGGGCAGTCGACGACGCCGCGGTAGCCCGTCTCGACGGGGTGCGGCGAGAGGTCGCCGATGTACCAAAAGGGACCGTGCGCGAAAATGGTCTTGCCCTGCGCGTTCGTCCACGTGGGCTTGTTGGCGTGCGTGTCCTCGTCGAGGTCGTAGCTGCCCCGAAAGTCGAGGTCGCCGGCGTCGTTGCACACGTAGAACGTCTGGGTGACCGCCGAGGCGCCCGCCAGCAGCCAGGCGAAGCGCAACATGACGGCGCGCCCGGCCAGCGGTCCTGGAAAAGTGTGATGGGCAGCCTTGCGAGAGGTTCTAATCTCTTTGGGCTGCTCGAGCTCTCTGCGAAGGGTAGAACACGGGTTTTCTTCGAAGAGTACTGGATACGGCCGAGGCCCTCTCTCAGGGCAGGCTGAGGGGCTCGCGAACGGGGCTTAAAAAACCCGTTTATATTGTTTTTTTGTGATCAGCTCCATGATTGGCCAACCGGACGCCGTGGTGCAGCAGAAGGCATCAAACGATGGCTGCCCCGGAAGCATGAAAGCGCAGCCCTTTCTGGTCTAGCCCGTAGCTCGGAGTGATATGCGCCTGTGGGCATGGGTGTGGTGCGCAGCAGCAGCAGCTGAAGCTGCGCTCCGCCCTTACCGTACGAGTCGCAATAGGGCGGCTATCCCCGCTGCCGACAATGCGCACCGCACTATCCCCGCGGCCAACAACAATGAGACCTTCGTCCAGTACCTCAACCGGACCGGCGGCGCGCTCGCGTGGAAGCGACGCTCGAGGTCCGGCCGCCTCGAGGAGCTGCGATGTGCGGCCGCCGCCGGCGGCCCACCGCTCGAAGTTGCGACGCTCGGAGGGTCCATGACCAAAGGCACGGGCTGCGGCAGCGCGGCCGAGTGTCCGTGGCCAGCGCGACTCGCGGCGCGGGCGGCCAGCGACGCTGAGAGCGACGCACGAGTCCGCGTCCACAACCTCGCCGTCTCGGGGACGTGCACCGGCTGCGTCACCGCGACGCTCCCGCCGCGCCTGGATATGACCGTGCCGAACGTGAGCGTCGTTCTCTGGGATTACGGAGTAAATGATGCCGACGCGCACAAGGCCGTCTATCGCCAGGGTCGGTTCAAGGATTTGCGGGTCGCGGCGGCGGACGTCCTCCTGCGCGAGCTCCTCTCCCGGGACCCGCCTCCTGTTGTCGTAGTTATCGAAGGCTCTGGGCCCGTCAAAGCGCACGCCGCAGCGGCAGAGCACTACGACCTCGACGTGCTCGCGTATCACAGGGCGGCGGCAGGCGCCCCTCTCCACCACAATTGCTCGTGGAAACCAAATGTTGCTCACCCGCCACCAACCGTGCATCACGCCCTCGGAGATTTGGTCTGGTGGTTCCTCGCGGCGCGCCCTACGGACTGCTCCCGCACGACGCGCGCAAACGCCCCCTTGCCGCCGCCGCTCGCGTCGGTCGCGGCGAGGGCGTTCTTCGTGACGTGCGCCGCTCCCCTCGACTACTACGCGTCGCTGCCGCCCGGCGAGCCGTCGCTCGGGACGGTCGCATCGACGGTCGGAAGCGCGTGGCGCGTGCGCCGTGTCTCGTGACGCTTCCTTCCCGTCACTGGTTGTTCCGCCCAGGCGCTATACGGCCGACGATGCCGGCGGACGAGAAGACAAGTTCGGCTGGCTCGGAATCGCGACCCCTAACATATCGGTGGCTGATTCAAAACTGGAATTCTCGCTTAACTTTTCAAGGGCGGGCGTACTTGCCGTCGAATACCTCAAGTCCTACGACTGGCACGGGACGGTTGCCCTCTCCGTCGACGGGGCTCAGCTACACGAGAACGCGCTCTCCGCGCACTGGGAGGACCGGTCCACGCAGCGCGCCACGACGACGTTCGCCTTTGGCACGCACATGAACATTAACAGCCAGTCACGGAAGCGCCTGCCAAACCAGTACCATATCCGAGGCTTCGCCGCCGGCGTCCACAACGTCTCATTTTTCGTCCGTCTCCCGCCACAAACCACGGCCGCTCGGTTCAAGCTCTACGCGCTTGTCACATGCCAGGAATCCAAGGGCGGCGGAACGCTGAAGAATGTGACCGTCGTGCCGAAAGGCGCCGGGGCGCTGAAGAATGTGACCGTGCCGAAAGGCGGCGGGGCGCTGAAAAGTGTGACTGCGGCGACGAAAGGTGTTTCGAACGCCTGGCGGGACGCGCACGGACTTGCGCGCGGTACCGATAAAGTCCGCCTTGCGAGGCATTGGCGGTTGTGGAAGCCGGATCATTCCTGACTGCGTTTTCAAGTTGATCCAGAGACGTCTTGTTTGTTTAGTTTAATAAGTTTCCTAGTTAATCTGATGCGAGATAGCTATAGTCAATTCTGATGTGCATTGCAAAATCGATCTCGGGTCGCTCGTCGATCTATGGAGCGGGTTTTCGCGAGTGCGGTTGTCTTCAGCCTCGATGCAAGTGCAGCGGCTTGCAGACCCGCCTTGCGCCAGCATTTATACACCTACGGCAGCAGACGACCGCTGCGACCGCTTTGGCATCGCTGCTGCACAACTGAGCACTTGAGCCTGACGCAGTGCTGCCGTGCTGCACGATGGTGGCAACCGTAAAACGTCTGTTGCTGCTGCTCGCATCGATGCCAGCAGCTCTGCCCTTCAAGCTCACGCGGCGTCAAATCGCGCGCGGCGCGGCGATTGCGTGGACGCCCTTTTGCGTGGTGAAGGTCGTAAAAGCGCTGCAGAGCGGCGGGCCGACCAGCCCGTACGGGTTGGCGAAGCGACGAACAATCTTCTCCGCTGTTGCGAAAGAAGGGCTGAAAGTCCTCGAACTGGGCGTCGGCGAAAATAAGAACGCGGACCTCTATCCGAAACGCACGTCGCTCGTCGGGCTCGACGCCAGAACGCCAGCAAGGCCGGCGCGACAGTCCTCACAACTCGAGAGCTACGAGTTCGTGCTCGGCGCAGCAGAGAAGCTGCCGTTCGACGACGCGTCCTTCGACGCCGTAGTCTCGACGCTGTGCCTGTGCTCGGTCGACGACGTCGAGGCGACCATTCTGGAAGTCGCGCGCGTCCTCAAGAAGAACGGGCGCTACGGCTTCGTCGAGCACGTCGCGGCGGAGGACGGCACGCTCCTGGACGTGCAGCAGCGGGTGCTGGACCCGCTCCAACAGCGAGTGGCAAACAACTGCCACCTGCACCGCCCCATAGACCGCGCATTGCTCGGCGCGACGAAGAAGTCCGGAGGGCCGTTCACGGAAGTCCTCGAGTTCGAGGAGTACCTCGACGACGACATGTGGCCGGTCTCGAAGCAAGTCGCAGGCGTGCTAGTGCGTTGATCTGGATCCGTGTGTGTTGTTTCTAATTTACTCTCTTTGTTACGCACCTGACGACCTCCCCGCGAACAGACCGGCATAGGCTGCTGGCAGGTGCTCACTTGCACTGCCTGCGGCCGTCTCGAGCACTAGGACGTCTAGAATGCCAGCTCTCTCGACTTCGGCAGCGTCTCGGGCGTCGAAGAGGGCGTCGGCCAGGAAGACGACGAGGCGCGCCTCCTGCTCCTCGGTGCTCGTGAGCAACGGAGGAAGCGGCGGCGCGCCCTCGACGACCGCGTGGATGACATGCGAGCCCTGGCCCAGTTCGTCGGGCGCATCGGTTGCGAGCGCCTCGACGACGCGGCCGAGGGTATCCGTCGCGGAGTAGCTATGCCCACCGGCGTAGAGGTTGAGCTCCGTCGGCAGCGCCGCGCTGAACGCCAGCCACTGATGCGCACGCGGCACCGTCTTCAGTCCTCGGTTCCGGTAGCCGTCAACGTCGAGGTCTACCGCAGGAAATACGTGCCGAAGGGAGCCGTCGCGCACGTGCAGGCCGACGCACAGTCGCGGCGCGGGCTCCGGAAGGTCTGAAGCATGCCAGACGTCGTCACAGCTATGGGGGTTCACGAAGCCGTCGCTGTCGGGCACGCGTTGCCAGGCCCCATCGAAAAGCCACGTCGGGAAGCGGTCCACCATGCTCGCCGGGAGGCGCTGGCTGCCGCTCCCATCTAGCAGCGTGAGGAATGGTCGCGTATCGCTCGGAGCGAGGGCGCATACTAGTGTTGTGGTAGTCAGGGCGAGGAGGCGACGCATGGTGCGTGTTGTTGCCCGGCAGCACTGCTTCAGGCTGAAGTGCTCAGTTGTGCAGCAGCGCAGCGATGCGAAACCGTGGCTCGCAGTGGTCGCAGCGGTCGTCTACTGCCGTAGGTGTATAAATGCTGGCACAAGGCGCCTCTGCAAGCCGCTGCAACTGCTTCAAGCGCTGACAAAGTTCGATGAAAACCCGTGTCGGGCGATTTTTGCTAGTGGTGCCATTTTGCAGCGCACACGACGCGCATCGGTGACGCCGCACCGTTTTACGTGATTTCACAGCCCTCTCGCACCAGCGCGGGACACAGGAGCCGCTCGCCGGGCTCCGCGCACGGCCGTAGCTGCTCTCTGAGAGCCTAACTCTCACACAAAATGCCGTCGACCAAACGCCAGCGCCAGCGGCGCGAGCGGGCGGTAGGCGAAGCCGTCGCTGCGGCGCGGCTTGGCGAGGCCGCGCGCGCACACCCCGACGCCAGCCTCTTCTTCATGGACGACGCGGCGACGGAGACGGCGTCGAAGCGCGCCCGCCGCGCCGCCAAGAAAAAGGTGGCGACGGCGTCGCCGACGGAGTCGGCGCTCCTGCGCAAGTTCGAGCAACGGCGCAAGGCGCGGCCCGCGCACGCTGGGGCACGCGCGCCGAAAGCCGCGGCCGCAGCCGCGCCGCCGATGGAGGACCTCTGGGGCGACGCGGCCGACGCGGGCGCCGCCGACGAGTGGACGGCCGCGCCGGCCGACGGGTGCGCGCCTGCTACAAGTCTGCGCGCGCGCCGGCGGCCGCGGCGCGCGGCGAGCGCGGCGGCGGCGGCGGGCGGCGCGGACGCGTCCGGCGCGAGCTACAATCCGTCGAAGAGCTCCCACCGCGCGCTCCTCGCCGAGGCGGAAGCCATCGAGGCGGCGCGACGCGCCGCCGAGGACGCCGAGACCGACTGGTGGGCCGAACGCGACCGCCGACGCCAGGTGAGCGAGGACGAGGACGAGGCCGAGAGCGACAGCGAGAGCGAAAGCGCAAGCGAAAGCGACGACGACGGCGAGACCGGCGCCGACGGCGCGCGGCCGCAAAAGTCCTCGCGGTCGCTCAAGAAAGGGCGCGCGCAGCGCAACCGCATGAAGCGCGCGCGGCTCCAGGCCTTTGAAAAGCGCCAGCGGGACGAGGGCAAACGCCAGCGCGCAGCCTTTGATGGTCTCAAGCGACTCAGACGGGAGCTCGACGAGCGCGAGGCCGAGGCTGTTCTTTTGGCGGCGTGGGATTCTTCTCTTGTTCGAAAATTCGCTTCCGACCACGCATCTCACACCGCGACCCCAACCGCAGGCAGCCGCCAAGGCGCGCGAAAAGGCGCGGCCGCCGAAGGCCGTGCCGCGGACGGCGCCGCCGGCCGTCGCGCGCGCCGACGAGCTCACCGACGCGCTGCGGTCGAACAAGGCCACGCGCGCCACGGGCGTCGCCGACCTGCACGCCGCGCTCGCCGCGGCGCATCGCCCCGCCAAACGCGCCCAGCCCAAGAAGCAGCGGAAGCTCAAGTATCGAGGCGCGCGGCTGCTGAATCGCTACCGCGAGCGGCCCATTTGAAGCTCCTGCCGCCCCGGATATAGGATGTGTTTCAGTCAGCATACATCACGGGACATTTATCCAGGCGGTGGCGGCACTGGGTCTTTCGCGCCGGAACACGGGTACTAAGGCATGTAAACACCGTAGAAGTTTCCTTTTTTAGTTAATTAAAGTCGCCCAGAACACAACGTCAGGGCGGCGGCGGTGGTGCGTCGAGCGCCGCTTTGGAAAAGACGGCGATGAGCTGGCGGCGCGCGGCGGTGCGCCCCTTTTCGCGCGCGAGCGCGAGCGCCGCCGCGAGCTCGGGCGCGAGGTCCGGCCTGAGGCGGCTGGCGATCGTCGCCGCGAGCGCGGCGACGTCGTCGGGGGCGAGGGCGTGCAGCGCGAGCAGGGCCGACCCGCGGTCGCGCGGCAAGAGCGGCGGGCTCGCCTCGAACGCCGGCGCGACGCAGTGCTCGACGAGCGCGGGACCCACGGGCCCGAGGGCCGCCCGCACGGCCGGCGCGGCGCGGGCGCGCCGCACGGCGGCCGACTTGGCGGCCACGGCCGAGGCGGACGCGCCGGCGGCGTTGTCGGCCCCGGCCATGGACTCGGCCTCGGCCTCGCCGTCCGGCGCAAAGGCGCCGAGGGCCGTGAGGAGCGCGCACGCCGCGGTCGCGGCCGCCGGCGACTCGCGGTGCCGGGGCAGCTCGCGCGCGGCGGCGGCGAGCGCGGCCGGCAGCGCGGCGCCGCCGTCGGCGAGGACGGAGGGGCAGTGCGCCGCGGCCGCGGCCGCGAGGGTCAGCAGGGCGCGCCCCGCCTCGTCGCCCGCCGGCGCGGCGGCGATGACGGCCGGCACGGCGACGGCGAGGCCGCGGGCGAGGCGCTCGACGGCCGCGCCGCCGTCCGCGCCGCCGCCGTTGCCGTTTCCGGCGAGCGCTGCCTCGGCGCGGGCGCCCCAGCGGTCCGTGACCTCGCTGACGACGCGCAGCGCGCGGCCGTCGCAGTACGGCGCCGTCGCGAGGATTTCGAGCACGCCCAGCACGACGTGCGGCGCCGCGGCCGCGGCGAAGGCCGCGGCGCAGTCCTCGAGCGCGCCGCCGGGCTCGTCGCCGGCGCCGGCCGCCGCGTGCCAGCGCGCGCGCACGGCGCCGAGCGTCGCGTCGGCGACGGCCGCCTCGGCGCGCTGGGCGCCGTGCCGCGTCGCCTCGCGGACGAGCGCCGCGACGACGCGCAGGTCGCGGCCCTGCGCCGCGCCCGCGCCGCCGAGGCGCGCCGCGGCCGGCGCCGCGAGCGCGACGACGGCCGCCGCGCGCGTGTCGTGGTCGGCGCCGTCGCGGCCCGGCCAGAGCGCCGCGGCGCCGAGCGCGCGGTAAAAGGCGGCGCGCGCGCCGTCGGGGGGCGCCGTGCTCGCCTCGGCGGCCTCGGCGAGCGCCGGCAGCGCCGCGTCCGCGACGAGCCGCGCGGCGCCGCCGCGCGTGCGCACGACCGCCGCCGCGTAGCAGCGCTGGAGCACGGCGCGCGCCGCGCGGCAGGCGTGGCCCGCGCCGCCCACGACGTGCGTGCTGTAGGCCAAGAACTGGAGCGCCTCGGTGAGCCGCGCGTCGTCGTCGCAGAGCCACTTGTGCACGCCGCCGAGCAGGAGCGCCGTCGCGGCGACGAGCCGCGCCTGGCGCGGACCCGGCGGCGCCGCGGCGGCGGCGGCCACGCACGCGTGCACCGCGTTCGAAAGCGCGGTGGACGCGGCCGCGTCGTCCGAAGCGCCTCGCGCGAGGAGCGGGCCGGCCAACGAGAGACACCGCGCCGCCGCCGCGAGCACGTCGGCGTCGTTTGCATCCACCCGCCGCGCCCCGGCGAGCACGGCCTCGACGTACCGCGCCGCGCCGAGCGCGTCGGACGTCGACCGCAGACATTCGCCGAGGAACGCGTCGCGGAGCCGCCGGTACGCGTCCCACTCCAAGCTCTCGGTCCAGGCGCCGGCGTTCTCCGGGAGCGCCGCCGCGTCGTCGCCGTGGAGCGCCGCGTTCGCGTCGTCGTCCGCCTCGTCGAGCGGCTCGGGCGCGTCCGCGAGGCCGCCGCGCGGCCAGACGACGCGCGCCACGAGCCGCGGCGCGAGGTCGCGCGTCCGCTCGAGCAGCGCGGGCCGCCGGTCCGCGAGCCGCCGCGCGCCGCCGCCCGTGAGCACGAGCGCCGACCACGCCGCGCAGCAGGCCTCGGCCGCGGCGGCGTCCGTTCCGACGCAGCCCTCGGCGACCTCGGCGAGGACTCCGGCGTCCCAGGGCCGCGCGCAGCGGCCCGTCGCCACGGCGTCGACGCGGGCCAGGCACGCCGCGAACCGTCGCCTCGCGCGCGTCGCCGCAGGGTCCGCGTTCGCCGTCGACGAGCGCGCCTGCGCGTGCGCCGCCCCCAGCGCCTCGAGCTCGGCGTCGTCGCCGGGGCGCAGAGAGCCGGCTGCGGCCGCGGCCTCGAGGACCTCGCACGCGGCACGCGCCGCCCTCGCGTCTCCGGACGCGGCCGCCGCGCCGACCGAGCGCGCCAGGGCGCCGCCGCCGGCGCCGAGTGGCGACGCGCCCGGCCGCTCGCCCGTGCCGCCGCGCCGCAGGCACGCACCCGTCTCGAGCCAGCGCGCCGCGCACGCGACGGCCTCGATCGTGTCGCCGGCCTGGGCGGCCGCGTCGAGGGCCGCCGCCGCCACGTTCGCCCAGCGCGTCGCGCCGTCGCCGCCGCGGTGGGGACACTCCGTCGCGAGCGCCGTCCAGCACGCGATGCCGCCGCGTTGGCCGAGCGCCAACGCGTCGTCGAGGGCCGTGGGCGAGCGCGCCGCCGCCGCCGCGAGCGCGCGCGCGCACTGCGACCGCGCGGCCTCCGCACAGTTCGGCGCGGCGCATACGGAAAGCGCCGTCTCCCAGTGCTCGTGCGGCAGCGCGCCTCGCCTCGCCGCCGCGAGGAGGGCCGAGGACGCGAAGACCGAGACGTCGGCGCGGCCCGCAGCGCACGCGCGCGCGAGCAAGTCCAAGAGGTGCGCCGGCGACGCGCTGTTGTAGGCCTCGAGTGCGCGCGGATCTGAGGCCAAGGCCGCAGCGATGGCCTCTACTTCATCGTGCTGCTCGGCCATTGGGTGCCTTCGCCGGTGGCGACGGAACTCGGTGGTTGGCTATGCCTCAACGCCGGTGGCGACGAGCCTTGTGGATTCGGGTGGTTGGCTACGCCATGACTAAGCGTTCCTGGTCGCCTAGGAGCACGTCCAGACCGTCATCAATGCAGAGCGAGTTGCTTGCTGTGCTTGCTAGCGTCTTACAGCCGCTAGCTACAACCGGATCGGCTGGGGCCCATGGGGGCTAGCTGCTGCAGCGAACAGCCACGCATAAGCGTCTTTCTCGAGCTCTGACGCCGCAGCCAGACGGATACAGTCGGGGTTCGCCGCGGAACAAACGCCGAGGCGACGGGAGATGCGACGGGTACCCCAAGAGCAGCCAAATAATTTTAAAACGGCCGCACGCACTACATCGGCGGCGGCGGCGGCGGCGGCGGTGGAGGTGGTGGCGGCGGCGGCGGCGCCATCATCGGTGGCGGCGGCGGCGGCGGCGGCGGCGGAGGCATCATCCCGCCACCGGGCATGCCGAAGGCCCCCGGCGGAGGAGGCGGCGGCGGAGGAAATCCGCCGGGCGCCGCCGGGAAACCCATCGGCGGCGGCGGCGGCGGCGGCGGAGGCATGCCCCCGAAGGCGCCGGGCGGCGGCGGCGGCGGCGGCGGGGGCATGGCCTGCGGAGGAAGCAAATGTCACATCAGAAACGGCGTGAAGGTTGAGAGTTCCACGCGGATCATTGCCCCAAAGGCGCCGGGCGGCGGCGGCGGCACGCCCATGGCGGCGAATTGCGGCGGCGGCGGCATGGCGGGCGCGGCGGAAAAGGCGCCGGCGACGGCGGGCGCGCCCGTGCCAAACATGGTGTGGGGCTGGACGGCGTTGTTCGGGTTGTTCGCCGCGAGCAGCCGCTCCGCCTGCGAGCCGTGGCGCTCGGTCTTCGAGTCGCGCTTGAAGGCGTAGCCGACCTGGACCTGCTTGTTGCAGAGGAACTGGCCGTGCATGCACTCGATCGCGAGGTCCGAGGCCTCGAAGCTGTCGTAGCTCACGAAGCCGTAGCCCTTCGAGCCGCCCGTGTCGGGGTCGCGCATGACCTTGGGCGTCTCGGAGATCGTGCCAAAGGCCGAGAAGGTGTCGTAGAGCAGCTTCTCGTCCACGTCGCCGTCGAGGCCGCCGACGAAGAGGTTCGCGCCGACCTCGACGGCGCGCCGGTCCTGCGACGCCTTGTTCACGCGCAGCGGCTTGCCGAAGAGCTTGACCATGTTCATGACCTTGAGCGCGTAGTCCGCGTCCTCCTCGCTCCGGAACTCGACGAAGCCGTAGCCCTGGTGCGAGCCCGTCACCTTGTCGCGCGGCAGGTGCACGTTCGAGACGGGGCCCGCCTGCAGCATCATCTCCCAGAGCAGCTCCTCGGTGAGCTGCTCGTCGAGGTTGCCCACGTAGCACGTCGCGTCCTGGTTCCGCTGCTCGACGGGGCCCGTGGCCATGGCGGCTCAGGCGGCGCCTGTCGCCGCGGGCTGGTGTTGGGCGGTCTCGGGCGAGCGGCCTGGTTAAGCACAGGTCGTGACGCACGGCTGCGCAGCTTGCAGATTTCTCTTGTCCACGGCTTTTCTGCCAAGGAGCCGCGCGGCGCGAGGCTTTTGCGGCGACTCTAAGGCCAATTATTAATGTGAGCTAGCGGCACGTAAGACACTAGCAAACAAGCCAAAGCGGCCATCGTGCGGACTGCGTAGTAAGAAGCAAGAAGCAGACTTAAAACAGTATAATTTACAAAACACCCCTTGGTCTAGGGTTCAACAACATACACGTAGCGCCGCGCGTCGCACGTCTGCAGCGGCAGGCACTCGGCGTCGGGGTCGAAGCCCACGACCGTTTGGGACGTCCTCGCGGGTGGTCGGTCCGACGCGGCCGCCCTCGACGCGTCGAGTCGGGCGAGTCTCGCTGCGGACAAGCCGTCCCGCGGTCGGACGACGTCGAGCGCGAGCCGCAACGCTTCGTCGTCGCCGGCCGTCGCGGCGCGCGATGGGATCGCTCCTCTCCGCGCCAGGACTGCCTCGACGGCGCGCGGCGGTAGGGTGCGCCTGGAAGTAGCGTCGGCCACGAGCTCCCGCGTCAATTGCTTTTGCGCGGCTCGCGCGGCTGCCGTTTGCACACTCGACGGGTAGTCGGGCAGCGCGTCGTCGTCGTCGATGCCTCCGTTCCACGATTTCACAAAACTTCGCCACAGCTTCGCGCCGTCGCGCGACAGGACCGTCTCGACTTTCGCATCGTCGAGCCCCGGATTCAATCGATCAAAGTACGTCGCAAAGTCGAAAAAGGCGCCGCGACGCAGTAGTAGCTCGTCGAGCGCGCTGCTCGGTGTGCCAGCGGCCAAGTCGGGCGCGACGCCCATGCCGTCGACGTCGGCGCCCGTAGCGTCAACCGTTCGTGCGGTCGTCATGCGGACCGCGTAGTTCGGAGCGGCCCGCAGCGGCACTAAGCTCTGGGCACTTCTTTTCCCAAAGGTCGTCTGGCCAACGACGGTGCCGCCCTGCGCACGCACGGCCGCGGCGAAGAGCTCGGCGGCCGAGCGCGTGTCTTCGTCAACAAGCACCGCGAGAGCGGTCGGCGCCGGCACGGCCAGCTCCGTTGGAGGCGCCGATGCGACGTACTTAGCGGCGACGGCTCCATTTGGTCCGACGGCCGTGGCGAACGGCGTAGCCGCCGGCGCGAAGAGGCCAAACGTGGCGGCGGCCTCGTCGGCGAACCCCCCGGGGTTCGACCGCACGTCGATGACGTACGGAGCGCTCTTGCGGCCAGCGGCAACGGCTCGGATCGCCCTCGCCGATTCGTCGCGGACGCCGTCGGTGAACGAGGCGACGCGTAGCACTATGACTCCGTCGACGTCGACGGCAGTCGCCGCCGGCGAACGCAAAACAGCGGCCGCCTGTGGCGTCGTGGTCGCGTCGACGTCAAACTTGCGGGAGCCGCGCTCGACTCGCAGAACCGACGCGGCGCGGACCGACTCGGCGGCCGCGCGCGCGGACGCGGCGTCGGCGACAGGGCGGCCGTCGACTGCGACGACGCGATCGCCGACGCGCAGGCCGCCCGCAAAGAGCGGTGACGTTTGTTCGAGCGCCGTGACGGTCAGCACGCCGCGCACGTTCGAGTCCTTGACGAGCACGACGCCGCGCGACGGCGCATTGCCGAGCGCCGTAGCTACGTTCGAGCGCTCGAGCGACACGACGCCGCCGTACGCGTCGGCGGCCTTTAGCAGCGCATCCGCGGCCGCGACCTGCTGCTGCGTCGTGAGTGCCGAGCCGCGACTGCGCAACGCGTCGACGGCTTCCTCCACGATCGGCAGCGGCGCGGCGTGACAATGAACGGGCGCGCAGCCGATCGCGCAGCAGAGCACGCGTGCCGCGACATGCGCCTTTTGTGCGGCGTGTGCGCAATTGGTGATGCAGAGCCACAGCACTGCCTTGCGCACAAACAATGTGCAGCGCTGCTCTATTGATCGATGCCGTCGCCGGGTGAGCGCTACACGCAATGTTCGCACCGCTGCGGGCCCAGGCTCGGCCCAGACTGGCACCAGGCCAGCGGTGCGGGTTCCAGCGCGTGAGCGGCCAAACGTACCAGTAAGGCTGCAAACCGGTAGCAATAGACCACCATTAATCGCCTACGGCGGTAGACGCAGCGTCGCGACCGCTGCGGCACGTGGCATCAAAATATGCGCCTGATCCTCTGCCATGTCGCACTCGTCCGCGCGCTCCACAGCTCACAACGCGTCCTGAAAAGGCGAGACCTCGGGGCCATTGCTACTGCTGCAGCGCTGGGTACGCGCGCGCGCCCCGCCGTCGCGGTGCCGCCCGCGTGCGACGACGCCGTCGCTGTGTGGAGCAATGGCAATCGCCAGGTCTACATCGTTGGCACTGCACACGTGTCCGAAAAGTCGGCAGAGCTCGTCGCGCAAACCATTGACGCGGTGCAGCCAACACTCGTCATGCTCGAGCTCGACCGGAAGCGACTCAAGGGCGCGCCGGCCGCCGCCAGTAGTGCGAGCACGCCACAGCCACCGCGTCGCCCATCGCTGCTCGAGCGCACTGGTGCGTGGGTCGTCGGCTCTCTGCTGTCGAGCCTCTACAAAAGCCTCGACGACCTCGGCTTGAATTCCGGAAGGGAATTCTCCGTGGCGCTGACAAAAGCGCGAGAGAATAATATTCAGATACTCCTCGCCGATAGGGACGTCGACGAAACGCTCCGACGGCTCTCGGCCGCGATTCAGCAGACGTCGTCGCAAGCGGCGCACAAATCATATTACGCGGCACTTCAGATCGTTTTCTGCGCAGGTCTCAAGACTTTGAACGGTTCGAGGCCCTCGCGACGACCATAAGCGGGATGGCCGAGCCCGTGGATCTAGGCGACAAAAATTCAGTGACGGGCGCCATCGAAACGATCAAGACGAGATCGACGGTGAAAGAACTGGTCAATGATCTCCGGGAATCGCTGCCGAATATATACTCTGCGCTCGTCGACGAGCGAGACGAGTACATGACGCAGAGCCTTCTGTCGCGGCTCTCGGAGCAGCCGCGGTCCGCGCCGCAGCGCGTCGTCGCCGTCGTCGGGCTCGCCCACGAGGACGGAATTAATCGGCGCCTCGCCAAAGCAGGGTATGCCGCGGCGCCCGCGCCGCCGCGGCGACTCTGCCAGGCAGCGTGATGACTCAAGGGAAATAAGTATTGTGTGACTCGTACTATTACTACTATACTTAATGTAACAGTTAATTCCTATTCGGGCAGGGCGAAGGGCCGGCCCTGGGGCTGGATGTTAGTGTTCTGTCAGGATTGGTTGTGGGGAGTCTTTGGTGGCTGGTGCGGGACGTAGGGTTAGGGTTCGGGCCCGCTCCCCGGGCAGGGCCCGAAGGGCCCTGGCCCCAGGGCCGAAGGCCCTGGGGCTGGATGTTAGTGTTCTGTGTCAGGATTGAGGTTGTGGGGAGTCTTTGGTGGCTGATGCAGGACATCTATCTAGATCTATAGGGTTAGGGTTCGGGCCCGCTACCCGGGCAGGGCCCGAAGGGCCCTGGCCCCAGGGCCGAAGGCCCTGGGGCTGGATGTTAGTGTTCTGTGTCAGGATTGAGGTTGTGGGGAGTCTTTGGTGGCTGGTGCGGGACATAGGGTTAGGGTTCGGGCCCGCTCCCCAGGCAGGGCCCGAAGGGCCCTGGCCCCAGGGCCCGAAGGGCCCTGGGGCTGAATGTTAGTGCTAGGAATCAGGATTGAGGTTGTGGGTAGTCTTTGGTGGCAGGAGCGCGGGTTAGGGTTGGGTTAGGGTTGGGTTAGGGTTGGGTTAGGGTTGGGGTTAGGGTTAGGGTTAGGGTTAGGGTTAGGGTTAGGGTTAGGGTTAGGGTTAGGGTTAGGGTTAGGGTTAGGGTTAGGGTTAGGGTTAGGGTTAGGGTTAGGGTTAGGGTTAGGGTTAGGGTTAGGGTTAGGGTTAGGGTTAGGGTTAGGGTTAGGGTTAGGGTTAGGGTTAGGGTTAGGGTTA